CGTGCCCGTAATGCAGGGCGATCCCAACCATCAATCACAAGGCGAATCGCCCGCTGTGATAGAGGGGTCTGCGCCGCCAGAGCATCCACCAGCCCCGCCAGTTATTGAATACACGGGCCGCAATTTGACCATTCTCGAGAATTTCGACGATCGGACGGCGCACAGCAAGAAGTTTAGTATGTACTTCAATGCCAAGAAGCCTCCGCGCTTGACCAGTAAGTTGCCCTTGTCCTTGTCCTTGTCCTTGCCCATTACTTTCGTAATGTTGTAACTCCCTCGCTTTCGTGATCTAGCTAGCTAACATCGTAACTAAACTAGAAATCTCATCATCGCTGTGTGTCATCACCTCATTGCCATCACGATATCGTGATCCCGAAACATCACTCCCTTACGCAAATTCCTACGCCTATGGGCAAATCCGCAAGATGCTGTCCCACGGGTACATCTGGAGCTCGATGCTGGGCTGCTTTGTCGGAGCTGCCGAGACTGCCGCCCGTGGCGTGCCTGAGCGCTTTGTCGGCAAACCAATCAGTGGCGTGACGGTCAAGCAGGAAGAAGTCAAGGATCAAGACAAGGAGAAGGAGAAGGAGAAGAATACGGAGACCGCATCAAAAGAGGAGACGACGTCGTCAAAGCCCGATAGTGCCAAATCTGCTGGTGCCAGTGCTGCCGAACCGATGGCAGTGGATGCGTAGGCGGGCTGGCTGGACTGGACTCGACTGGACTGGGTAGGGCTGAAAACCATGTACAATAGCATAATGTGATAAGTAATGTCTCAAAACTCAACGTGAATACTCATATACCCCCAACACAACAGAGTGCCTAAATAGGCTCAAGTCCAAACATCATCGATCTCAAGGTAAACCCACATGATGTCAGCTGGCCGAAGCTCACCCGCGGTTTACAGCACGGAAGCGGGCGGGAGGCTACAGTGTTGACAAACAATGGCTCAATTGACTCGGCGGTGAAAAGTTTGTTTTGTTAAAGTAATCGCTCGTCTGATGTTGTGAGTTTATTCTCGTCAGAGTTTTACTCTACCCCCATACTGCGTAGGGCAATGTTATGTTATGGTGATGCTGCTTGCTCCACACGATCTTCATCGTGACACTGACGGATCGTCAGGGAGTGGTTACAGACTAAAATTAAAATTAAAATTCAAACAAATCTCCAGGCATCAGCCAATGGTCCACCTACGTAAATCCGAGTCCACTTGGCACTGGCCACTTGACAACCCTGGGCTAGACTTTACAGTAGTTGCGTACGAGTGTAGACTGGAGTGTACCCCATCGACCCGAAACGGATCAACTGTAGATCATTTGGAGCTGCCAGTGCCAGCTGGGTGATTCTAGACCGGGGAGGAGGGGGAGCAATAAATAGAAGCAAACAGGAATCAACAAATAATAAAGAATAGAGAATAGAGATTCCGGGAAAAAATCGTAACATGAGAATGGACTCGGGAGTAAATGCCACTGGCAGTGAACCTGAACTACGTCAATTACACGGGTACGTACTCGTACCTCATACCTACGCAACATGCCACTGGCAGACTCTAACGAAATCTTCACCCGGACATCCAACCAGAATCATTCGACGCCGATTCTAGACTACTCACCAGAAGCCCTACAAAAAGAAAAAAAGAAAAAGAAAAAGAAAAAGAAAGAAAAACTAGCGCGCTACCCAGGTCCCCCCCACCATCCCCTCCATTGCTCAGTTCAGCACAGGCCTAGCCTAGCCTGGCATGGACTTGAGCTGGAGAGAGAGACACAGACATCGTGACCATCCTCTGTACTGTACATAGTAATGACTGGCCAGACCAGGCATTGTCCTCCGCACGGTCGTCACCCCTCGACGTATGATGGAACTCGACGTGTCAAGGAGGTGTCACGGCGGTGGAGAAGAATGGGCCCCACCGAAGTCGTGCTTGAGGGGGTTCGAGAACATGAACGACTCCGGCCTTTGTCGAGGCTGGCGTCATTTTTATAAATATTCGGTCAGTGGAGTACCGGGGTAGGAGAGGAGTAGGAGTACACTATCGGGGATGCTTAGCATGTGCTAGTCTGCTCGTGCCACGAAGTACAATACTGTACTCAGGCTGTAGGTAGTACTGTCGTAGGTGTTAGTAATACTTGTACGAATCGTTAGCACGCAAGCCTAAGATCATCGCGATTCGATTTGAGCCAGGAGATAAACTCCTGGCTAGCGGGAATCGTAGATGCAGGTAAACAGGGCAGGGTCCTCTGCAGAATTGAATCTGAGCGCGTCGGGCGGGCACGGGGGTACTCGGGCCCTAATTCGGGTGTAGATAGGTAACGGGGGACCTTGATACCTGGGATAGAGGGACGGATTGAATGTGAATGTGAGTGTGAATATTTACAGAGTACTGCTTCTGTCGTCTCCTCTCCCAGAGGCAAATCCGGTTACCCTTTGGGGAAGACCTAATTATGGAAATCCGTCCAGAGTGTAACTGTGTGAGTCAAGGTTGCGCGTCCGAATAAAAAAAGAGTGGGAAAGAGTGGAAGAAAAGTGGGCAAGTGGGGAATCACTTGGGAGGAAGTCTAGACTCGAAGATCCGCGTTGGGAATTGCCAGCGGGAACTGGGAACGTGTGTTGCTTCCCCAAGGTTCTTTTCTTGCTTTTGATTCTTATTTATTCTCTTCATCCCCTGCTGCTTGTCTATCTCAAACAATCTCTACCACTCTCACTTCCCACGCTAGAACATCTCTATCTGAGTTTCTTTCCCCAAACCACTCGCTCGATCACCCTACCCTAGGTATGTTCCACTTGTTCCACCCACTCTAGTTGGCTGCAGCCCTTATCTCTGCAGAGATAAACCTCCCCGGGCCTTCTAGCCCGATTCCAATCATGACACACGCTGACCCCTCCCACTCCTAGGCTTATCTGCTCCATCGTTCACTACTTTGTGACCCCGGGGTACATATCATATCCCTTCGTTCAGGAATTATTTCAATTTCCTGCTTTTTTCTTTGAAATTCAACACGTCAAGCATACCGTCCGCGGATTCCAGCATTCGTCATTAAATCCCTCGTGCTCGTGCTAGCCTTGCGTGCTCCACCACCTTCAGCAGATCATTGGAGAAAACTACCCTAGTCGAAAGGGATCCCATCCTAGCATCGATCACCTAAGATAAGATAGCCAAGAACGAGGCATTTATTCTCTCGTCAATCGAGCTGGGCTCCTTCTTTCGGCTTCACCGCCATCATGACTCAATCTCATCGTCGCTCCCCTTCTTCCACCCATTATCCCTCCAAACCCAAATCATCTCGTCCTGTCCTACATCGTCGAGGTACCTCTGGTGTCAACCTGTCCATCTCCAAGCTGGGTTCGGGCCATTCACACTCTACCTCGAACTCACACTCTCGCTCCCACTCTCGGAGCAAAGACGACGAGAGCGAATTCGATATGGCCAGCTTTCTGAACTTCTGGTAAGACATTTGATTTTTTTTGTTCTTTATCTCAATTTTTTTGCCTCATTCCTTTCACATCCCATCCATACTTCCTTATCTCTGCCCTGCAGGGACCACCCTTACATGCCACCAGCCGCGAGGCTGTGTTTACCCTATCTTAATCTAGTCTATATTTATCTCTCTCCTATGTCTTTACCGCTATATCAGCGACATGGATCTCATTTACTATAAAGAACCCTGCTAACACCCTCTTCCAGTGCCATGTGCGAAAGACAAATCACCGTCCCCAACAACACCCTCCTCTACTGCAGTGAAGGGTATGTACACAGTCCACTCCATTTATTATTCTTATACATATATGCATATACTAACATTCGAACCCTTACAGCTGCCGCCGCAAAGACTCCTGCAAACCTCTCTCCGCCTCAATGCCCTCAATGCCCATGACAACAACACCATCCACCCCACCAGCCTCACCACCGCTCTCCCCCCGAACAATCGTCGCCCCAATGACTCCAACCCGAGTCCAAAGCAACCCCCCTCACTCGAGGATACCAAGCACAACCCCCAACTCGACCGGCTCAGATCTCGACCCCACAGAATGGAAGCCCGTAATAACCACCGGCGGGAACTTTACCTCAACTTCAACACCCAACCCAACCTCAACCGCCTGGTCTTACCTCTCCCAATTCCACGGCCCCGACCACCACAGCCACTACCAACCATCCCGCCGCCCAATGACATCACGCAACAGCGTAACAAGTCTGCCCGGCCTCGGCTATACCAGCACTGGCACTGGCACTGGAACTAGCATCGGCGCTCCATCCCTCTCTTCATCAGTATCAAGCACCGCTTCAGATTATCTGGGTAGCTACGAGCACCGCCCGCTTCCACCGCGCCACAACCCTTCCTTCTCGGGAACTTATGCTAAGGGCGTGCAACTCGTTGTTCCGCATGTTAGCTCTGTTCCCGGCGTGACGGTTGAAATGGTTGATGGAGATAGTGATAGTGGGTCTATCTTTCCGGCATCGAGTTCGGTTTGGGTAGATGAGGTTAAGGCGAGGCCTGGGGCTATTTCTATTGGTGCCCGGTCTTGAGTGTGGCTAGACTTGAGTTCTTCAAGTAGCGAGCGTGAGCGGTTTTGTTTGCAAAATTTGATTTCATCTCTACATTTATTTTATTTTCACCTCCGAGCGGGAGGTTATGATGATGATTGATTGCTAGACTGGTCTATGGACGGGTTTGACTGGATTGGATTCGATTATTTCTTATTTCGGAAAATCTGGCTAGATAGAACTTTTTTTAATGAGAATGCATATGTGCTGGGTCACTTTTTCACATATCCAAAGCTTGATCCTCATCGTCTGAGACAAGCTCCCCTCTTGTAATTTTGAATGTCCCTACTGGCGGTTCTGTGGGTGTCCGTCCCCATCGCGTCCCCATCGCCCTTCAATAGATCCATCCTCTAGATTGACCTTGTCCCAGTACATTTGGCTAATGTTCGAGAAAGCAGCCCACCTTATCTCATCTTCCCCGATAAGCTTGTCATACATCTCGCCAGTAATGTTGGTATAATCACCAGAAGAAGAAAGGCAGATTGGCGAAGGCGCATTCTATCGAGGATACTCCATCAGACCCAGTATCTGTCTCTGCGTCCGTGTCTTCCTTTTCGGATTCTGGGCCATGAAACCAAAGTCTGTAGCAAACTTCCTTCCCAGTCATGTCTGTGATCTCCCTTGACTCAAGCTCGTGCTGTGTAATAGCGGACCCTATAAAATAGCAAACTTAATGTTTGATCAAGGATTCGGGAGGGGGGCATTTCTTACATTTAGCCACTAATTTCTCACTAGGTGCCGCTTCATTCGGGCCTGTGAATCCTCCATGTCGAATGAGCCATTGCACTGTGCTTTTTGATTTAGCTTTAATTACCGCTTCGTCTAGGGGAGTGTAATCTTTGATGTCCATGCAGGTAGTAGCGGATCCATGTTGAATTAAACATTCCGTGATCCCAATATTGTCGGAAATAGCAGCAATATGAAGAGCAGTTCGACCATTCGGTAATGAGAAACTAGGATCAACTCCCCAGTCCAGTAGCTTCTGGACGATCTCGAGGCTCCCCTGTACAACAGCAATGTGAAGCAGAGCGCCGTGGGTCAAGTCTCTGGTTTTGAAGCGATAGAATCAAGCAGAGTTCCAAATTCAACGGGATGATTTTCAAACAGTGCTTGCAACAGATCATCTATGTAAACCCCATCCGACAATTCGGAAAGCAAGGTGCACGTGCGCCAAAAGAATGGGCTAAAGCTGGAAGTGGTCCAAACCGCAACATCAAATGCTGTTTGGCCAAAATTATCGTAATGACCGATCTGAGCACCATGGCGAAGCAGGAAATCGGCCACGTTGGAAGAGCCGTAGTCAATAGCCACCATAAGAGCTGAGTTGCTTTTGTTATTCAACACATTTAGCTCAGCCCCCGCATCCAGTAGAATTTCTGCTATCTCAACTGAGTCGAAGCGAGCGGCGAAATACAAAGCAGTCGATTGATCATGATCACGATGGTACATATCTTCATTATGTTCCAACATAATTTTCAGACAGCCACTTTTCTGAGTGAAAAGTGTACAGAAAAGGGGCGTGTGTCCGTTCTTGTCTTCCACCTTAGTTTCTACGCCTGCTTCGAGGAGAATCGAAATATGATCGATGTGGCCATTTTGAGCCGCTATTGCCAAGGCTGTTGTTCGGCCAGTGTCCTCATTTTTTTTCATTGACATCTGCACCCTTTGCAATCACGGCCCGAAGAGGCCGAGTGTCGGGACATGTCCGGGTTTCGTGGAGCAAAATGAGCCCTGGTCTCGATGCAGTCCCAAGATTTGTCTCATAATTCAAAAGAAACAAAAACGTCTCGATCGATTCTTCAATCAGTTCCCAATCCTCGCTAAGCAATGAATGAAAAATGGGTGATCTTTTCAAGAACTCGGCTTCATGGTTCGTATCGGCCCCATGATCCACCAGGTATCGCACTACTTCCAGAGATCCAGTATAAGCAGCGCCATGAAGAGGGCCTCCGATCAAATATCCAGTTGATGAAGCACACAGCCCTTTCTCGTGAAGTTCTTTCTCAATTTCCAAAGATCTGTATAAGCAGGCATAAATAAGAGGCTCTCCAAAAAACTTGATTCCCATTCAGTTTGTATAGTAGGTCGTTCAAATGTTTTGGTATGAATTTAGACGTACTACTCGCGGCACAGAATTCTTGTATCTATTACTCGGCCACTAGTAAATAATAGGAAACTTATTGCTCTTCACATTGCTGTGTCTATGTGAGAAGAGTGAAGTAACCCAACGATAGAACTTGTGGGGCAATGGGTATTGCATCAAAATAGACTCTGTCGACAATCAAATCTCTATTTTATGATCATTGTGACTTTGGAGGTCTATTCTGGTGCCCACTTTGCATCCCTTTAGACAGTCTTGCCTTTGCCCATCGAGCGGATTGCGTTCGCAGAACAATCAGCATGGAACCTATCCCAACCAAGTTTAGAATTCCCAAACCCAGAAAACAGTAGCCCCAACCCATTTTCTGTACAAGAGGCGCGATGATGGCCGCCGCTACAGCAGCAGCGGGACTGCGCAACATGTTGCCTAAAGCAAAAGCACCAGCGGCTTGCTGCGCAAGACACAAAGTCAAAAATGCGTTTGACGCAACAAACATCCACGACATTCCAAATCCAACTATATGATCCAATGGTCAGATGAAATATTTCGGGGTGTTTCAAGGATTCTGCCTACCGAGGAAGGTTGAAATCAAAGTAGCAGCCGGGTGAAGCGCATGCTCCACGAAGAACCCAAACATAATTAGCCCAGCCGAAGCTAGAAGAAGTCCCCAGATCTGGTCATTCAAACGTGCTTCGGGGTGAACATTACTCTCGCCAAGGGCCTGAACTGACCGCTTACGTCTCCAGTCAGAAAAATGGCCTCCTGAAATAGATCCAATCACCATGGCTACTCCTACGACAACATAGCCAGCACCAACCTCACTGCTTGACCAGTGATAGACATCACCAAGAGCGGATGGCAGTTGAATGGCAATGCAGAAATATGAAGAGTAGAGGATGGCGGTATTCATGCACGTGATGCCAATTGGGGGGTATTGGAAGAGCTTCCAGTATCCTTTCAAGGTAGGCTTGGGAGGGGGAGGTCCTCGCTCCGATTCCGAGACAATCGGAGAGGAGAATTTGGGAGGAAGGAAGGAGAAACCAGCCCTTGTCGGTGTATATACTCCCATTCCCCACACGTGCACGTAGAGTTTCAGGGAGCGCAAACACGAGGAGAAGCCATAACGCAACACCCGAGATTGCTGGATGAGCTAGGTCAGAGAAGTCTGGAATATGTTGCGTGAACTGCACCCACCCAGAAAGCCAAATATCCATCTCCAGGAAGCCTTATCGACTATAGCACCGCCTATCACCGGGCCTAGGATTGGACCGCATTGGGGACCGAAAAGGAAGTATGACATTGCTCGAGCTCGCTTTTTTGGTTCTATGATCTGCCAGTTGTAAGATGTAGATTAGCACGATGTGCAGTTTCAAGCGGCCAAAATGTCACTCTTACATCCGCCACGGTGCCGGCTCCCAGCGAGACAACAGCAGACGATCCAAACGCCTGCACTACCCGAAGAACAATAAGCGCCCCATAGTTGGCTGGGACGGCTGCAAGAAGCACATTTGCCAAAATGTAGACTAGGATGGAGACGATGTAGAGTGGTCTGCGTCCTTTCCAATCCGCAAAGCTTGACCAGATCAAGGGCTGTGAGGAATTCTGTTTAGAAACACACGTAGATATTTCGATGCCACGACAAAGACTTACTCCAAAAGCAAACACAATCATGAACACTGTCACCGTGATATTTATTTCTGCCTCTGTTCTGTGGAACTGCCGACCTACCACTGGCAAAGCCGGTAGGTAAATGTTCCCCGCAAGGGGACCAAATATGCCCGCAACTGTGATAATTCCGAGGATGAACCGCCGACGAGATAATGAAAGAGCTGTGTAAACAGGATTTGGCGGTGCGGGAAGTTCCTCACGTATCTCTTTCACTGGCGCCTTGGAAGAGAGGTGACCAGAAGGAGTTGGAGCAATACTGGGTTGTGGCTCCGAACGACGCACATTGCCAGCTTGAAGCTCAGATGTCGACATCTCAAAGATGCAAGCGATACAGACTGGGAATTTAATTAATCAGGTAGGTAGAAATATACTTATGGCTTGGTATATCTATATGTACTTAATGGATATTACAATACATGCGGCACGGATTATCCCGAAAACCACTCCCATTAAAGAAAATAAGTTCAAGTAGCCACAGGAAATAATTTTACAAAAAATAAATAAACATAAAAATAAAAATAAAAACCGATGAAATAAGAGAGAGTACAGCAAAGCACAAGAGTGAATACATGCCCGATACACTAGATCGGAAGTTCAATCAAGCTAAACAATCGAGGTTAGTGCTAGTCAATGCCAAGGATGGCCCCCATGCGGCCATGCGCACTCGACTGAGTTCACAGAGTAAAACTGCTCAAACTAGCTCACTCTAAATGTCAGATATCATCGGAAATATCGTTTATCGCAATTTATATAGGCAATATCCTCTCTTCCGTTCTTATTGGCCCCTGCAAATACTAAAGCCCTGGAGCGCGCGCCACTAGATATTGAGGCAGCAAAGTCGGGAATCTATATATCCTGTCTGTCTTTTGTTTTCAAGTTTGTTTTTGTTGATTTTGCTTTCTATCGCCTTTCCACTTCTACAATTTTACTCATTGAATGCCTCTTTCTCGCAACTCGGATTTTTTAAATCTTCTGTTCGGCAGTGGTGTCATCTCCGACCGCAATATGAACGTGGAGCGGGATTTTGTTGACGAAAACGTTGATAGAGACGAAGATGGGGATAAACAAGGGCTTCGGGCCACAGAACGCGACATCCAAAATGATACAAATGATCTGGAGCAGGCTAACTCGAAGTCTGCCTTCAACTCGAAGAAAGCACTGTGGGCATTTTTGGTGCTGTGCTATTCGGTATGCAGAGACCTTTTATGTTTTGTTTGAAATTAAGTTTGGTAGAGTATGATATAGGCTAACAATATTGCATTGGATAAATTACAGACTGGTCCAACGTCTTCCATGGTCTCGAATTACGTGACGGCGGCAATCCTCTCCGCAGCCAATCTCTTGGGACACCAGGCCGGATCGGACAAACCATGCCCACGCCGTGGAACAAACATTAGCTGCCTGGTGAAATTTGGTGGGGGAGAGATTGATTACAACAGCTACACGTGAGTACTATTTTGCTGGATTGCAGAATCTCCTTAGCTGACAGAAAGCAAGATTGTACCTCCGATCGATCAGTCGAGCCACGGAAGGCGTTGTGGCGATTCTCACGGCCGGCTTGGCAGACTACGCCTGTGGGTACACTCGATGGACTGGGATGGGCATTCAGAGCTGACCACATACCCCCAGATTACCGCAAGACGATGATGATGGTATCGATATTTCTGTTTGGGACATTGGCCTTGCCTTTTGCAGGGCTCACAGGTCAAACCTACAGCCATCTGACCGCCCTATCTGTATTATATTGCTTTTTGACGACCATCGGAGGCGTCTACACAGTGATCGAAGGGTCATACATCCCAATCTTCATGCGATCTGCGGGCTGGTTCCGTGACTCCCGCATGGCAAGCAACCAGGGCGAGAGAAATACGTGGAACAAAGGGGTCTCCATCAGTGTTCTCGCATTGGTTTCAAGCAATATCGGTGGCTTGACTGCCCTCATCATTGGCATAATTCTTGTTTATGGACGGGGATCCTACGTCCAGGTTGGGTATTTCAATTACCTTCTCGCTATTACAATCGGTGGCTGTATCACAAGTGAGTTGCACTTTTATTAGACAATGAGCCCATTTGTAATGATTCTTTTTCAGTTCTGTTTGCTCTACTTGGCCAGTACCTTTTGCCGTCGGTACCTGGAAAAGAGCTTGACCGCACAAAAACCAGATTCCCGTTGCTCGTTGCCTTCAGAAACTGGTTGAAATTGCTCAAAAGTGCCACCCGCTATTCCGAGGCATTCAAGTTTTGCATAGGATGGGTTATGTGGAACACTGGCTACTCTAACCACTTGCAGCTCATCGGTGCACTCTTCCTGCAGGTCACTGGATTTTCCCGAAGCTCCGGAGTATACTCGGTCTGGTCGTTTACTAGCGTCATATTTGCCTGCATGGGCAGTTTGAGCTTCATGTATCTCTACCCACGACTTCGATTGCCCGTCAAATCATACGCGTATGGTTTTCTCGTGGTAAATATTCTCTGTGTGCTATGGGGCTGCATCGGAATCAGCGACCATGTTACCATCGGTTACAAACACCAAGCCGAGTTTTGGATTGAGCAGGTCCTTTTCATGTCCACCAGTAGTGCTCTTCGGGCGTATAATCGCGCAATCTACTCTTCCATGATTCCGGAGAACTCCGAAGCGCAATTCTTTGGGCTAGAGATCACCTTGGATCTCGCTACTGGATGGATAAATCCCTTGGTAATGGGTATTATCCAGGATCGGACGCACAATTTACGATTCCCAATGATTCCAAACCTTTTATTGATGCTCGTTGGATTGGGACTTTACTCGCAGGTGGATATTTCCCAGGGAATTGAGCAGGCAAAGATCCCTTTGAGTCAATAGGTCAACCGGAAATTCTGTGAACTAGGAAGTCTGATTATTGTTAGATCGTGGAGTGGAGAGTGGGGAGTGTGATTCGAGACTGGAGCCATTGCGTATCCACGATAGCTTTTTTTCCGGGAAGGGTTCAGTATAGAAAGCTTTCTTGCGCGGAATTCGCTGCATATATCAACATGTGTTATTATTGACGACCTAAAGATGATACACCTTGAATTATAATTGCAGATGATTTAAAGAATTGCCCTCTCTGATCTTGACTTTTGGTCGAATACTTTGCACTTGGCTCGTCATTAATTCTCCTCGGTTTGTTTAGCTCATGGATACTCTTCTAGCAATTTATGATCGAAGTTCGAGATGTTCGCAAAATCAGATAATTCATTGGAAAAAACACAATCTGGTAACATGGAAACGCTACTAACTCGGGAAACAAAACATCATTTACGCCTTCCCTTGCGGCCCGAGAGAAACTATAAAATTCAAATAACACTAAAGCTTCGTAAAAACAAGACGTACGCCTCGTGGGTGCAGGGGACCGGCCTGTGGAGTAGAATTAGGGTAAGCGTGATGAAGCGGCGGAGGGGCCAATGCACATACAGGCGTCATTTGGATTTTCCATTCAGGGTCCAGCTCCCATCGGAACGCCTGAATGAGAACAAATAATGTGACCCTCATTTGCAAGAGAGCGAATTTCTCTCCGAGGCATGCGCGGGACCCGCCATGAAATGATATGAATTCGGCGCGCGCCTTGGCACTCCGGTACATCATGGAAATCTGCTCATCGGTGGCACCCCATCGCTCTGGTCGAAATTCATCCGCATCTGGCCCCCATGAGTCTGGATCCCGGTTGGTGGCATAACTGTTATATCCGATGTATGTGCCCCTGGGGATGTGGATGAGGCCACCGAGCCATGCGGGCTCTGCCACACGTCGGTTGATGAGCTGCGAGATGGGTGGTAATAGCCGAAGACATTCTAATATTGTTGCAGTAAGGTACGGTAGGGACCGCCAATCTGGGGTGGAGGATTTGCTTATGCCGAGACCTTCAATCTCCTGTCTGAGCTTTTCTTGTATTTCCTAGTTTCCCAATATTAGTCTTGCAAATTGAAGAGGATGAACCAAGGAGTGGGTCTCCTTAAAGAATGATCTGGGTATATACTCACCGGATGTTTCCCTAGGAGATACAGGGACGAGACCATAAGAAGTTGTGGATTCTCTTGGCCAGCCACATAGAGAACATTTAGATTATCCCGAACCTGCTTCGTATTCAAGGTTCCATCGCGCCACGCGGACCTGAGTCGGTCTCCGAGGCAATTCATATTCTCGCGATTCTCAAACTTTCTGCCTGGACTTGTAAGAATTTCGGCTTGCAATAGGTCTGAAAATTGCCGTATCAGTCGTCGAGCCTTGGCTCTAGACGGTATTACCGATGCGAGTCGGTCTAACGCAGGGAAGCTCATGTAAATGGGGCGAAATAGATATCGCTTCAAAGTCAGTTGAGTAGCATGGAGTGGGACCTCGTGCGCCATGTTCAACATCTGAGACTAAGAACTCCCTTTTGGCTTAGCAATTCGAGCAAAAAGTAAACATGGGAATATCAATATGCAAGTCAAGCCTCCACTTACACCTAGCTCTGTGCAGTCAAAAATGCAACACAGAAGATTCGCACTGGAATATCGTTGAAGGATATCCTGTATGGGGATTCCTTTGTCCAAAGACTTCCCCTGTAGCTGCCAAAGAATGTTCCGTAATTTCTCTGCTCTATCGATTATAGCCTTGGTGTGAAAGGCTCTCTGTAATCCGGGTTTGATGATAGCACGGTAACAACGCCACTCTTCATCTCTTGCGGAAATTATGTTGGATCCTGCAACCAGGGCATGGGTCCCTTTCTCAGTCGGTATACTTTGAAGTGGGCCAGATAGCTCACTTACCAAGAAATTCAGCTAAAACGCTGTGTGGAATCTTGTTTTGGTTGCCACTCTTGTTGTATATCTGCTCTTTCTTCAATACCTCGGAGATGAACGCCGGTCGTTGAATGATCACGTTCCATTGCCCACCGAAGAAAATCTTGATGGCTCCATGTTCATATAGAGGACCAGCAATATATTTTTTGAATATCTGCTCCTGATCAATCTCGAAAAAGATGGGTAACAGAGTAATCCAAAATGGGGCCGAGGGAATCTGGCGAGGATGCCATGGTGGCGTGAGAACAAACACAAGCGGTATAATCAATGTGAGAACCATCAGCACAACCAAAGTACACATCATGGTTATCTATTATGGGGTTTCTCTTCCGTGGAAGAATAATCAAACTTGCTCAAAGGTAACTCGAGACTGTTGGAAAGATTCGTTCTGAGAGGACGCCTGAGCGTCCGCTGTGTCAATTGGCTCTATTTATGCCGCTACACATGAAGTCGGCGACTAAGGGTGACCAATTTGGCCTCTTTCTGCCTCAATACAGGGTATGAAATGTCATTCCCGGTTTTTTTTTCTCAACCTTCGGGTTGGTTTCCCACGGATAGCAATCCAATGAGTCAATTTCGAATTAGCAACGCTTTGTACAGATCTAAATGTAGAATAGCTCGCCTATTTTCACATCAAGTGGGTCTGTAATATTGCCATTGAGTTAATTCTGAGTTGTATTATCGTTGGTAATAGGGGCCAAAGTGTATTATTGCATGGTAAGACGAGCTTGAGGCTCGTTCTATTGCCTGCCTATATCCCCTGCTTAAAACAGGAGATCAGTATCGTTCAAGGGGAGTTTTTTACATCACAGACATACACCTCACGCAGCGCTCTGAAGAGTATCACAAGCATGGCTGATTGTATATATGACCGATTAGTTGCCATATACAGCCGCACACATCAGGGTGACCTGATCCAATGTTTTGGCGGCGACGTACATTCGGTGCATTCAATCTGGTTTCTTATCGAACAACAGCTCAACCCGCAAGAGTTCAATTCATACCATTCTCTGTCAAACACTGCCACTGATGGGCTCTCTTCCCCTTCCCAACTTGTCAACATTCACGAGCTTCGCCTGCCTCATCCGTCCACCATCGTGGGGATTGCACTACGTCCGGGTAGCACTGGACTTTCTATTTCGTATTTTGAGGAGTTCTTTTGCTATCTGTTGCTACAGCAGATTGCGCGACTTTCCATTGTCCTGATGGGCAACCAAGCCATTGCGGATGTCTCAATTGCACAACAGGTGGTTGATCTTTGCAATGATGAGCTGTTGATTCATCCCTCGAACTCTCAATGGGAGGCCGTGGGTCGGGACTATTTCTTGCAAAAAATATGCTTCTTCACTTCACGAGAATTGACTATTGAAATGTGCTTACCTGCATTTCCATGCAAATCCTCAAACCCAGATAAGGTTGCCGGGGCACTTCCAGACCGTGGTGAAGAGCTAGCTCTTCGGCGACTCTATTCGGTTTCACGAAAAATAAAGTCAATCTACGAGCCCGGTGTGAGAATTTGCATTATAAGCGATGGACACGTGTTTAGTGACTGCAGTGAGTAGATCCCCTTTGGTAAAAACATTCTTGCTATTTTTTCTAAGTACCTATGATCGGTTAGTCGGAGTGGACGACGACAAAGTGGACGAATATGGCCTTCGACTACATGAGCTCAATGAATCCATAGCCCTCCAGGAAGGGCAGCCTGGTGTAGTCTCATTTCAGTCTCTGAGAGACATCTTTCATTCAACTCCAAAAAGTGTTCTCGGAGAGACAGGAGCGTGTCAAATAGAGCTACCCATTCTTGAACACTTTCTTGGCACCAGTATTGCGAACGAAACTGAATTTTGCCGACAAGCATTGGCATTGGCTTGCCAACCAAACAGAAGCTCCTTAAGGACCCTGATAAAAGGCCAGGATCCCGCAATTGTCGCACTCTATCGTGGGTTTTCGCGTTTCATGTTAGAGGATCTTGCATTGCATCCTCGCTCACAGTCAACTTCACGATCACAGAGGAAGAAAGTCGCTGAGAAGATATCATTTGAAATGTTGCTACGCAACCAAGCTTACTCCAACCTTGTGGAATTGTTTTTCCCCGTGCACGTGCGACTTTCGATCCACGCCCATGTTAACTCTGGCCCCAAATTTGGCATCTCGTTATTTGATCGATCGAAAACTCGCGTGATTGACAATTTAAACGACCTGTCGAGCATTGCGAAGCCGTCCCATGACCTCCTGCATATTCCAACCCCGTGGCACAACTGCGTTTTCCAAGTATCGGGAAGTGACTTCACATATATCACCAAATCTAAGGTAATCCATGATGCTCGAATGTCAGGCCTTATTCGAGGACACTGGGTCAGGCAAGACCGAGACAGCGCTTCGGGTGGGTATTTCCATGTCGATGCTCCCGAACGGACTGAGACAAGTCAGATCACCGCTGTGAGCACTTCAAAGTCTCCAATCGTTTCATCTGTTCCTGCAAGGGCTATTCCCGCGACGGAAGATATGGCGATCAATACTAAGAGGACAAGTAGAGCTTCTCGAAGTTTCATTTTCCATGGCATCAAGAGGCTATTCCGATATAGAACTCGGAGTTCCCATTCTCATGGCCCCCACTCCCATGCTCCAGGAGGAATGGGTGTGGCATCCTGAGCTACGTGTTGAGATCTATTGACAATATGCGGTCTTCGTTTGTGGTGTTAAGGCCGCGCGTGGTGTTTGAGTCGCCGGATATGAATCATCCGACTCGAAGAAATGCGTCGTGCCACGGATCGTTTTATAGTCCTTTTTATTTGTTTTCTCAAAGTCCAGTGAATTCACAGTTGCGTTAAATGTTCGAAAAGTGAGATGTCCTCCAATGGCTCATTTATCTCGGTACATATGCATAAAGCTAAGCAATGACCCGTTAACGATTCATCAATTCGCATAGATCTTCCTTGTGATCATATGAATAGCTTTTAATCTCACAATAATAAGATAGAAACTGCAAAGCAGACTTATTCAACAGCAAGCTCTTTCCCCCGGTTCCTCAACGAGCTTACAAGGTTTTTCCAGATATTACCAATGGTGAATGCCCAAGTTGGAAAATCCCCCCTAATAGCTGGTTTGAGATGGACAGCATCCACAGGCCTGAAAGTAAAATGTACTAATAGAAGAACACGATATAGAAAAGCAGCATGGTAGATGGTATCTCGAAGTGGGTTCGATTAAACAGACTTAGGAATATTTGATTGATTAGATTAACTGATAACATGTGCTTTTAGTGACCCTCGTGTGCATTTCCATGTATTAAACCATGTAGCTAAATACAACGGCTGAAACTGCCAAGGGAGCTTCCTACTAGGCTTAATGACACGCAAGCAGACCGCTAAAGACGCCGTATGAGAGCGTGTTTGACCTGCGCACGGCGACTTCCATAAACCCCTTCAAATTGAGGGGCATCTACACAACCAGCTGTAGATCAGAGCCTACTCCACATATTTCATGGTTTCAACTAGGCTACATATCAGCGGAGATCAAGCTGTTCGTGTGACAAAATAATCATCGCTTCCAGGGCGCAATTAAATATTTTTGATCCTTAACACGTCCCCTTGCCACGGGGTGATCTATTTGAGAAATGAGACTTGGAAGAACGCGCCTAGTGCCAGCCGAGCTGCCTTTTTTATACTTCGATCAATACGGTCTGGGCTGGAGCCTGAAGATCGGTCCAATGCCAGGGATGTTGATGCGATATGGATACTACCGTGGAGGTCATGGTTATTCTGGCGATTCTGGCAAATTTGGGAACGATGAAATCATCTGGCGCCTCTTATCTCGAAATAAAAGTTTTCGGTGCCTGATTTTGGTGGTCCTTGCGTTTGCACAAGTGTGTTTATTCCTAAGCCTCGTCACTCAAGTGCAAATTGAGACACAGAGAGCGGATCAATTCTCTCGACAACTTCTGCATCGCCACCAGGACCGGGCTCTCAGTACAAGATCCTTTATGGCCCAAGCTGAACGGGTATTACTGAAATGGATCGATCTGGCCTAGGTTTGACACCTTAGGAGGCTTTCTATCGAGAGATGCTTTCGTACTGTACCCACTATGTATAGTATTAGCAGCGTAAAAAATATCATGCTTCTCCCAGTGGCTTGCGTTGAAATTCCTCCATGTGAAAAAATGCCTAGGGTGATTGTCTTGCGGAAAGCCATGACCTTGCACGTCAAGTTCGATTGATGCGTGGCAATGATATGGGATCCGGAAACTAAATTGATCACCAGAAAATGTCAGACGATGATAAGAGCATACCTCCACTTGAGAAGTTTTGAGAGTTTATTTATGAATTCGGATTGGTGGGGTACGTGGAGTCTGGGCACTAACTAGTTATGTACAGTAGGCACATCAGCCCTGATTTGGAGCATGCTGATACTCTCACTCGGCGCTCGGCCCTGGGGAACGCCTCGACCTGTGGGGCGAGAATTCCATCACCCCTGCCAAGAATGCCGGCGTGATATTTGTGGTAAGACCGTGTGTTCTCGCGTAGTGGCTGAACAATTTGAGCAGATTTGAGGTTGGAAAAGCCGCCAGATCATTGCAGTGTCTTTAGGCAACGCGCAACGCGCAAATGAGTGTACGTACGGCAGTCCATAGGTGCCAGTGGGCAATAATTAGTAATTCACCCACACCGTCTGTCTACCCTGGCCGCCTAGGCGATCAAGTCGATTTTTTTTTATTTATAAGTGCGGTCGTGCTCGAAAGAGTGTTCATTAATAAACTATGCAGTACACTGAGTTTATTTACAAAAAGCAAGTGAGCGATGGCTACTGAGCACAAATGTTTTGGCATACAAAAATCAAGCGGATGGTCGGCCTCCACTGAGTACTATTCATTTCATTTCTTTCATTATCCATTTATTATAAGAACTGAAAGCACACAGCAGAGTACTATCTCATGGTATCGTTCCTGCCTCTGCGGCAGCCTTCACCCAAGTCTCTCTCTTTTGCAATTCCCTGAACCACTTGTCCACATTCGGGTACTTTTCGAAAACCTCCTTCCATCTACCTGCCTTTAAAGCCGCCCCATTGGGCAAGTGAAAGAGGTCCGCCAAAGTCAATTCATCTCCAGCAAGATATTTCTGTTTAGCCAAAGTTTTGTCATAAACAGCGAGGACTGTATCAAGGTCTCTCTCGGCTTGTGCGACTCTTGCTTCGTCAGGGGAACCCAGTCCTTTCTTTCTGTAATCCACAATTAGTGTATGTGCCAGGAAATCAGCAAACAAAGAAAACGTACGGTCTGATGATGAGCTCAGTTCCTATGGTTTCGGCGGCGGCGGCAAAATAGCTTTGTTCGATAGAGCAGGCTTGCTCAAAGCGCCCATATGCTTTTTCATCTTCCTCTGGAACGAGCTTTGTTCCAGAAGGATATTTTCTATCCGAAGATATATGTCAGTATTATTTCGTCTCTCCTCGATGGTGGCCCTAGACTTGCCTGGCAAGATACTTGCAAATAGCCCTACTTTCAAACATCAAGAATCCATCATCCTCCAGCACAGGCACCTTGCCAAAAGGCTGCAGCTTCATGTACTCCTCGCTCTTCTGATCACCCTTCGCAATGTCAATGAGAATGAATTCGTATGGTAATTCCTTCTCTAGAATTGTGACCAATACACGCGAAGTGGACATAGCAGAGCCATAGAGTTTGAGAACCATTTTTCAGAAGAAGTGGTGATCAATGCAAGTATTCGTCTTAGGAATCTGAAGGAGTGCAATTTGTGAAGGATTACATTCTGTTATACGACGAGGTTCGAGTTGTACAACGTTGGCTGATCACACGTGCTACCCCGCTTTCTACTCCCTTCCAAGGTTTATCTACTTGTTTTGATTCAAGAAGAACGTTCTTCAAAGCTCAGTTCTTGCACAGTAATCCAGAGCTTTATCTTATCTAATATGTCTTCAAATTTTCGGCTTATACGCCGACGCCTCAACCTGCTCAACACCATCCGCTCGACACAACCACGACACACGATCCTTTGCATACTGTTCCACCCTAGGCTTCAACTTCGTCTCATGTAAATTGAAATCATCCACAGTCCCAATACGTAAGATCTTACTTCCCGGGAATGCCTCTCCAACGCGATACATCAGCGATCCACACTTAGAGCAAAAGAAGTTCGCCATAGCTTTGCCGGAGGCGATAGTTTTCGACTGGCTGAATTCAGTCAGGACGTCACGACCTCGTACGTGCTCGAGATATGCGTCAGAAATGATGAAATTAGATGCGAACATTGATGCTGTGATTTTGCGGCAGTCTGTGCAGTGACAGAGGAATGTATCAATCAGTCCTGGGCCTTGAGTTGGCTGGTAGAAGTTTAGGTTAGTATACCGACGGAAAGAATTAGAAAGATAATCGCGAGACACCTGCGGGCATCTAGAAGTTGGCTTTCTGGAAATTACTCACGAAAGATAATTGCACAGCTCCGCAGTAACATGTGGCCGTGGCCTTGTCGTCTTTCGACCAACCATCCTCTGCGCCACCGGATAATGGGATATAACACTTGGTTTTATCCGAGGGTGGGCCCATATTGCGTAGTTCAAATTTAGTCGATGTGGGGATGATACAATTATTTGGAAAAACGCACTCCTCGATGGTCAAACTTGCTGGTGGTCACGGAAGTTTGAAGTGCTTACAGTACTAGTTTATATACTTGGACTCGGAATTACTAGTTGACCAGGGATTACCAAGCAGCCCGAAAGTTGAGAAGACCCCGGGGACATTCTACCCACACGGCTAGATAGAAAGCCCGGGCTGCCCACTAGGGACTGGTACCATAATTACCCAATTAGGAGGGAGAGACGAGGAAATAACCTTAATCTAAAGAGACCATAAAGCACCAGCCGAGAAGAAATCGCCAATCACTTTGAAATAAAAGTATCTCTTACCTACTAGTAAGTTTTTGAAAAAAGGATATAAAATAAATCTGATAAACCAAACAAGTTCACACCGAAGAAATAACAAGTAGAAAGCAAAGAATATAAATCCCAACGTAATAGAGCCCTCAGTCCCAAAATCAACTCAAACCACGCCAACTTGGAACAGCTGAAAGTTGATACTAGTAATACTACTTAAGCCACCTCACATATAACCATCGAGTTTAGAAGTCCTCATTAGGAGAAAAGCAGCAAGTATAACAGCCCTCAGACTGGAGAACCGCCGAGCCCTGAAAAGAGAAATCAATTAGCAAGCCATCCATTTGACTTCGCACAACCCGATCAAATAAGCAGGGAAACATGGATAAAATACTCACATAAGGCGGACCACACTGTGCCTCCTCAGCCGAAGCAAAGCACTGACCAAGACAGAAAGAACTGCCCTTATCAGCGCCAAACTTATCATGCACCTGCACCGGCGCAACATTGGTACCCGGAGCCAGAGGGGCAACTGGAGCGATATCACTCTGCTCGCCAGCATTAGGGTTAGTCATCTGCTCAAACCTCGATTCCGACTCCCACTCCGAATCTTTCGGGGCCGCATTCAATGGCTCCGGAGCCTGAGCGGAAGGAGGAACGCCCATACCACCGGCCGGAACACCGATATGTCCATCCGGAGCAACGGCGGGTCCGTGACCAGCTGACATGGGACTCGCAGGGGGGTAAGGAGCTTGGTGCAGGTGTAGAGCGTGGCTGGGGCGGTGGGTTGGCGTGGTGCTTGCCACGTAGTAGTGATCGGAAGAGGGAGTGCCGTCGTGGTGGCCATGGGCGTAGCCGTAGCTGGGACTGTAGCTGGGAGCCGCAGAGCTCGAAGGGTCAAACATGCCTGAAGCGTAAGGGAAGCTTGAGGCTATCGGTTGGATGGATGGTTTGGCCATGGGCATCATGGTGGATGGGGTTGCTGTGGGCGGGGAGGTTGCTGGGTGCTGGTTTATGTTGTTGTTGTCGTCGATTTTGTGCCATTCGCCTGATTCTTCGAGACCGTAGGCGTGTGCAACTTGTGGCACGAAGGATTTCACGAATTGGGCGCTTGTTCCTGCTGCTAGCAGGGTGAGGATGGTGATGTGCATTTTGGCGGGTTGGCGTTGGACCTGGGGTGTTCGTGGTGGTTGGCGTAGATGGCGTTGGGTTGTCGAGGGAAGGGCGAGGAGAAGGTGTGAGGATTTGGCATGTTTAACATAGCAATTCTTTTCCTTCTCTCTCAAGGGGTTAGTTCTTGTTTTGGTGGTGTGGTTGCATTTTGGGCCGCGTTGGAATGTGAACTTCACTTGTATTGTTGCCCTCGAACTTTGTACGTCGATTAGCAGCTTCATACATATTTGGGTGTATTCGTGTGCAATGAATGGCTTGGATTGAAATTAAACGCGATATATCGGTATCTGTGGGCTTTAGTCAAATTTTGGCTTGAAAATCGAGGTAGATGTCGCGATTGCTACTTAGGGCTCGGGTATGCTCACATTGAAGCGGAGACGCGGCGAATTCCCCCTACATGCCTCGCAGGCAAAACAAGCTCAGCCCGAGAGAGCTAGTCTATTCTTATACGTACGCTTATGGATTGTCGGCACCCTCATTGCTCATGGGACCAGAGAAACCGGAAGCGAAATAATAGAATAAGGATGAATGCACGAATCGAGTCAAAATAGTAGAAAATGCATCAGATCCATACATCGTTTAGACCAAATCTATAGAATAAAATCAAATTACAAGAAAGAAAGGAGACTGAGTCCAAGCTCACGCTCAAGCTCAAGCCCATCACCAACTCTTCCTCGTCTTACTCCACATCCTCACAAAATCAATCTTCTCCTTAACCCCCAAACCCACACGCTTGACCCGTCCCAGTCTCGCCAAAGCCTCCCCAACCTGATCTAACAACGCCCCATCCGCCCCACTAGCCTCCCCATCAACCTGATCCAGCGTATCAAGATAATTAGTCTCAAAAGTCGACTTACGCGTCGATCTCGCAGGCGGAAGATCGATCGCACTCGCCCCACGCTGCACCGCTTCCGCAATACGAACACGAATACAGTGCGTCGGTTTGCTTAGAAGTGTCCAAATGAAACTGACATAACTTCCAGGAAGCGGGGTCACGACGTCGACAGGCGTGTAGCGCAGGCTGACGGGGAAGATCTTGGTTTTCGACGGTACGCCGAGGAGAGACTGGCTTAGGGGCAGAATGCCGCGGCTGTTGGTTGTTGTGCATTCGGGGAAAATCACGATGGGCCGGTTGGGGTGTTTTGAGACCAGGGATGAGACGTCCACAAGAGTTGTGCCGGGTGCCGGGCTGATCGAGGGTGGTGCGAAGGCGCGGAGGATGGCTTGTAAAAGGGAGATGCGCTCTACTTGTTTTGTGTTTGGGTAGGAGGCTGTGAAGATTGGGTCGAAGATTGCGGCGAGGTAGACTGCGTCAATGGGTGATGTGAAGGATGAGGCGATCACTGAGCCGGGTTGTGGGAGGCGGGCTTGTTGGTGTTTGGAGAGGGAGCTAAGAAGAAAAATCTCGAGGTTAGCTAGGTCCAACTTGCAGTTATGCGCATATTAGGAGTAAGAGGAAGATGGACGAACCCTTTTCGCACTCCGTCCACTTGCAGGTCAATCCACCATATACTCGGCACGCCGAGGATGCACCACAGTGCGGCCTTTTTGCCCAGTGACCCAATTGGCAGCCATTGTAGGATGACGAAGTAGGCAACAGTGACAAATATGAACAGCGGCAACCTGAAGCAAAAGAGGAAGACGCGGAGTGGGGTCTGCAGACCGAGAGGCTCTGAGGGGATGGGGAGAAAAGGCGCAATGCCGGAGCCTGTTCTTTTGTCAGAGGGGGGTGAACCTAGCAAGAGAGGTGAGATGGATCGGGACAGGGACTAACCTCGATCTCGGAACTGCGAGAACTTCTCCATCTTGTTTGCAAACAAACAGAGAGGGTGGGGGTGATCACTGCCGGTGGTCAATCAAGCTGATCGTAGAAGATAAATGGTGAGGTTCACAAGGAAGTTCCCCGGCCTTCACATGCGAATATCACGTGAGTGCTGTCATGATGCAGGTTCAGCCTAAATAAGAAAGCTGACTAATGCGGTGATCAGCTTAGGGCGAACCAGACGGGGTCGATCCGTGGATTTATGCTACCCTAAATGAGATGTAGAATGGAATGGATGTTGGCTACTGCTAGTCGTAGAAATACTACTACCTAGTACTAGTTACTACTAGCAGGGCACATCATGAAAGAATGCAATTTGAAATATATTTAGAACCGGAACTCCCTTGGTGCAAGTCTATGATAGACATATAAATATATAGTATAGGTACTGTACAGGCTGTAGAGGGTATCCATCTAATCTATTCCCTACTCCTCATCTTCAAAGTCCCCAACAACAAAGTCCTCCCGGGGCGTCAGAGGAAGACGGAAGACCCAAATAGCCGCAGCCACCATGCAGAACAACGAACTAGTGACCATCCACGCGAGTCCGATCCAGAACCCTCCAAGGCGTAACCCGAGTTGGAACACCGCTGTAATAGTCAAGCTGGCGACCACATTGCCAACAGACTGCAGGATTTCAATCACCGTGTACAGTCGAGCGGTCTGGTCCCGGTCGACGAGCGTGGTGATAATTGATCGCGTGAGGAAGACGAAGCCAGAGCCCGAGGCCTGGAGCATCATACTCGGGATCAAGGTGCCGATGGCGGGAGAAAGTCCGATACCCAATGTGCCCAGGGTGAAGCAGAGAATACTAGCCCGTGCTAGGGAGAGGTCCTTCTGTGTGGATGAGTGTCGGCTGTTGAGGTAGTGTTTCTTCAGATATGGGAGGCCCCAGAGGAAGACTGGGATAGTGACTGTGGGTCGGAATGCGACGAGGAGATTGGATTCCGCTAATGACCAATGGTAGCGGGTGGAGATATATTGGGTAAGGAACCAGGAGGAGCCGCGACTGAGACGGTAGATTAGAAAGACCGATAGGAGAAGGAGTACTGGTTTATGGTTGAGGATAAAGAGATATGGCCGGACGTAGAAGCGAATGTTTGTCCGGCATTTTTCCCACCAGGATCGGACCCGCGAGGTTGTTTTCGGATAGCTCCATGACATGTGCGCGTCCATTGATGGACGGGTGTTCATTTCGCTATCTGTGTCATTGGGGTTAGTGTAGTGTTGTTTGGGCTCAGTCTCGTCGTCGTCGAATTCCGAGAGCTCCACGTGGACGGGCTCATCCTTGGCAGTGAAGGTATGTTTCGTTTCGGGGAGGAGAAAGGTCAATAATAATCCAAGGAAGATGATGATAAAGCCAATGAAGAGCGGGATCCAAGGATTCAACGCCATGAGCCATGAACTAGCGGCCGTGGAGACGAAATCTGCGCCCATCGAGACAATGCCGAATTGGAAGAACATGGCGGCTCTATTGTAGGGTTATTTTTATTAGCATTGCGACTGTTATACACCCCATCTACCCAGGACAATGCATACCTCTCCGATTCAGTGGTCACATCCGCCATCATAGTCCAAATGATAGCAAAAGCAACAACGGGACCACCTCCAATCAGCCACGCCAAAGAGGACAACCAGATCGCCCGCAAGGGGAAGATATCCGAGAACCACATCACAGTCACGGTAATGATGGAATTAATCGCGAAGCCCGGAAGACCCAAGGCCAGGGTAGATTTGCGCCCGCGCCGGTCCGCCAGCAGACCGTAAGGAAAGGCCATGGCCGCGCCTGAAGATCAATGCAATGCTCACGTCAGATGCATCCGGACAAGGAATATGGAATAAGCACAAGGGAACACATACTCAACAGGCCATCGAAAAACATATGGTAACCCTTCACAGCGGCCAACTCCGACTGAACTTCCGGCAATTTGCACTGGTCCTCGGGGATGTATCCATTGGCGCCAATTTTGGAGGGATCGACAACGGCGAAATACTGTCGACAAGCGATGGATTCCAGAATGCGGACCATCGGGCCCTCCAGGAACGCGAAGCCGATGTCCACAGCTAGGATCATCAGGAAGAGGATCAGCTTCAGCCGGAAGCCAATCTTCTTCGCGGCAGCAGCGGAGTCCGCATTGTTCTGGTGGTGGGGGGGACTTTGGTTCGGCAGGGGTGTTGGTGGTGGTGCCGTCGGAGGTGCTTTCGGGGAGGAATGGGGCATCTTCGCGGGAGGAGCGGGAGTATTCAGGGGCGGAGGCCATGGTGGCCGGGCATGCCGTGGGGGGTAATTATAAGATCTATAGTTATAAGGAGGGGAATAGTGAGTGTCCCAATGATCCAAGGTTTGAGGTTAAAATTAGGAGAAAGGAGAAGAAGACATGGTGTCTGGAGTAAAGTAAAGTAAGAGGAGTAAGGTCAAGTTGTCCAGTTGCGCGCCAATCGTCGCAAGCGGAACCGTCACGCAGTCTTGGCGGGTCGCCCCACTGGGAGATCGTAGGGCAGAACAGTAGTAGAACATAGAGTATAGTATACCAAGCCTTGTTGGAAGATAAGTTCTACTATAATTATTTCTCAGTCATTATTCCACGAAAACTCCTATGATACTGTTCAAAAATACACCTAGACATTTGTAAATGGACTACGGAATGCCTGCGCGGCCGCGCGGGTAATCATTTATACTCCAAGTCCTTTTATTGTATAGAGTTATACTACTAGTACTACCCCAAAGATCCTTATCCATCGTGCGCATCAATTATTGGCCTTGATAAATTCTTCCAACCCTCTCTTACCCTTTTCCCCATTGACTTCATTGAGCCCAACAATTGGCGCATGCGGCCAAGATCTTATGACTGTGAATACTATGGCTTATTGTGGCCTACCAGGGATTCTGCCAAACTGTAATGTTCCCCCAGCAGAATAATATCGATCTGTATGCCACCGCATAGCTCACATCTATTACAACCCTTAGATGTGGGCTGTTTCGCGGTGTTAAAGCGATCATATAGTGCGTTAGTGGACCAACAGACACGATGTGGGATAAATCATATCGACAAGCTTGATTTCCTTACCGCGTATCCAGACGCACGTATCGAGGCGTTTAAGACTACTACTATTCAACATGCTTTAAAGCGACCGGAATAGTACCAATCGACGCAGAACCAGTGTTATCGAAGTTAAATATTCAGCTTCGTACGCCTACACCAATACCTTCAAGACCATTAAGCCCATCAAGTGTTTACTGCCCTGAAACACCAGCAAATTATAAGCAGCTTGTTAAGCATAAAGCCTCCACTAAGCGTATATTTCGCTTTTAATCATCAGCATCTACAAGCCCTATTCGGCAAGAAAAAGACCAGATTAAACAGGTCTACAAGGCATGTGAACTTGCGTTAAAAGACAACATTTTATTACGTGAGGAAGACAAGGGTCTACGCTGGTGGCTGACGTAAGCGGCACAAACAAAACGAAGCAAAAACTCCTTTGGCCTTTCAACCCGAACACTTCCGATACAGGGGTTGTCAGATCTCACTAAGAAAGTCTGAGATGAAGGGCGGAGGGGCGCTCAGATTGCAGGATCCCAAGCCCTGCGTGCGCGTTGATCGAAGGTGGGGGCGTGGGACGCGGGCTTGTTGTGCCTACTCGTATGGAGCGCCGTACTATTGATATCCCGCCTCCTCAAGCAAGCTTCCCTGTGCTTATACCACTGCTGATAGCTCCGAAAGAACCTTGTACAGAATTACCAAGCAGAACTGCCACGCAATTTTGGCGGATCGCCCAATCGGGGGATTGTAGGGCAGGCAGAACGGTACCTTAGATACCTGGGTACATTTATGGGGTTTTAATGTAACTTGATTCATACTAGTAGTAAAATTTGTTGATGGAGCCAAATGGAAAATTAGTTGGACTCATCCGTATCATGTTCCACATATATTCCAGAGAGGCCTGCTTTTTGGCGAATCTTTTCCGCCACTTCGATACCCTCACCAATGAACTTATACGGATGCCGCATAAAATCGATTTCAGCTAACTTCTTCGCCACTGATGATTCCTCATTTTCTTGCGTAAGTGTTGCAGTGAGTGTTTCTCCGCGTTATGAGGTACTTGATCGGGTAGACTGAGTACTCGTAGTGGAAGTGCTTAACAGAAAAATAGAAGGGGGCTTGTGGAGGGGGAGGGGACTTAGAGAGGATCATACTAGTACTACCTAACTACTAGTAGGAACTAAGTTCGAGGGGGGGGGGGATTTGTAAAGCAAACCTTGGAAAGTAGTTCTACTAGGTAGTACTACTGACCTTGGAACACATCATGATGTCACGAGCAAGATATACTATCGGGGAGCAGTTCTAGTAGCCTTGAAAGATCCGAGTCGGCAAACTGATCTTCTACTATTAGTATGTTGGATGAATAGTTACTACAATGAATACTAATCCATGTTGTAAGAGATACCGTAGTATAACTACGATAATTTGGAAGATATTTTCTGAATATGGGGTATCCTATATCGAACTACTACTAGTATTTTAAAGTGCAGTTCAAATCATGGTGACGGAAAACTTTGGATTGAACATAGCGAGTGGCGAAGAAACTATTGCCCTCGGTGAAGCTATTCACACAATACAATTATCAGTTTCTAAATTTGCATAGGGAACACTAGTATTAGTACCAAAATTTGGGGACTTTGAATCACTGGGTCGATTGGTGTGCACTGTTTTGCTCTAAAGTAACAAGTACTTTTCTATTTCCCTCTGCCTACAAGGCATTTGACTATACACAATAGATACATCGAAACTATACAAAGACAGTAGATACACTATTGGTATCCCGCCTCCTCAAACAGACTTCCCCGCGCTTGTACCACCGCCGACAGCTCCAGGAGAAACTCGTACAGAATGACCACGTTAGTCAGAACGTGGCCCAGAGTCGCACCCGGGGAGTCAGTTTCCTCCGCGTTCGCTGTCGCCTCACCACTAGCTTCATCACTGGCCCCGACGGGTTCCGCGTCCGTTGGGGTTGACCCCGTCGCTGTCACTGCAGGGGGAAATGGCGTGGCAAGGCGTCGACGCAGGGCCTCAGCCGTCACTGTTCGTGACGTTGAAGATCCACGAGACTCATCTGGGCGTGCAACGGACTCTCCCCGCATAGCCATAGCACTAGGATTCATAGCGGGAGAGCCAATATTGTTAGGGGAACGACCCCGAGACCCAGGCAACGAAGATTCAGGCGATCCCGGGAACGACGGGCGCGAGCGATCCACTGACCCCGGGACCGGTGGTTCAGAGGCCTCGCGAGAACGAACAGGCGTAGGCGTCTGGGGGCGGTCACCTTGGTGGAGGAGTTCTCTTCTAGCAGCGACAAGGACGTCGAAATCGGGCAGATCTTTCTGCCACTGGCGCACCTGTTCGACGAGCTTTTGCAGTGCGAGGGTCAACGTGGGCGCTGCGGTTTCGGGCCATGTTGGGACCTGGTATGCTTGGCGAACTTGATCAATTGTGTCGGAAGACTCTGATGAGGGTTTGTCGTAGCATGCCGGGTCGACCAGCACCCAGCCATCCAAGGCGAATAAGTGTGAAGATGCCAAACTCATAAACACTCCAGTCAGTGCAAGATTGACGATCACGCTATTTGTGAAAAATGTATCTAGGCATGTGAGTAGACCCTGCACGATCGGGTCATCCTGTTGAAGTTGTTGCGGAAGTGGGACCACTTTCTCGGCCTCCTCATCAGATACAGGGAGACAAAGCCGCGATTCGAGGACCCAGGTGGCATCGGCCACGTAGTTATCGTAGGACTCGTTCAAGGACGATTCCGTGAAAATCGAAGTAGCGAGACCAAGAAGATGCTCCAGCTCTGCATTAAAAGCACCGATCGACCGTTGCCGCGCTGGTTGGCTGGGGATAGTGTGGATAAGAGATCGTGCGAATGGGTGGTGGCGTTGGAGGACAACATTTAACAGGCGCAGGGTGGCGAGCACAGTTTGACGATTGGCAGATTGCAAGCCAAGCAACGCCAAATCACGCAAGTTAAATAGAGAGGGGGAGGGCTGAGCCGCCTCAGACGACAATGCGGCCAGCACATTGATCGATTTCCGACGGCTGGCCGACATATCCATCTGTTGTTCGGGTGGCGGGGAAGAAGCCAGCAAGAAATGCAAGATTCGGTGAACCAGCTCGCCCTGTTCAACCGAGTCGAGAATCCGGCAGAGATAAGTTAAAACTGCAGCTGTCGAGCCGCCAGCCACATCGGATGACTCCAGTAACGAAGGGTATCTGGGGTTGTTAGCAACGATCGATGAGGCTTGAAAAGGGGAAAATTCACAATAATTGTTCAAGGAATAGGACCTGGAAGTGATCCAAAAGAGTGTCGTTGACTTCAGCGGACTTGCAATGGTCGATGGTATCCTGCCAGAAGAGCAGATATGACATGAATGTGTCCATTGCTTCGCTCAATGTGGGCTGGAGGGCAGTCTCCTCCTTCGCATGGTCGGAGAGGGCGACCACCCGAGGCACATCGTCGTCGGTTGGGATGTATTCGAGGCTGGAGGAAATTAGTTCCAGTCGTGGCTTTCAATGTTTTCATTCGTTTAATGAACTGTACTCACCTTCCCAACTGACTGTAGAGTGCACCTAAGCCAATAGCCATCAAAGTCGCCAAATCACTTTCAATCAACCATCTCTCGAGGCTCTTGGAGCGAGATGCAGTTTCGATAATATATAAAAGTCCCGTCCGCGCAAAGTCACCGGCGCTCTTGTCACTGTGGACATAGTCGACCAGCATGTAGAAGAGAGGGAATTCATCCTTACGCGTCGCACCCGCAAACTCCGCACCACTTGGTCCTGTTGACTCCGTATCTGAGCGGACCGGGGTAACGCGTGGCCGGAACCATGTTGATAAGGTCTCGGGCTGCAGGCGAATGTTGTTGGCGATGCCGAAGAGGAGTTCCACTAGAAGTGTCTCAGTTTTGTCGGATGTTTTATCTGCCTGACGGACAAGGTCGACCAAGGCGCGAGAAAATGCCGTCGAGATGCTTTCCTTTGGTCTTCCCCTTCCCCTTTCGCTCTCCTCTTCTGTCTTCAGCACCCCGGCGTGAATTATGTGGTTGAAGAAGATCGCGGCGGATCGGACCAGGTCATCGTCGTGATAGGCGAGCGAGATGAGAGCGACTGTCACGAAGATGCGTGAGCTAGCGGCGGTCTCGACGCAGTTGTGTGGTGAGGGACCGCGAGACTCGTCGGTCAGGAGGAAGTTGAGGCGTTCGAGATAGGTGCGCGCGAAAGCGATCGACTCTTCGACGGAGCGGGAGGAATTGGAGTTCCAGAAATGCTACATTCCCATTGTGTGAGTCAGGGCCGATCCGAGGACACGCGCAAACATACCTGAAGGGCATTGCAGTCGTGGATAAAGACGGAGTGTCGTTCAAGCTCCGACGGAGGCCAAGGCTTCTTGCCGGCGATAAGCCGAGCCCATTTGGATGAGAACCACTAGAGGAATGAGTATTGGCGGGTTTCAAGGCGGCACAGATCAAGGATACTCACACTGGACATATTTCTCCGGCATGATCCAACGGGGAATCTAGAACTTTGGAGATGAAGAGGGGAGAAGGCGATGAGGGAAGGCTGAGTGGAGCCGCGGTGGACACTCGGGGATCGTGGCTGATAAACAGTGACATTAGGGTACACTGTAGGTACACGGCCAGTACTCGGAACTACGGGAATACTAGGGCTAGTACTTCAAAGATAGTAAATATCATGTGTCCAATGGACAACTCGAAGTCTTCGCAGAACTATCGCCTGCCATGAAAATATTATTATTCACAGGGAAATGCGCTATCCAAAATGAAACCCCAGGACAATCCGAATCCACCCAACGCCGGTTCACAAGACAAAAAAAAAGAGAAATGCGCCTGTTCCCCCACCCATCTACCATCGTCAATCATTTCCATTGCCACTCCTAATCACTCTCCTCCTTCGGTTTGCGCGGGCCACGCTTCCGGCGACCTTCATTTTGATCGCTGCCTTCGCCATCTTCATGTTTGCGCCCAGCGGGTTGATCTGGTACTTTGGCGATAATATCGGCCAGGAAATCGAGGACCTCATCCTTGGCAACCGCGTGCTTGAGATGAGATGCGGTGACGCGCTTGGAATTGCGGTCTTTGGCTTCTTGGGCGGCCTTGGTGACCAAAGAGATCATGAAGAGCTCGAGTGCCTTGGCTATAGTGAGAGAAAAGGAAATTCAAGTTAGTTTGCGACAATTTAGAAAGAGATTGCAAGAATCTTGTGCTTGGCTGGACTGAGCTGAGCTGAACGGAGCTGCAAGGTTGAGAGGGGCACGTACAAACGGCGATCGGGGTGACCTGCGCGACTTTGCCGACATCCTCATCGGCTTGCATGATGCGCTTGATGCGGGCGACAGGGAACTTGGTCTTGACTTCGATGGGAGCAGCCGGAGGTGCATGCGGAGGTTCGTCCATCTCCATTGGTGGCGCGACAGCCATCACCGGGGGAGCTTCGGTGTAGAGCTGAGCTTCGGGAAGAGGCGCAGGCGCGTCGTCGTGTTGGAGTCGAGAGGAACGACGGGCCATATCGTCAAAGCCGGCTTGAAAAGGCGGCACGTACTGTTGGGGTACGCGACTGAGACCAGAGCTTGAGCCTGGACGTTGATAGGTGTTGAAGAAAGGCGACTCGTCGTAGGAGGCACGGTGAGTGAGGGGGGAACTAGACGCGTGCGGAGGAGGAATCGGATTCGGATTAGGATTGGAGGGGAATGGAGAAGAGAGGTCGGGGGATATAGGTCGATAATTATCCTCTGTCATGCTGGGGCTTAAATTAAGCAGAAGAGGTGAAGTTCATGGTAAAGGTAGACATGGAAGTGGAAGATGGAAGTGGAGGATGGGATAAATTGAAGACGGAAGGGAAGCAGAACAATCGCAGATTGGGCGATTGGCGGGCGGTCGCGGCTTTTTAAATTCGAAGCGCCCGCAAAAGGTGGAGCTCCTTTTTTTTTTTTTTTTTTTTTTAATAACTTTTTAGTTTGGCTTTTACTTTCACTTTTACTCTCTCCGTCATTTCTTGATTTCCCTGCCTACTACTCTTACACCTACACCCCTACACCCTACACTCTACACACTATTATTTCACCCCTTTGTTAACACTGTACAATGTAATTTTTTTTTTTCCTTTTTCTGTTTTCACATTCTATTTCCATTCCACTCCCTGTAAATCACCAGTCGATGACGAGAACAAAGCTCCGGAGGCAGCCAGAAGAAACCACGTTGATGGTATCGCTGTAAGCTGTTGTTGATGGCCAAAATTACTTGATCTAATCCGAGACTGCCACATACCATTCAGTTATTCAGTTATTCTATTCTATTATTTGTACAATATCATATCTAAATCTCCTTCTATCTCATCTATTTCCTCCATTTCCTCCATTCTATTTAGCCCTTCCACTCCGTACTGCCTACTCCGTACTGAGCCCTGTAGATCGGCCGAACCTTTCTCCGGCCAATTTCCATCAGCAGCTCCCCGACCCTCCAACTTTCTTCAAATCCCACCACTTCACCATCTTCCCACTTCCTGGCTACTCGGCTGCCTCTGTGCGCTTTCTCTTTCCCTCACCAGCAATGGCTGCGGCGGACCCGCCGGCTGGTCTCTTGGACATCGCCAGGTTCGTGCCACACTCCCCCGCGCATCTACATACACATGCGCATTCGCATGCGCATCCATATCTGCAACAAGAATATCCGGCTCTAACTGATCTCTACAGCACCCTCTCCCAGGATGAGATCCCTTTTAAGCTGCGATGCGCCATCTGCAACAAGCTGGCGGTGAACGCGTTTCGCCTACCTTGTTGTGACCAGTCTATATGCGAGGCCTGTACGCTGATCCTCCAAATCCAGCCCACCCACCATGCATGATAGCTGACCCTACTTCTTTTTTGCTTGCACAGGCCAAACATCACTCTCAGACACTTGCCCCGTATGCGCCCATGACCCCGTCTCTCCCGACCTCTGCAAGCCCAACAAAGCTCTGCGCACCACCTTGAAAGTGTTTTTGCGAACCGAAGAGAAAAAGCGCGAGAAGGAACGCCAGTCCGCCGCCGCTACCCCAACCCCAGCGGTAGAGACCCCGGCACCAAGCGAGCAGCCTCCCATCGAAGTCCCCGTCGAGAATAATGGGACTGCAGATATTGTGGCCCAGGTGCCAAATGCATCTCAACTCGACGGCGAGGTCGAGGCAGAAGCTGCTGCATCGGACCGCCCTCCGATCGAACATGCTCTCGCGGAAAGCAGAGAATCAAACCCGGTGGAAAACAATGTCACCGAGACTGCCCCACTGGCCTCTGAGGTATGATTTCATCGCCCTTCCTCTACTTTTAATCAGCAACTAACCCCACCTCCAGTCCGAGGCCATTGACCAACCCACCGAAATTACTCCGGTCGCCGACGAAGCCAAAAAGCTCGAAAACGGGGAAGATACGGCCGAGTCCGAATCTGTCCAACCCTCAGAGGGCCTATCTCAGCAACCAAACGGCAGCATGATGAATATGGGCCAAGGTGGCTTCCAAGGCATGGGTTGGAACGGGATGAACCCCTTCATGTCTAACATGTCGAACATGTTCAACTTTCAAAACCCAATGGGTACGTTTTTCTATTCACTCGTTCCCTCGCATCACCGTACTGACCTCTCCCAGGCATGCACATGTCAATGGACCCAATGACCGCAAATCAGGGGATGTTCGGAGACTACGGAATGAACATGGCTGGAATGGGCATGGGCATGGGGATGGGAATGAATTACAATGGGCAGGGCATGTATGGATCGTCAGGATGGGATGGCTCATGGCAGAATGGTCAAGATAATTACAATCCAAATGCTTTTGCAAATGGCGGTGGCCCTCATGGAGCATTTGGCGGGTCTAATATGTCTTACCCTTCTAACCCGGACTACCAGTCTGGCTACTCCAACCAAGGATACGGTCGTGGAGGATACCGAGGTGGGCGCGGTGGCTTCCAGGGACCTGCCCGCGGCGGAGGCTTTGCTTCTGGCCATGCAATTCACAACACAAATGCGGAATCAGAAATTGCGGTGACATCTAATGGAGCTGATAACGCTGATAACGCAGTTCTCAATGGAGACGGTCCTCATACCAACGGGAATAGCGGTCCTGATCCAGTATCCCAAGAAATCGCACATGAAGGCAAGCCAGAGCCTGTGTCGGATGAACAAGGAGCAGTAGGCCAACAACTACAAGGTATCCCCACCATTGAATCTCTGGATCAATCTATGCCAAATAGCAATTCCGGCTGGCAAGCCCCTGGGTATGGCCGTGGTGGGTTCCAAGGCCCTGCTGGTCGCGGCCGCGGTTACTGGGGTGGCCAAATGCCCATGAACGGCGGTTATCAACCTCCCATGCCACCCAAACCAGCCCCAGTCGTTGAAGGGGCACCGGCTGCCCCAAGAGGGATGCGTCAAGGCCTGCCTAATACTAGCATGCTTCGACAGCGGGCTTTTCATCAGGGCCGAGGGTCGGGGGGTAACAAGATGCCAGTATTGTCGCAAGGGTAAGTCGAGCGAAACAACCCTCTCCATTATACTTCCATACTAATATGCATCCCAGTGGGGATTCTGAAACCCCCCCCAAGACCACACACAACCGGGATCTCCCACCCAACCACAATCTCAAACACAGCAGCCTGGTTCAAAGTCTCGATCCCCATCTCAAGCCCGATCTTCCCGTGCTCGCTCACCCGCAGCTAACCCGGTCAACGACGACGAAATGAATTCCCGAGAGCCTGATTCAAAGCGCAATGACGATATACAAAACGGCCATGCTAACGGACATCGTTCCTCGGGTGGGCCAGACCGCGATATTGGAAGAGGTCGCCGAGATGAATATCGTCCACGACGATCCCACGGCCATCGCAGTCGCGCCAATAGCCGCGGTCGTAGTCGCAGCCACGGTCCAGGGAACAATGGCGACTCTCGCCATTCCAGCCGCCTCCCACCCGCCATCGACGACAAGCGGCTTAACAAGCTCAAGGAAACATCGGAGACACGCGATTCCCGTGACCTAGCCAGTCGAGTGAGCAGCCACCGTTCAAGCAAGGAGCGATCTTCTCGTCGTGATGAGGACCGCGAGAGAGAGAGAGACAAAGATAGCGACAAAGCCCGTCCTAGTCGTCGCCGTGACCGCGACCGCGACCGTGGTGACCGCCGAGACCGAGACCGAGATTCTGATAGAGACCGCCGACGAGACCGGGACCGGGAGTCTGAGAGAGATCGGCTCCACCAACGAGATCGCGATCGCAACGGACGAGATCGCGAACGAGACCGCAAAAGATCCCGCCGAGATCGATCCGAGTCCGCCAACGCAAGCGACCACTCCTCACGCCCGCAACCCCGACGACCCAAGCGTGAACCAAACAACGACCGCCCCCGAGCCCGTCCCTCCAAAGAAAGCTCCAAGGAAAAACCCAAGGAAGCCGAGAAAGATCCCTACACACTCGCTCGTGAAGCTGCCAATCGCGAACGCGTTTTGAGGGAACAACAGAATCGAGGCGCTAAGTCTGCGCCGAAGAGTGGTCGTCGGGATAGTCGACAGGAACGTGTTGTTGGTGGTCGTCGTCTGAACTACAAATATGAAGATGAGCTTTGATGGTTGTGTTTGACATCTTCGTTTCTTTTTCTTTTTCTCTCTTCTTTTAACATTTTCAAGCATCAAAAAAGTTTCGTGGGATGGCATGGGATGGACGGCGTCGGCATCTGATTTTCTTCTTTTTTTGCATTGCTGGTCGCTGGTCTGGATTGATTGATCTGTCTTCTTTTTTCTTACAAGGTCTGGGGAGTTTCCAGCGGGGCGAGGGCGAGGACGAGGACTATGGCGCGGAATACAAGGGGTTGCAGAGTTGGTTGTAGATAGTTGCTTGAGGGGAGGCATGTTACAAGGGCCTCGGTACATATTCAAAATTCAAATCACACATCCATTTGAAACAGGTCTAATCAACATCAATTTCCAGTTCAAGTTTGTTTCCAAGTTATTTTCTCTACGGCCAAAGCATCTCTTTCTTCCACCCTTCATCTCCGTCTCCCTTTTCAGCTCCCTCCCCATCCCCAACCCTAACATATCTAACCCGTTTATGCAACCGACTATCAACCCCCTGCCAAAACTCCACACTCTCCGGCTTCACAGCATAAACCCTCCACCCCTCGACCCCCAAATCCGAGTCCGGCTCCCTCTCCAAAACCCCCCCTCATCTCTCCCAACCTCCCCTCCAACTCACCCGCATCATTCAAAACAGCACTCTGCCTCGAAGCAACAGCACAAACCCTGGCCTCAACCGACCTCTCCAAATAATCCCTCTTACACTCCTCATCCGGCAGAGACACCGCAATCCCCCCTAACACGAATCTGCCTCGCCATACCAGGCCAATAAAAAGTCAATGCGCAGCGTGGATTGTTGGCTAGTTGTTGACCCTTTGGAGAATCGGCTTTTATGGCGAAATGCCAACCGCGTGAGTCGAGGTTTTTTAGAATTAGGACTCGTCCGTCGGGGTAGCCTGATGTGTCGACTGTGGAGAGGGTCATGGCGTGTGGTTCGCGGACGTCAGAGTCCAGAGCTTCTTGATACCATGTCTTGAAGGCGGATTGCGGGGTGCTGGGGAGGTTGGTTATGCTGAGCGGGTGGAAGGGTCCTTGGAGGACTTTTGTGGTGCGGAGGGTTGTGCGGAAGGGGGTTGATGCCAGTGGGTCTGCCATTTTACTTGCTTCCGGTGTTGGATTGAAGGAGTAGTAGTATTAATAGTAGTTTGAGGTGTGGGTGAGTACAGAATATAAGCAACTGCATTCAGGTTGTTGATATACTTGAGTCATCAACGGATTCCGAGATCGGCAGCCCCGCCTATACTAGTGCTGATACTAGTACTAGGCTAAAAACTGCTTGTAGTCAGTTGACTGGCTACTATTATAAACTTGAACTATTTACACTGTGACCTATGGATTTACTAACTAGTTAAAATAACGCCCTGGGAATATGTCACCGTTCAAGTTATTCAAGTTATACTTGAAGTCGGACGATTCTAAGTGGGCCTAGACTATCGACTACCCCAATTAGGAAGACAACTTGAACCTCGGGGTATCTGGGTACTGCCCCTCTTCCAACTTGAACACACATCTAAATTATGTATTCTCCGGGTCCATTTCTTCGGGTTATAGTATTCATATCTTCTCTTTTGATATTCGTCTATGGGTATTCCATCGCCATAGCAGTATATCTAGTAATACATACATCCACCTTTTGGTCGTTGAATTTCATCAAAGAAGAGTGCTCTCTTTGAGTCCGGAATGGGGACGACTTGATCGGATGAAAGACATACCGGAGGGGTTGATATAGTTCAATCATGTCCGACTCGAACGGGCTTCGCCGCGCCGCAGGTGATATTGCTCATACGTTAGACGGTGCGGGAATCCCAAGTATCCTGTGGGGATACGCGGCGTTAGGCCTAGTGGGACAAGTGAAGACATCCAATGTAAGTTCAAACCAAACCGTATAGCTTTACAATAGATACCTGAAACCTAATCCGTTGAAAAAGGACATTTATTTCGTTGTTCCAGACGAGCTGGTTCAAAAAGTTACAGACATTCTCATCGATAATTGATTCCATGTGGTCCCTTGAATCCGTTTGGAGCGCAAATAGAGAATCTGAGTACAATGATACATTAGAAATATAGGATTCGTTTCCTTTCACTCCTGAGATAAAGGCCCAGATATAGCTAAACAATTAAAAATAGCATGACACGAAGCTACAAACCTTTCTCAGTGCGGACTTTCTAGCCAGATGACCATGTGCAAAGCAGCTGCAAATGCTTCCAAGCCTGCATGGCTAACTCCCACAACCTGTGATTCTGATCCCGGAACTCTCCGTCTGGAATGCAGATCTGTGGACGAAATTGGCCCTTCCAGGATATCAGGTCGATTCCAAGTTGCCGGTACACGCTCCCAAACATTAGAAACTGTCGTCCCAGTCCAAAAGTCTACTGTGGCTTGCCAGTCCTGGGCAGCCAAATCTACCTTAACCAAAGGCCGGAAGTCAACATCTTTGAAAATCAAAATTACGCCATCTAGGCCGGCGTATTCCAAGGCATAGTTAACCGAGGGGGTAGTGTAGAAACCAGGTCCAAGTTCGTCGTCAAAAGTGTTTGAAGAGGTGAGGGGTATAAAGAATGCGCCTAGGCTAGCCACTGCCCGGCGGGATAAACCCTTAAAAAGAAGATTGCCGCCAAGTGAATTAATGAAATTATTCATCAAATCAACACAGTTACTGTGTGCGTTCTTCGTTCCTTTTAGTCTTGTCTTGACACAAGAAACGGTTGACGGAAAGGATTGCTGCCGCGCAAAGGGAAAGACGTCCAGAATACTCTTTTGAGTAGGAGTGGATGTGACATTGGAGGGTATAGAGCTGGCTTGAGTAACCGTAAAGTTGTGTTTTTGGACATTATCGCCACAGACTTTTGCCATGATGGTTGCCGGGATCTTTCCTTCTTCATACAGCATCTGGACAATCCAGCGACACGGAGCCCCCTGCGGTATGGAGCGGTACTCATCTGTGAGAATATAGGCAGGGTCTCCAATGAGCTCTGATAGCTCTTCTACCCCCGCAAGCCAAAAGAGGCTTGACACTGGGCCAATAAACAAGGTAAACCGCTCTATTCCTTCATAGAGGTACTCTGATATACTCTCGGGAATAACGCCGGGGAATTCTACCCCCGCAGCCCAAACTGGCTCATAATCCGTGGAGTAAAGATCCAGGATATCCCTTTCTCTGTCCATCTTCGAGGTATTTTGGTGAGTCCGAGTTGCGGGTGGGGTTGATGGAGAGCTGCTTTTCGTGGTAGAGTCACCTGTCAATGAAGGTGTGGTTTGGTCAAGTGAGACAGCTGGTAGGTGGGTCTCGGCTAGCGGTGGCGGTACAGGCAGAGGAATGCCGGTATGTACAACTGGACCAGGGGACAAGCCCCGTTGTCTCTTGGAACGACGTAGATTTTCCATACCTGGTGATTGGCGGTCTTAGGGTGATTGTAGGGCTAAGTGGGGCGAGTGGGGAAGTGAGGAAGCGGCGAGGTACTACTACATACTGCTGGATTAGATGACTACCTAACTGGGATATGATGTAGAATTGGATTATTGAATCTCCCTCGATCTTGATACACGCAGCACCGTCGGCTTACAGTGCCATCATTGTCTCGTGCCAGCCTTATTGTCCCAATCTACATCCAAGGCGAGATGTGTCTCTCGCTGTTGACGAATTATTGGTCAAATCTGCGATAATGTTCCGTTTCTAACGCTTGTACTGAAAAGACCAGAATAAAGTTAACCGTCGGAAATTATATACACCCACGATTCTCAATGTAGCGAGCAATAGAATAGAAAAAATCTCCTTGTGATTTCGATGCAGAGTAGTTTTGAACGAACGGCAATATGGTCCATGCTGACATGATGACTCTTACATCTCATGAGGGTTGGTTTGGAAAGAGCCTGTCTGTGTTGTACGAAGTGCAAGACCTTAGAGAGCCGTCGCCACCGGAACCGTAAACACAAATCGGCGTGTCAAGCCCCGAGTCTGCTTTTTATTTGACAATATATACGCAGCTCTGTTCAAAAATGAAGCTATTTTTGGAAATATGTATCGAAATTAGTTTGTAATTTACTATGATATACAGCATCTGGCTTGATGTCGTTCCAAGGCGTCTCCTGGGGCTTCAATGAAACTTCTGCTTCGTCGCACCGCTTACGAGTGTCTCAATCCGGCGAGCATATAGATCCATGAAATGCATAAGCGGGTCGCCAAATACCACACCGCGCAAATCCAGATCTGTCGTGCCACACGCTTCTACCTGCTCGCGGGGTGGGAGTGGCGGAGGGGCATCAGGACCAGCTGATGGATTCCTCAATGGACGACCATATCCCTGGTCATGATAACGAAGTAGAACAATTCGACCCGCATTTGATAGCGTTGACTGGGGAATCCGCCAATATTTTGACGGATTCCGTTTGCCCCTTGGGTCGAAGAGTGACCAGACAGATCCAGGAGCTGGCGAAGCATATAAGTCCAGTAGAGAAAAGAAATAGCCCTTATCTGCGCGTGTGACTGGGTCACCTTCGTTCACAAACGAGAAGAACATTGATTTAGAAGGGTTGGCATTTGGCGGCCTTTGCAATGGCCAAAGCGAAATGGGGGGTGCACCAAAAGTGATGCAATGAATATGCTTGAAGCAACCACGGAGATGTGTGAGTTCAGATTTGACATCTGGTGATTCGGAAAGTAAATGGAGGTAAAGGAGGCTAGCGACAGCCCCGCCTGCAGAATGACCGGTGAGGAGAAGCGTATAGGACATTCGACTAGGATCTTCCTCAATCAAAGTACGTAGTCGTGCGGCGACAGCCGGAACCATCTTCCTGGCAACGGATAGGAATCCAGCATGGCATTTGTTCGTTGGATCATCAAGAAAGCCAGCAGGTGAAACAGGTGCCGCATGGACATTCACAGCCCAGTCACTGAAGCTTTGTGTCCCGCGAATGGCGAATACCATAGTGTTCATTTTGTCGATAGGAAGCGATTTGATTACCATTGCCTTTGTACCTTGGCGCCAGTCCGAATTCACGTAGGATTGTCGCTCGGCGCCATTTGGCTTTTCGTATACTTGTTGTGAATAGTGTGCCGCGAGCTTTAGCAATGGATAAGTTGCGGGATAACTAGTCACTCCATTAGCGGAAGAAGTTCGACCCATGCCGAAGATTGTCAACGCACAATTTGATCCGAGGAAGATGTGGTGGCATTCGAGAATTGGCATAGAGATAGACCTTCGAGAAATAGTCGACCGGCGACGAAGGCTTCTGTTTCTCAGGTGCATGAGTCCAACGATCTCTTTTTCGCGTTTCGGGTTTGAATGGGAGCGCACATGCAGCCACTTTTTTCGGTTAGTATACATATTCTGGATGAATAGAATAACGAACATAGTCACGTACGAAGCTCATTTTCTTTCCCGCAGAAAGACCCGATATCGATCAATGTAACAACTTGATCCAAGAGCCGAGACGTGCTCTCCCGAACATTTGCGCCGCCGCCCACACTCTGGAGGACAAGTTTCTCCAAATCCAAGATGGTGGCATTTGTTTTTTCTGCAGTGTGTGCGACGATGTTTGAAACCGACTGGCTGAGATTTGCACAAGATGTCCATTTCGCAAGATCGGACGTGGGCTTTGGGGCTTGGTACCCCGCTGAGTTCCAGGCTGGGGGTGGGCTCCTTACTGTACCAGGGTTATAAGGGACAGGTACTGGACCCTGGCTCGGTCGTGGGGGTAGGTGAACCAGCGAAGTGATACCCGTATGGGGATTCTGGAAAGATGGAGGTGTTGGATTTCCACCTTGAAAGGCCTGAATGGTATATGCGCCCGGGGGATTCATATAGATCGGTTGTTTCGGTACTTCATTGACATCTTCATGCCTCCCACCTTTCCCCTTGTGACGCCGCCGCCGATGCTTGCGGGTATCAGGCATAGTGTGTGTTTAGGTAGAATTAAAAGAACACTTAAGCTCCGGCGCAGCAGCACTCAGTCTGGGGCTGCCATGACGTACGCAAGGATATGGTGGGGATCATCTGCAACCGAGGCAGGGGCAAAGACAAGCTTATAAGATGCAGGGAAATGCAGGTCCTCGTAATATGTCGCTTTGTCCGAGGATCTGCGCCACAGTCGAGCTGAGAAGGCGGCGCGACGCGAGTTGATAGGCCGAGATATGCTATGCACAGCCCCATTGCGGGGACACAAGCTCACCATCGAAGCAATCATCAGGTTGTGAAGCCAAGTGGAGATGGTTATCCGAATGGAAGGAAATGAGGAATGAATTTTGAGACCTAATTTAGAATTGTAGACTTTCAAATCTGCCGGGTACAGGCGATAAAGCTATCAGCCAGTGAACAGTCATCTACTCCTTGACTAAGATTCTAAATGTAATCCAGTACGACTTATCTTAAATCCAGGATTCTCGCGGATCTGATCCAACTAATTTCTCGTTCAAATTCTGAATACTTGGTCTCTGGGCTTACAACAACTTTGGAAGTGAACGCCGCTTGGCCGTCATACTTTGCATCCACAAGCACTTTTATAGTAGTCACTCTCTGGCAACTCCCCGTAGCTGGTGCTCGTCAGCATTTATTAATAGTAGTAAAGACACCTCGAATACAGCAGAATAAGGATTTGGTGAATCTCATCGTACTGCATTTATTTCTAGTAACTCCTAGAAAATTTGAACTTGAACACCTGGGCATGCCACCTGCCAGTGGGCATACTATAGTCCCAATAGTAGGTGGTGGTACTAACCAAGATATATCTCGCCCCGACCCCTGCAGCCCTCCAAGGCTGGAGTGTTCCGAGGTTCTAATTCTAACCGGAAGACTAAGGACTTGAAGCCGTTTCCTTTTTTCAGCGCCCTTGATGGCTCCTATGCCTCCGGGCCGTTTTTTAATTTTAGAAATAGAAAAAGGGAAAACACAATCCTTTTGTTTTCCCTTTCTTGAATTCCAGGGCTTCTTCAACCGGCTCCTCATCCGGTAATATTCAGGTGCCCAAGTTCAAGATAGCCGCCCCCACTCACAATGTCGACGAGATCGGACTTGCGAATCACAATATCGGTCTACTAGCTTTACCATGTTCGGTCTAGCTGCCCAATCCATTGGAGTTCTCTCAACCTTCTAACCAGTCTCCTTTTAAGTTCTTTTCCTCATTCCAAAAGCACCCTGATTCTCCAAGACTTCTCCAGCCTACCAAGTCTCTGTGGCTCAGAATGGACTCGAAAATACCTCCCGAACATTTTGTGACTGCGGCCCAACAAACACCAAACAGAGTCTGGAGCGCTTTTTGGTCAAAATTGGCTTTTTTGACGAAGAGTTTCGTAGGCTGTAAGTCAGGGTTATACTCATTACCCGAACAGACTGAATTGTCTACTTGTAATATTAATCTAGTTATATGATAACTCTCATTGCATCACCATATCTATTCGAATATCTGATATGCCGTCAATTTATAGAATGCGGTAACGACAGTTGCCGGTCAAACCGTAGCAAAATGTCAAAGTGGATAGATATGATTCTAGTCCTGTATTTTGCCTGGCTGCTTTTTGTGGGCTGGACGCAGAAGAAGCAACTAGCAGCTCAGGGTTAAAGTACTACTTCAAATAGAGAATCTATTAGGCCAAAATTGAGCAAAAGGGGCATATTAAACTGGGTTGAAGATACGTGTGAAGGAATGATTCATTAAATGTGGCATGGGGACCTGTTTCGGACCTGAAGAGTGCTACAAGCAAGAACAAAATGTAGTGATAGCATATTGCCCGCGCACGTCAGGCAACTGCCACCAAATACCCAACAAAGCCTCATGCTGTTCCTGAGACATATATCCGTGATCAGTGCAAAACCTTCCTCGTCTCCGTTATTTTCTTACCGCAATATGTGGTCTTTCATCACTGTGGAGTTAACGGACAAGAGAGTATACGACGGAGTTAAGAACGCAATCTCCGAAGAATGACGATTGGTCGGCTTCTTCCTCTTAGATCTATACGAAGTGATAACTCATAAGTACACAGCAAATGCAGCTTCCAAGCGCAATTTCCACCACACCAAACGCTCTCACCTCATCCTATTGCGCGGCTGTATATCTCCGGGTTCCTTTTGAGATCATGTCGGCCCAAGATCCTTCCCTGACGAATTGGCCTGCTGTGGCGAGCTATGCCTCGACCCGCAAGGACACTTACCCGTTCATCGATCCCGCCAAATCCGACCTGACAGGCAAGTCGGTCTTGATCACGGGCGCCTCCAAGGGCATCGGCAAAGCGACTGCGATCAGCTTCGCCATCGCGGGCTGCTCGAAGATACTGCTGCTCGCTCGTTCGGACCTGTCCGACGTCGAGACAGCCATCTACAACGCCGCCATGAAGGCAAACAGGCCCCAGCCATTCGTGCGTTCCCTGAAGGTGGACGTGACCTCAGAGGACTCCGTGAGAGCGGCCGCCGAGACCGCGGCCGACGTCCTCGGTGGCAGCCTCGATGTCCTCATCAATAACGCGGGCTACCTGGAGGAGTGGAAGCGCATCACCGAGTCCGAGCCAAGCGAGTGGTGGCGGACTTGGGAGGTTAACATCAAAGGCACCTATCTCGCAGCCCACTTCTTCGTTCCACTGCTGCTCAAGTCGCAGACTAAGACGATTATCAACATCAGCAGCGGTGGTGCTCATGCGGTGTTTCCCGGTGCGTCGGCCTATCAGACGACAAAGTTCGCCCTCTGCCGCCTTACCGAATTCATGGATCAGGAATACCACCAGCAGGGTTTGATCGCCATCTCACTCCATCCCGGGGCTGTCAAGACCGAGCTGGCCATGAACATGCCCCCAGAGAGACAAGCTGTCCTGACCGATACCCCCGAGCTACCTGCAGACACGCTGGTGTGGCTCGCCCGTGAACGACGCGACTGGCTTGCCGGCCGATTCGCCTCGGTGAGCTGGGACATGGAGGAGCTGGAGCAGAAGAAGAAGGACGTTCTTCAAAGAGACTTGCTAAAGTTCCGCGTGGTGATTTGAGTCGGGCGGCGCACCCTCCAGTGCTCTTGTGAACGCTTTTTTTTCGGCATGTAGATGGTATACATTCACAGCGTTCAATGGTTTGCACGCCGTTCTATCAACATCACAGCAACCTCTTTTTGACCTAGTAAGAACGTACTAAGGACTCTCTGTAAGCCCCGAGCTAGTTCCACGTGCGTTTTGCGGCACGGATTTCTGTTGTCTGATCTGTCTCTCTGTAATATAATAGTATAGTGCGACTCTGATGGCTTGGCTTTTCTCCCGATGGAAGTGTCCTTGCGTCAAGTAGTAATAACTTCACCAAGCCCTGGAGCCCCAGCCTGAAATTTGAACTTATGAAAGAACTTTTTCAATGTTAATGGACTACCTGCATTTCTATAGACGCCACGATACGATGCCAAGAAGAAGTTGAACAACAACAATCCGAATAGTCTTGCTGGGATGGTATGTGGGGGTATTGGAGGTGTTGGAGGTGGAGGTGGAGATGCTCTCCACACAAGTGATGATGACATGAGAGGGGGAGTTGGAGATGAGATAATCCACCTCCATCGTTTCGCCTCCACTTCACCTCCAACATCCCTCTGATCCTCACTCACATTGAGATTTGCGCAATATCCACTGCCGTGGCAATGAATGTAGCGGCAACCGATGAAAGGCCAAATGACTCTCCAGTTAATCGGAGAAAACCTCGAAAATGTCAATATTGCAACCGGGAATTCCGACGACACGAACACCTCCAACGACATCTTCGTATTCGTATGTACATTTTATAAGATGAATTTTGATATCTGGATCTGACTGTGCTTAGATACTAATGAAAAGCCATATAAGTGTTCCTGTGGCTCATCATTTGGTCGTCGCGACCTCCTGAAACGCCATCAAAAACTCGGACAATGTGAACTTATTACCCCTTCGACGCTCGACGCGCAGCCATCGCCAGCAACAGGTTCAACTGGCGATAACCTCCAATGGCAGGACGAATCTTTGCCTGTGGATCAGACTAGAAGGGGCTTTTTGTGGGAAATCCCTTACCTACATCAAAACACCTCAACAGGACCTGAACAAGGAACGCAAGTCACCGGAGCACATTATGAAGGTAGGGATATCGGCGGGGCACCCGCAACCTTTTACTATTGAGTTCACTCATTGAATCTTGAACCACTAGATCAATCTCTGTTCAACCAGCAGGATTTACTGGCGCTAGAAGACATCGAATCTTTTAGCCAGAATTTCGGTCTAAATACGGACTGGTACCTACCGACCGAACCGAGTATCACTCAGATCTTCACTGGGGAGCCTTTGATCTCCTCACTCCCGACTCCCTCTTCTCCCTATCCTGTTCAGCAGGAAAATTCCCACTCAAATCAATCTCTCAGCAAGCTCCCTACCGAGAGGCAAGCTGTCGGTAAGTCTTCAGTCCTAACAGAAGTTAAATTAGATCGAATCTAAATTGAATGCGTAGCGGAGTTTGGAGTCTTAACTTTGCCGATCCTTACCGTCACCCCTCAACATCGAACTCGGCTTCTTCTGGCATTGTCAAAGGATTCTCATATGGCACCCGACGAGAATCTCTTGCCATCACATCATTCACTCACTCGATTCATGAATGGATTCTTTGATGGATTCTATCCTCATGTGCCAATTATCCATATTCCAACCTTCAACATTGATGATTGTGATCCGGGTATATTTTTGGCTATGTCTGCCTTGGGAGCTCAATACAGGCATGAGCATCGCAAGGCAGTTTCACTTTTTCATGCATCACGGAGGATACTACATCAAAGCTCAAATGAAAAGGGTCAAACCGAACTATACAGCAACACTTCCGTGGGCTCTGATTCTCAAGACCGAAATGAAAGCTATCACGACAAAGGCACTACACTTGACGGGTGTTGTGCTTTGCTTCTTATTGCCTTTGCCACATGGCAAGGCGAGGAAAGTATCATAAACGAAGCATTTAACTTACAGAGCCACTTGGCAAGATGTGTTCGAGATAGCCAGCTAGAAGAGCAAACGGAGCAGCCAGATAGTACTCTAGACTGGCGCTCATGGGTAAGAAGAGAGTTCGAAAGACGACTTAAGTTGTTCTCTTTCACTATTCTCAACCTGCATTCCATTGTATTTGGAACCCCGCCGGTGATCCTGAGCGATGAGATTCATCTGCGTCTCCCATGTACTTGCTTAGAATGGATCGCTCCAAACCAACAGAAATGGTCTGCTGTCCGCAGATCAGTGCCCCAAGAGCAAATGATGTTTCAGGAAGCCCTTTCCCAGTTAACAAAGTCCCACCGAGAGCAGCCACCTCAAAGTTCACAAGTAATCCCATCCCCACTGGCAAATTACGTTCTATTACATGCTCTCATTCAAAAGATCCTCGTCGCCTATCAGGCCTTTCGATTGTATGATGACGAGAAAGGTACTTTCATCAACAAACAAAAGGAATCCATGCGGTGAGTAAACAGCTCCCAAGCAATGAACAGAAAGAAAGGAACCCCCATTTCTAACCTATCAAATCCGCCGACCAGGAATATGCTTCACGCATGGACTTCCCAATGGCAACGAGCCCCTGAATCGAGCCTCGACCCCCGAAATCCAAACGGACCTGTTACCTTCACTTCCACCGCATTACTTGGGCTTGCCTATGTTCGACTAGGTCTTGACCTAGGGGCGTACAAGATACTTCGATCCCGAAACCCAAGCGATATTGCGAATCGACTGTTGGACATGCCGAGACTTCCAGCTGGGCCACATCTCCTCCCGGCAATTTTGCATGCGACTCATGCGCTCAGTATTCCTGTCAGACTGGGAATCAATTTTGTAGCTCGCAGTCATGCCTTCGTATGGAGTATCCAGCATTCTCTTTGTGGGTTGGAGTTCGCGATATTCCTAAGTAAATGGCTGTTCTGCTTGTCTAATTGTCAAAAGAGTCGTCCTTTAGATGGTAAGTGTACTATTATTTGACAATTCCTCCATTCTACGCTATCTTTGAAATATAAACCCCACTAACGATTCCTTTGGTAGAGCACGAATCCCGCCTAGTTGGCTGGATTAGCGATATCGTCGAAGAAGGCCGCACATCTGGAGACGAGGATCTCTGGTCCCAAGCCAGTGATCCATCCTCTTGCGAGTATCTAGGATTTGCAGTTGTTAAACTTTGGGCCCGCCTTATCAGAGGAAACGAACAGTGGGCCATATTGAAGGTCATTGGAGACGGGCTTGATATCTATGCCAACACCTGCGAACAGCGTCTAGTTCATTCCAACTTGGATGTGAATACTGCTTCAAGTGGTTGACCGATGATAGTTTCAATAATGAGAATTTCCATTCTATCTGTTCAACTTTCCACAATCACCATTTGGAAACAAACTTCGATTTAAACCGCAACGCTTCGCCGTATTGGTACAGCACATATATTCCAACCACACACCCAATGGTAAGACCGGCGAGTAAGCTGCATCCCGGACCAATTCCAAGGTTAACGTAAAGAGGGCGCGAGAAGATAACCGCACCGCAGGCGAAGGCGCTTCGGGTAAAGTCCGTAGCGGCAAAAACACTCGCAGCATACTGCGGGTAGCAAGCCGGAATGTAAAGAAAAATGCATTGCATCAAGACAAAGACACAGGCGGGATAAATGACGATTCCAATCGTTGGGACAATCCAGTGAATTTCCGGCCGTGCAGCCCAGCCGAAAAGGAATAAACCAATAGAAGGTCCGAAACAGGCGAAGAGTGCCGGGACCAGGACATCTTCCGGCTTTTGAAAGCTCCCGTTTCTTGCCTTTGGCACGAAAACACGGTGGATGTAGTAGTTGTATATCACGAATGATATAATAGTTCCCACGACGATGGCGAGAAATGCCAAGCCCATCTCTCCGAGGTTGAAACCGTATATTCCTTGGTAGACGATGGGGAAAGCCTCGAAGAACGAATAATAGATGCCATAAACCAAGGATGTATAGCAGTTCAAGAACATCATTGCCGGGTCCAGAAAGGTGATTTTCGAGGGAATCAGCAGCGACTCGCGAATAACCTCGGGAAAAGATATCTCTCCTTGGATAACATCCGCCGCGGTCTGGTAAATTCGGGGGTTTGGGCTGGCCTTAACGTTCTTTTCAAGGCGTCGAGCACGTCGGTGCAGAATTGTTGCTGCACTAGTTTCAGGCATCAAAAATAGAAGAACTAAAACCGGGGCTGCAGCCATTAAGATCTCCCACATTGCAAATCGCCAACCCAAAACTGGGATTGCAAATCCGGAAACCAATGTCCCGATGGCGGGGGCGCAAAATACACAAAATCCCCACGTCGACATAGCATGGGGTAAAACGTCGGAAGAATACATGTCCGCAATCGAGGCACCACCAGTTGCGAGACATGGACTACCGAAAAAGCCCTGTAGAAAGCGCAGGAAGTAGAAGCCAATTGCCGTGGGTGCAATCGCAGTAGGTACGCTGATTATGCAAAATAATGTAAAAGATATAACGTATGGGATGTTTCGCCCGATACGGGGGATCTCGCTCAGCGGACTGAAGAATAGCGGCCCAGCGCCATATCCAAGACTAGTTGTACAAGACATGTGAGTAAATACTAAAATGAATCCAGGGAAGTACTAATAAGCGTACTTACACATAAATTGCAAGCCCGAGTGCACCTTCCGCATTGCTCACATTAAATTCGTCAATAAACGAATTTTCACCGGGAGTGTAAATCGGGGCAGACATATAAACAACATAGCTGTAGGCACCGATCACCCCAGTCACAAAGGCCTTCTTAGCCTGTGACCAGTTCTGCGGATTTTCTTCACCGGTGTCAGAGTACCATTCCACTCGAATTGTCTTCTCATTCTGAGATGGCAAATTATGAAAATTGGCTGCTTCCATCCATGCCGCGGCTTCTTCAGGATATTCGGACCACACAGGTTTGCAAATATGACGAATGCACTGGCCGAAAAAGCTATCGCGTAGCCATTCAGGGCTCATGTTTATCACTTCAGTATCAGTATGATGATTTTGTCCGATCAATATGGTTTCTTTTTCTACTCGTCGGGAGACTGCAGTGACTGACTTGACGATAGTATTTTCTTCCGTTGTAAGAAATTGACCGAAGAATTAAGGCTCCCTCATAGATCATCTGCTAGGGCTGAAAGATGATATTCAAAAGCATACCCTAAAAACAATTGAGTTCAAAAATTGAGACCAAATTTCTAATTCATCCGACTGGTAAGTCCCCAAGATTCGAGTTGTGGAGGTGTTTGTTGGAGGTACTTGTGGCGAGTTGGAGAACCTCCACCAGACTACATCGTGAGATCCACAACCAGACAAGTATTTCAAATTCTGATTTCAAAGCAAACCGAAGTAAATAGCCTTTATAATAGCATTTATAAACCGTAGAAGAAATACTATATAAAAGCCCTGTCCAGTCTATCTACGAAACTTCCCCAAGCACAGCAGAACACAAACCAACCCCTTCACTACCTCCGCTCTGTACTATACCAACGAACAAACAACAATCCATACAATGGGATCCCAAATCTTCAAACCCCTCCAAGTGGGCACCATAAACCTCAACCACCGAGTAATCATGGCACCACTAACGCGCCTCCGATCCTCCGCCACCCACGTCCCCCTCCCAATCTCAACAAAATACTACGAACAACGCGCCTCCGTCCCAGGAACCCTCTTGATCGCCGAAGCAACCCAAATCTCCCCCTCAGCAGGCGGCATCCCCCACGGGCCCGGAATATGGAGCGAAGCCCAAATCACCCAATGGAAAGAAATTACCAACGCCGTCCACGCAAAGGGAAGTTTCATCTTTTGCCAATTGATTGCGCTGGGCCGGGCTGCTGATCCAGCGACCCTTCAATCAGAGGGTGAAGGATATGAAGTGCTGGCTCCAAGTGCCATACCAATGGAAGAAGGAAAGCCAATTCCTAAAGAATTGAATGAGGATCAAATCCAATCCATCATCCGAGATTTCGGTATAGCAGCGAAGAACGCGATTCGCGCCGGTTTCGATGGCGTCGAAGTTCACGGTGCGAATGGGTATCTTGTTGATCAATTCCTACAAGATGTCAGTAATCAGCGAAATGATCGTTGGGGCGGAAATATACCCAACCGCGCTCGTTTCGCGCTGGAGGTTACAAAGGCACTCGTTGAAGCTGTTGGTTCTGAACGGGTCGGATTCAGGACCAGTCCGTGGAATACGTGGCAGGGTATGAAGATGGCAGACCCGGCTCCTCAATTTGCATACTTGGTTGAACAGTTGAGAGAGTTGAAGCTTGCTTATCTCCATGTTATCGAGTCAAGGGTGATCAATAATGTGGACTGCGAGAAAGGGGAGAGTATTGCGTTTTTACTCGATATTTGGGGCCGCACGGCTCCTGTTTTTGTGGCGGGCGGATATAATGCGGATAATTTTGAAGATGCGCCGCGGGAGTATGAGAACAACGACGTGGCTGTTGTTTTTGGACGTCATTTTCTTGCGAATCCGGATTTGCCGTTTCGACTTCGTTATCAGATTGGATTGAATCGGTATAATCGGGATTCCTTCTACAGTGCCATGAAGGAAGATGGATATGCGGATTATCCATTTAGTCCTGAGTTTTTGGATTCGCAGTAAACAATTCGAAAGGCAAGAAGAAAAGGGAGGACTCGGAGGACATACCAGGAGAAGAGATGTTCAAGTTCCTATAGTTCATACACTGGCAGTGAATGGCGGCAGCCGTCCGATTGGGAAGACTGAGGATGGCGAGTATCGACAGACCAAGCCCTAACTTAAGATCTTGTACTAGTAACTTACAAATTGTCAAATGAATTTAATAGAACAGATTTATTGAAATCATATTATATAGCACAAGCCCCAAAATACAACGCTTTTATACTCGGGAATGGATATCCGACTCGGCGGGAAAAAAAAGAACACCAACAACATGGCAAATTTACTCTACAGCATCAGTGATGCAGCCCTGGCTAGCGTCCTTGACATTGCGGGCATACTTGCCCAGGGTACCACGCATAGTGAGACCAGTCTCAGGAAGCAAGCCAGCAGCCTTGCGAGCCTCCCAGTCCTCGCGACGCACAGCGAGGTCAGACTCGGAGACATCGATGTCCAGAACACGGTTGTCAGCGTCAATGGTGATGATATCACCGTCGTTGACGAGACCGATGGGACCACCGACAGCAGCCTCGGGGACAATGTGGCCAATCAGGAAACCGTGGGAACCACCGGAGAAACGGCCGTCGGTGATCAGGGCGCATGAGGAGCCGAGACCATAGCCCATCAGGGCGGCGGAGGGCTTCAGCATTTCTGGAAAAGGGAAATGGGTTAGTTTTTAGGCTGGTTGAGTGTTGGAAAGGTTGATATTATACGTACCAGGCATGCCGGGGCCACCCTTGGGGCCGCAGTAGCGGATGACAACAACGGTCTTCTCCTCCTTCTTAATCTCGTTGCGTTCCAGCGCTTCGATGAAGAGGTCCTCGGTGTCGAACACGCGGGCCTTACCGGTGAAGACAGTACCCTCCTTACCAGTGATCTTACCAACACTGCCACCGGGAGCCAGGGAGCCGCGTAGGATCTGAATGTGACCAGTGGACTTGATGGGTTTGGAGAAGGGACGGATGATCTTCTGGTCATCGGGGAAGTCGGGGGCCTTCTCCAGGTTCTTGGCGAGAGTCTCACCAGTGACAGTCATGCCGGATCCATCGATCAGGCCCTCCTTCAGCAGCATCTTCAGCAGAGCGGGGGTACCACCGATGCCGAACAGGTCGGCCATGACGTACTTTCCGGAAGGCTTCAGATCAGCCAGGAAGGGAATGCGGTCGGAGACGGCCTGGAAGTCGTCAATAGTGAGCTTCACGCCGACGGCGTCGGCGATGGCGATCAAGTGGAGAACAGCGTTGGTAGATCCACCGGTGATGTTGACAACGACCATGGCGTTCTCGAACGCCTGGCGGGTCAGGATATCGCGGGGGCGGATGTCCTCGGCGAGCAGCTTCTTGATGGCACCACCGGCAGCCAGACACTCGAGGTACTTGGCCTGGGAGTTGGCAGGGTTGGAGGAAGAACCGGGCAGGGTCATACCCATGGTCTCGATGGCAGTGGCCATGGTGTTGGCAGTGTACATACCACCGCAGGCACCCTCGCCGGGGCAGGCGTGACGAATGACGTCGAAGCGCTGGGGCTCGGTGATCTCCTTGGCGATGAATTGGCCGTAGGCCTGGAAAGCAGAGACAATGTCGATATCGGCATTATCCTGGGTGACGGCACAACCGGGCTTGATGGTACCACCGTAAACCATGATACTGGGACGGTTGAAGCGGCCCATGGCCATCAGGACACCGGGCATGTTCTTGTCGCAACCGGGGATGGAGATGTTGGCATCGTACCATTGACCACCCATGACAGTCTCAACGGAGTCGGCAATCAGGTCACGACTCTGAAGGGAGTAGCGCATACCCGAGGTACCCATACTGATAGCATCACTGACACCGACGGTGTTGAACTGGAAGCCGACCATGTTCTGATCCTGCACACCCTGGCGCACCTTGTTGTTGAGGTCGAGCAAGTGCATGTTGCAGGGGTTACCGTTGAACCAAACGGACGAGATACCGATCTGGGGCTTGTTCATGTCCTCCTCGGTGAGACCGACGGCGTACAGCATGGCCTGCGAGGCACCCTGGGAGATGGGCTGGGTGATGTTCCGCGACACCTTGTTAAGGGCGGTATCCTTCTCATAGCGGGGGAGGGTGGTAGAGAGGGCGCGACTATAAGATCAATTGGCAATTGTCAGTAACGGCGGAAAGGCAACACGATTGAGAAAAAGCAAGCTCGAATTGAGTCACGTCAAGCTTGGGTAGTCCAGCTGGGGGAGACTCACGCGGAGGTGGACCGGGCCAGGCGGAGGGCCGCGGGCACACGGGCCCTGTATTGAGCGAGCATTGTGATAGAGAGGCTTGGGGGAGAGCTTCAATCACGGCACACACAAAGATATAAGAGGAGAGGAGAGTGAGAGACGGATGGTGGGGGAACCTGCTCTGGTTCTGGTTCTGGGGTCGGGTCGAGTCAAGACGGAGGAAAATCACCAGGACGGGCTGTCGGAGTTGTGCTGTTCCTCCCCGGTGGATTCCCCACTGCACTGTCCAGCCAATCGGCTCCCGTCAATTGTCATCGGCAGTTCGGAGTGTAGTATAGCCTTCGGTATGGAGTACGAGTAGAAGAAATACATTTATGCCGTGCATTCAAGACTGCACTAGTCGCATCCTTGCATCTAGACTCATTGCTTAATATCTCGCCCAATTGGCCGATTGATCTCGGCGAGATGTCCGTTACCCGTTACCCACCCCAGGAGGAGAACTTGGTAGATAAAAACACCAACAGTAGCACTGAAATTGAAATATTCATAAATTTTATACCCACGTCTTTGATTCGCCCACTTGTCTATAGCTGTAATTAGAGGAAAGCATGCACTAGGGTCGATTCAGGTTCGCAGGTGCAATACCGCCATGCCGTGCGTGACTCCGGAGCCCTACTTCGCCCAAAGGGGGAATATCATAACATTTGCCGTGAGAGCTACCAGAGCTATCCGATAGTACTAGCACGGCCTTGTACAGGATTCAGATTTCGCCCAAAATGAGAATATATCTTTTTTTTCTCTTTTAGAATTAAGAGGACATCGCTAATTGTCACTAGTGTGGATGCCGAGACAGATAAGCTCATGCAGCAAGTCATTCGTACCCATTTCAAATATAAAGAATCATCGCCATTGCCCACAAGCTGGATACTGTTCTCTATTTCGATAAAATCGCGTTCCTTGATCATGGAAAGGTCATCGAGTTCGGCACCCCGAAGTCCCTTTTATCGAGAGAAGGATCAGCGTTCAAATAAAGTCCGATAGCTTTCGCCAAGAATCTGAATGATAGGTGGGTAATGTCGTAGACAGGATGTCAAACATGGAATAGAAGAGGGCCATTTCTATGCCTTCGAGTTTATGGATGAATAAACCTTGGTTTAGCGTGCTCCTATTTTTCTTTTCGAATGTAGATATAATAGAATAAGTTACTATGAGCATAAGCTCATCACAAGCGGTAGTTTTAGGTACAATCCTAGTAACACTAAGAGGATAGTAAGGATGCATACACATCCGATTTCGCACACAGCAATCTTTTGTTAAAAGTAGCGGACATATGGCTATATTCCCCACCTTGAAGCAACCAAATGGGAGAGCGGCATGCGCAAAAAACCCCTTCCTTTGGGTGTTTCAGAAATGCGATGTGATCAGATGTAACTAGCGCTACTAACTAGCGCTACTAACTAGCGCAAGGCCATCACATATGTAGCGCAGGCGCGTCATGACCCGTACAAAACTGCCGTATCTACAAGTCAATCAATCATTTCAAGTTGATTCCACTAAAGCAGAACCTTTTCCAATGATATTTTAGACATCATGGCATAAGCTGAGCAAAGCGGCAAGCCTTGAAATCCTAATTGTAATGTTTGACATGGATGGTTACCGGCGCAGCACCTAGTCTAGCGCGACTTTCCGCCCCCAAACTAAGGGGAAATGAGATAGCGCCGCGCCAGAGTGGAATCAATATTTTCCATCTGATTGGAATGAAGGTCGGTGGATCTGCATACTAATAGTATGTTACCATGGGGCCGAAATCGACACAAGTACTTGCCCTCTTATAAGTGCGCCCCTCGTTCTTCGAACCGCCCTCGACAATAATTCTCACGGCATAGCTGTGCCCAGAAAAGGCGACATGGCTAATTACTCTGCAGCAAAGCAGGATGTGGAGGGTATCGCGAAGGAATATGGATTTATTCAGCCGCGTACTCTCGAGGAGATCGGTCGTAACAATCCTGAGCACCGACGCGAGATTGAAGAGAGCATGCTAGCCAAGGACAAGAAGATAGGGCATTCAATAATAACGTTTTTTGCCCCATTCCAATTTTGAATTACCGGAAAAGAATGCTGACTCGCTATTTAAAGGCTTGCGAAGAACATTTACAGCAGTAATGCGCGGTTCGTCTTCGAGCTACTGCAAAATGCTGATGATAACCAATTCAAACGCGCAATCGGCAGAGATGAACGGCCTTATATCTCCTTCAAGATTTTTCCTGGTAAAATTGTCATTGATTGCAACGAAGATGGATTTACCAAAGAAAATCTCTCGGCCATGTGCTCGGTGGGAGAAAGCACCAAAGCATCGTCACACGGGTATATTGGAGCAAAGGGCATTGGCTTTAAGTCTGTTTTCATTGCTGCGTGGAAAGTCAAAATACAATCTGGAGATTACAATTTCTATTTCAAGCATAACAGGGGTGATCTAGGTCTGGGAATGGTACTCCCAGTGTGGGAGGATGCTGACGAAGAACTACCCGATTCCTGCACTCGCATAACCCTACACCTTCACCAGAGAGGCGACCCAGAAGAGATAGAACATCTCCATGGAACTATTCGCAAGCAGCTGAGCGACCTGGAGCCAACATGTCTTCTTTTTTTGAAGAATCTCAAGCAAATCAAGCTGGCGTTCTTTGACGAAAACGGCAATGCGCAAAGCGATAAGACATTTCATCTCGAACAATGCAACGCGCGGAGACTCTCTCTTAAATATAAGTCAGTTGATGAGAATCAGAATACGAATGAAGGACAAAGCGACTACTATGTTACTCGCTATACTGCAACTAGGCTTCCAAGAAGCGACAACCGTGATATACCCGCTACGCCTGAAGGGCAGCGAATTTCTGCCGAAGCTGAAATCGTTCTCGCGTTTCCTTTAACCATTGACAATAAGCCTCTCCTTGAACCACAGTCTATCTTTGCATTTCTCCCTGTGCGCAAAACAAGTTTCACCGTGAGTCATTATCAAATGATCAGACCAACTGGCATTTCTCATCCGCGAACAGTTTCTCATACAATCCGACTTTGATACGACTGCGAATAGACAGGATATCTCTTCATCTAGAAGAAATGAAGCACTTCTCAGTCACGTTGCATTGGCATTTTACCACTCAATCCTTCATTTCAACCAAGAAAAGGACTTGAAATACACATGGCCATTGTATCTTCCATCGCCAGAGGATGCAGTCGCAACCTTTGGGGCAGATTTCCATTCGACATTCCGGACAAAGCTAGGCTTGGAGAATTCCATTCTATATACTCGAAACAACAACTTTCGTCCCATATCGCTTACGTTCAGACCCTCTTCGACTTTCTATGATAGTGATAAAAACGTGCTGATCGATGACCCCATTACGGACCCTTTCATTTCGGGTCATTATTCGCTGAAAGCTCGGAATGCACTTTCAAGTTACGGTTTGGCATCAATGTCTTGGAAGTTGGGATTGGAGCTTCTGTGTAAAGATCTGAAGAGACCCATGGCTCTGTCGCGTATGAAATCGACTTCAACGAATGATGACACCCATAGACGCATGGCGAACTTTCTCTCTCAAGCTGCAAGGGCTATAGGAACTGAGGCCTTAATGTCACTAAAGCTTCTTCCATTGAGAGATGGGACCTGGGTTTCTCCAAGTTCGAAGCATGATGTTTATTTCCCAACAAGCAAGGGCATTCTCATTCCTTCGGGTCTTGATTTTCTCATTTTGGACAGTCGTGCCGCTGCCCATAAAGATCGCAGCATTCTCTTCTCAGAGCTAGGTGTCTCGGAGATAAAACTTGTTAAGGTACGCGAATCCGTGCTGAAACATAATAGCCCTTTATTTTTCTTGGATAAAGGTTTGAAGATCGTGGAATCAAGAGACCATCTGCGATTCCTATATCAGACCCACCACTTGAGGATTGAAGGGGAGGATTTCAAAAACTTGACTTTGTTCCTTCGCAATGGGAAGCCGGTTAGGCCGAGTTTTTCAGACTGTTATATCCCATTGGACATTCCCTACGGACCGAAGGCTCTGCTGGGGGCAACTGACAGCTCTCCGGGTATGAACGTGGATTTTGTTCACCCGATGTATCTTGAAGAGCCTCCTGAAGCACCCCCTGGGAGCAATTGTTCGTGGCTTATATGGTTGCAAGAAAACATTCGACTTATGACAGAACCGCAACTCGTCAGCCGCTCCAGTCGGGATATACTATCACTTGCTTGGTATTATCTAGAAGAATATCGGCCGAGTAAACTACTCGATTTTCTAAAACATACCTGGAGATCTGCGATAGATATACACGGTTCACTTCCGAATGGCATTCGAGACACAAATGCAAAAGAGCTCTGCAGAATTGTGTTGCCAGTGACATGTGGTCTTGACGAAACATATCTTCCCCTTCCGGAGATAGTGAGAAAGTCAGAACGATTTTTGGGCCCTGATCCAATTTTCCCTTTTCTGAAACTCTCAGAGGCTGAAACAATGGAGGAGATTATTTCAGAGTGGCTATTTCTCCATACGAAGATTGGCGTGAGAAAGGATGACAATATGGAGTTCTTGCTTGACATCCTGAAATGGTTGAAAATTTCAGAGCCTGACGCAAATTCTATCGATGACCATAGGCGAATTCTCAAACTCTACAGTGCAATGGACGCAAAATTCTACGAAGCCGAAAACAAGCCAGAGCTACAGGAGCGCATCAGGTATGTTAACAGACCACCCAAAAACATAAACAAAGCGCTTTTCTCAGTGCAGAAATCAGATCTTTCTTCCTGAGCGATAACTACATATTTGTTCCCATGATCTATGAAGGTGATATTGCGAATGCAGATTGGGCTGGTATAGAGGAATGTCTGTGGGATGGACCGGAGAATATGCTCACCAAATACTCACTTGCTTCTGTTTACGGGCACCTCTGTGACGAAAGCGAACTCTCGAACATATCAAGATTCTTTTGTCAGGTTCTGAATATCGGATCAGCAACCTGGTCCGACCTGACGAAAGAGTTAATTGCGCAGAAGGATGAGGGTCCTGACGAGTTTGGTCCCATCTTTGAGCTCTACGAATACCTTCATGGAATGAAAGTTACCGTTTTTGCTGGTCAGCTCAGGTAATATACCCCCTGTTTATTTGGAAAACTTCCCATGCTGATATTTCATTATCAGACAAGCGTTCCAAGAGAACTCTCTGATTTTTGCGTCCTCCAATTCTCGGGTTGGCTGGTACAAAATTTCTGAGTGTCTATGGTCAAGTACCACAGCCATACGAGGAAAGGTCACGCTCAACGACGATTACGAGGATCTGGAAGATTTCTTCGTCAAAACTCTAGAGGTTCAGATGTTAACAATTCAGATGGTATATGATGACCTCATGGGCACCAACTCCGAATCAACAATTGATGAGACTGTGTCCAAAATCTGGTCCCTCAACGCATTGCTCCCAGGGAACAGAAGCTCTGTTGACCCCGAGGCCCTGCGGGAGAAGCCAATCTTCCCCGTTGTCTATCCCGACGGTACAAAAGCTCTTAAATCTGCGAGTACCCAGTTTGCAATTGAAGATCGTGAATACTTAGCCTTGAAGTTTCTCGGGAAGATCAAAATTCTTGACTTTAACCAGGAGGAAGTTCGTGATCTCAAAGTCTTCTTTGACTGGATCAATATAGCACACTGTTACCTTTCGACTTCAATTAAGGAGCTGACTTCTATCTCCGGTGACACTGTCCCATACTCTCCGCCTCCTACTTTTGATTTCAAGTACAAAGCTTATGCCATCCTTCGGTGCGTATAACTCCAGAATCTCGTTCGGATACATAACTAAAATTCTTGATTGAAATACAGTGTCGCGCATACTTTCAAAAGCCCCAGATATAAAGCCGACGATCAAGAACTTTACCGAGTACTACAAGCAGCTAAAATTGAAGTCGCGGATACAATCAACACTGTCCTACTCATCTCTCAGAATGGCAAACTGAATGACGTGGAAGAAACCGGTGCAAAGTTACATATTGCTGAGCACGCGTCTAATCTGACTTTCTATGTTCCCAGAGACAGAAAATCCCAGCATCTTTGCTTCTGCAAATTCTTACCAGAGCAGCTTGCTGACTGGCTTATGAGAGATCCGACAACACAAATCCTTCCAGTTGACAAGATCGAAGACGAAATGGTGAATTTGATGACGAAGATATTTTGCATAGACCCATCCGGTCTGTACGAGATTCTAAGCCGTGAGGGTATAGATGAAATTGACATCATCAATGTGGACTTAAGGGTTGACGATGACGACGAGGATGAGGATGAGGATTATGAAGATGATTCCTCGGAGGATGATGGCTCAGAGGACGATGGTTTGGAAGATAATGATTTGGAGATTGGAGACTCAGAGGTTGAAGATTTGACGAATGATGTGGATAATGAGGATGAGGATGATGCACACAGCACTGGAAGTCTTCGAGAGCCCACAGGCACGGAAGATCGATTCTCTACCGATAATTTCGAGTCGTCGACACAGTCTCCAGGCTACATAACTGCCATACAAGACCCAATGGCTCCTCAATCGCCTCGACCCAGTCCCTCTCCACCAATTCCCGTCTCCTCGCCCAACAACCACCCACCAGATGAGGATTCACAATACCAGCGTCTCCTCAACCATGCCATCTCAGTCGCACGAAGGAGTTCATTTCCTTCGAGGGGGGCCTTCAACATGGATCACTTGAACCAAGCCCTCCGCGAAGTGGTAGGAGACGACCAATATGAGGGTTTCAACGGCCCTGGGGTGGTGGGTGCCTTTCGCTCCAGAAACCAGTTGGAAAGGGACAAGAAAATCGGGGCGGTGGGAGAACTCTACGTAAATACAGAACTTTCTTGGAACATCATGATATTCCAGCTTTCGCTAACTATGTGCAGGTTTTTGAGGTTCTTAGCAGGCTCGACCAGCCTTTGCCAAATTGGACCAGTGAAAATTGGCAAAGCACCATTCGCCAATATGTGACAAGTCACCCCGACTATAATACAATGGCCCCCTGGTATGGACGAGAGACAGCGGACTTTGTCTATAATGATACAGAAGGGGCGTTTACCTCTTTACTTATTGATCATGGATATATTGAAGCCAGTGAGTGGGCAACCAGACGACCTAAGTACTTTATTGAAGTCAAGACCACGACGGGACCATTGGGAACTCCGTTCTTCATGAGCAAACATCAATTTCGACGAGTGAGTGAACACCTGAGATTCGTATATGGAGTCAAGATTTTTAATGAGGTATAGATGGGAATGATACATAACAGAGAAGACCGTTCAGAAGTCTATTTGATCCTTCGCGTGTTCAATATACGAGGGCCTAATACTGGGATGTGTTTGTACCTCGACCCGGAGAGGTTAAGATTGGATGGAGGACTGGTGTTTACTGGTGAGACATGGTCAGTTGTTCCTGGAGAGCCAGGTCTACTTTGATAGTGCATAGGAATCAAGTTTGCGTGAAGTTTTCGGTGTTTCTGGGCCAGAAATTCCTAGAGGTTCTTGAGCTTCGAGAGTAGAGCTGCACAGCCAAACGTAGCGGAGGGCACCGACTTACGAAGAAGAAGTGGATAACCGGGTAAATATTTCCAGAATTTTGGCAAAAGTGACTCCAGCTCAGGTTTATTTTACCGACGATTAGCCGTAATGAGAGCAATCTCAGAAAGTTTCCAGCACAGTGCAATCGGGCAAAGATCGGCCGCGTCTCCATAATCTAGTATCCCCGTCTCGTGGCGTGCCATTTCATTGCCGGGGGAGATCCGACCGGGGAATTCCCAGTTTTGCGCAGTCTCCAGTCTTCGGGCTACGTTAATGTAGTACGACCTCCATTTTAATCGCCATATGCCAGACCGATCAACAAAAGGACAAAGGTCCAAATTATTCCAGTTCCGATCATCACGAATACCAGTCCATGCCACGCTACACTAGTCACTCAATTCTAGACCGAACCTGACATCTCAGGGCTCGGAAAAGGACAATAATTGAACTGGTTCAAAAAACATTGTTTTTGTATTGTTTCTTCAGCCTGTTATCACAGGCAGATTGTAAAGGGGGTATAACAAATGGTCTAGCCAGAAAGAAAGAGAGAAAGAGAGAAATCCTGAATCCAACGACCTCAGCGGGCCAACATATCGCGTGAGAAAATAAGATCGTGTATGGATGAAAGCGAGAACATGAAAGGTAGTGAGAAAGGTGGCAAAATATGTATAGTTGGAACGGGTGTGGTGAGAAAGGATGTTGAGAAGATAAGAAGGGAAAAGTAGAAAAGAGAAAGGAGAAAGGAAAGGAGAAAGGAGAGGAGAAACGAGAGAACTTGTGAAAATATGTCAAAACATCAAAGAATGCGTTGCGAGGCCTGCTCTACGGCACTTCTTTGTCACCTCGCTTGATCCCTTGAGGTACGTCAATTGCGTCGCGTACCCAGGGCATAGCAGCGATATCATCGAGATGCTTGCGTTTCGTGTTGCGCTTGAGAAGACCCTCGACACAGTCCCGACCTCCCTCAAGGTCACGACCCTTCTCAGAATCCCACTCTTCATCTTCGTCGGCGTAGCGGTACCAACTCCATTCGCAGCGTGCAATGCGGTGCGGTGTACGGGCTCGGAGTTTGGCCGGGTCGCCGCGAGTGCCGGGTAGGACATCGAAGGGGAGTCGATTTTCCATAATGGCGTATAGCAGCACACCGAGAGCCCAGGCATCGGTTGCACGGCCGTCATATGGCTGGCCCATGAGGATCTCGGGCGCTGCGTAATCTTCACTGCCGCAGCGGGTTTGGAGAAGGGGGCTCTCCGGTGGTTCGGGGATACGTCGTGATAATCCGAGGTCACTGAGAGTAACCACGGCGCGGTCGTATGTGCGCCAATCAGACACATCCTCCATAGCGTGCAGAGGCATGGTGAGCAGGACGTCTAGAGGACTGGGTTAGTGCGAGTGAATCGCGCGATGGTTCTAGCGAAACATACTTTCTAACTTGATATCGCGGTGAACGATATAATTTGAGTGCAGGTAGCGCACGGCGTTGACTAATTCGGCAAAGATTCGTCGAATGAGACCTGGGGAGGTGGACCGGGGTCCGGTTGTCGCGAATTCAAACAGGTCCCCGCCGGGGCAATAGTCCAGAACGAGAAGAGCGCGTTTCTCATCACTTCCAAATGCTTTCAGTTGCACCAGAGATGGATGGTTGACAGCTTTGAGGATGTCAACCTCTCGCTTGAGGGAAACCTCCAATCGCTCCTCGTCAGCGCCTCCGGCAGGGCCATGCTCGATGATCTTGACTGCCACCAGCTTCTGACCCGCGGCGGGATGGATGATAGCATCGCCAGGTGTGTCTGTGACAGGTGAGAGAGGGGTTTGCACAACCTCTTCCACGCGTGCCGCGAGGCAAACTTGACTGAATGTACCCTGGCCCAGGACGCGTATTTTCCTGTACATCCGAGATTGCTGAGTGCGCACTGATCGGACGGAATAAATTTCCTCCAGCTTAGACAAGGGGGCAGGATGATGGATAACAGGCTCCGAGTCACTATCCCCATAGCCACTTCCACTGCTACGAGGGGGGGCTAGGGGGGACGAACCGTTGGTAGGGCAATACCGCGATGGACAGCCAGGTATTGTTCACGGTGAAGACCCGTCGATTTGGAATCGGTACTGGAAGAGGGAGCAATACTGGGGCCGGGACCAGAAACTGCAACGGGCCGAGGGATGGACATGCGACCCGGTGGTGCGTAGTCACTCAGGCTGCGGTTACGGACATGTTTGGTCGGCGAGTCGCGACGGACTCGACTCGCAACTGGAGATTCCTCTCCGAGATCATTCAGACCAGTATATGATTTCCCATGGGATCGGGATGGTGGGCCCAACATCTGCGACGAATCGCTCAATCGCAAACTCGAGCCACTTCGCGACGCGGTGGAAGAGGTACGCGACAACGAGGGTAGAGCACCGCCGCGCCACGGAGAAGCACCACCGATCGGGGAAGGTAACGGAGTGATGTCGCCCATAGCATTCAACTGGGGCGAGGACATAAACGAGGCTGGGGATAGAGATCCGGCGCTACTGATGGGGGCAATCAAGGCGCGCAGACTTGGGGTTCGCTGCGGGACACTGCCGGAGGAGACGCTGAGGCAGGCCAGGTGATCGGAATCGCGCGAAGTGGACGGACGACGAACGGTACTGGGCAAATCGGTGCGAATCTGGAGGGAGGGCACGGAAGCGGGACTAAGTATGGTCGGGGCGTCTATATGTCCCTGGGGGTGAGCCTGGTCATCGCCATGGCTGGGGACGGCAGCATGTTGAAGTTCATCGCAAGCGATGGCAAGGCCAGACCTCTCGGTCGACGCAGAGTCGGGGGCGACCATGGAATTCCGACGAATTTTCTCGAGGAATGGAATGGAGGGAGCCGAAAACGGGAAACGCGCGAGAGGATTGAATCCTGCGAATGGCGATTAGAGATTAGACACGAGATAAGGTCATGTCTCAGCCTCACCCAAACGGCCTTAGCGTGGGAGGGGGAGACCCGTTGAGGGTCAACGGGCGGGCATGCAAGAGAGGTGGTGGAGGTGTGTATGGAATATGATGGCGAGTTGGAAGGGAAGAAGGAGGAGAAGGAGAGGAAGAGAAGCAAAAAGTCGAGAGTCGTCGCAAGCAGGCAAGGCAAAAGCAAGGCAAAGGCAAAGCCGAGCAAAAGCAAAGCAAAGTCCGACCTCGAAAAAAAAAACGGGGAGGAGTCAGCTGACGCCTCCCCCGCATTCGGAGTAGAGTGACTTGGACTATATTTAGATAGACATACACAGTAGTATACACACTATACTAGTTTTGATTACTGATATGTTGACTGCTGTTGATACTTACGCTGCAGCTTGTGTACTGTTAACGGTGGCCCAGATCGTACTTTGGAAGCAAACAAGCCGGTCCAGTCCGGTCGGCAACTGAGTAGACTAGGTACTACATACTCGTACATGCAACTATACCGGGTAACTATACATACAGAGTAGAACACCACTACGCAGTTTACTATTACTATTACTACCTCCGTAAATAGAATCCGGTGCAGAATCTGCGTAGTCCTTGCTGAATGATTTTTACTGTGAAAAACAGCCAAACAAGAAATGATTGGCACTGCGAAAGCCGACCGGCCAAAGATAACCGGCCCAGTGGGGTTCCACTACCGCCGCCCATGCAGGGGCCATCTGCGTCCTGTGCGCCACTGACGATGCCTCATGAAGATTCGCTGATCTCAACATGGCTTTGTTTTCATTTTGCCTGTTTTTGCTTCCCGAGTTCCCTATATTCTCCGTAAAATTAAGGATATTCATTTACGATATGCTTACCCACAAACTAACCATCCTCGATTAACTATTTCTCAGATTACCCCCCCGCGAGAACCATGGAACCGTGCACCGAATACCCTAAAGCTTGAAAAATGGAGACCTCAAGCTGCCCAGCCCCCCCGCCATCGATAATAGTTTTGAGGGTTGTCACGAGAACCTGTTCAATTGGGGGCCATATGACGACCTCGGAATGCGACATGAGTACACCTGCCCAGGTGGGCATCCCTTTATTTGCAAAAAAAATGTACTCAATGGAACTTAGTACACTCCGAGTCTGTAGCATTGCTCAATATATATCCTTGGAGTTAATTCCTACTTAGGTAACATCTACCTGGGCATAGATAGTACACTGCCAAAGTATTGCAGGCCCGGGGGCTAATATTCATGACGTTAGGAGGTCCATGGGCAGCAGTACGACTAGTAGTTAACTACTAGTTATCGGCAAGTCCCGAACTCTCACTGCCACTGCTACTGCCACTGCCACTGCACTGGAAGCCTAAAACCGATTCTCAGGATGCATCAATCGCCCAGCCACCTCACCATAAGCCCCCCTCAACCTCACTAATATCCTCCCCCCTGAATCCAATACCCCTTACCATTAGGATTCTCCGCCACCGCAGCTGCAATAATCCCCCACGCCACATCCTCCGGCGAGCTCTTCAACGTATCCGGGTTTGTCGTAGCCTGAAGACCCTCAACCATCGAAGTAAGTGTCAACCACGGCGCAATCCACGAAATAGAAACCCCCGACTCCGCAACCTCACTCATATGAGCAGTACTCCGACAAAGTCCCAGCACGGCATGCTTGCTAGCCGCATATAGTGGCTGCGACGGGATGGGAACGTAGGACCCGGCCGATGCCGTTACCACAATCCGACCTCCACCGTGCTGTTTCATGTAATGAAGGCCCAATTTTAAGCCGAAGAGGACGGAGTTGACATTAATATCGAAGAGTTGGGTTGGAGGGCGGATTAGAGAGGTCATCTCTGAATTCTTCTCGTCTGCGAGGTAATTGTAGCGCACTTGCGAGTTCATTTTTGAATGCTCGTCCGGGGCGGATACTTGTAGCAGGGCGATTTCCGGATTGATGGCTGCGTTGCAGACGAGGAAGTCTATGGGGCCGATATTCTTCGTCACGGTCTCGAATAGAGTCATCTGTTGTTCCCAATTGCTCACATCGCACACCTGGTATGAGGACTGCTTCCCAATTGCGGCACACGCTTTCTTCAGGTCTGATTCGTTTAGGTCGATTAATACCACGCGAGCGCCATGTTGGGCGAGAAGGGATGCGGTTGCGAAACCGATACCACGGGCTGCACCGGTGACGACGGCGACCTTGCCTTCCACTTTGCTTCGGACGGTGTCTGGGGTAGGCCGACTAGTAGTGGCCATAACGACGGTTCTTGGATTGAGAAACGCAGGCGCCTAGAGCTGTCAACTAGCACTTCGAGTATTTGGAGGATGTCAGCTTATCTTTATACATCATCTACTAATACTAGTACCCGCGTCCCCACTCGGGTTCGGAGATTTCGGTTCCGTCGCAGCAACTGACAGCGAGGGAGATGTTTCCTGCAAGCCTCGGCATTGACCCCCCCACCTCAATCAACTCACATCGGCCACTCTTAACATCCACAACTACCGCTGACTAGTACTGTAGATTGTTTCAAAGCCAAGACCCAATTTAAAAAGCCAAACCAATTATCTAGTTTAAATGCCATATTCTCATTTGTCATTTCCTTTAAAAACTAGCCATAGCCTTAAATCGATTCTCATACGCCCTCTTCGTCACACTAGTCCCCGCCGAAAACGCTTCAAACCCATGAGGCAGTCCAGGATAGACATGAAGATCGACCGGGATATTAGCAGCCACAAATCGGCGCGCATATTCCAGATCCTCATGCACAAACATATCTAGCTGGGCGCTATCCAGATAAAGCGGCGGAAGACCTTCCACACTGTCCACCCGAGCCGGAGCAGCATAAGACTCAATCTTGTCCGTGCCCCTATCAACTCCAACATACGCCGTCCACCCTGTAATATTATCCGCTTCTGTCCACATCGCCAATTCCCCCCGCGTGGTTGGTAGTAGTTCGATCATCCAGCATGGGGTAAACCAGGATCTGTTTCGCAAGGGGAGGGGTCAGATTCGTATCTCGTCCTTTGAGAGTCAAAGCAGCTGCCAATCCACCACCAGCACTCTCCCCCATAACCGCGATGCGAGCGGTGTCGATATTCAGCTCCGTTGCATTTGCGTAGACCCACTGCAGCGCTGCCCAGCAGTCGTTGAATGGGACGGGATATGGGTGTTCGGGGGCGAGTCGGTAGTCGATACTGAGTATTTGGACTCCGGTTTGCGATACTGCCTGCACGAGTGGTGGGAGACACATCTCGGCGCTGAGGAGGAAGTATCCTCCGCCGTGGAAGTGGATGATGGCTGGATCGCCGTTTGTACTAGTGGTACTAGTAGCTTGTTTCCCTTTCACGCGGATGTGATGGATGGGGACTTGGTATCCGTCGGGAGCTGGGGCTTGACGGATGATCTTTTCGACATTCTCGGGGAGTGGGGGGGAGTTCTCTGGTGAAGCTTGCGAAGTAAGCTCTTCGACCCTCAACGTCGTGGACTGGGAATTTCCCGGCATCGCCTAGGATGTGGAGGGTAGGAGCTGCCTCCTTGATGAATTCGGGATCGTATTGGAGAGGCATTGATGAGGATACGTTCAAAAGGAAATGTTGAGAAAAGAAGAGGTAATTAGAGAGAGAAAAAGTGAACGACCTTGGGGAAAAAAAAGGAGTCTGTTATAACAAACAAAGAAAACTCCCCAGTCCGTCCCAAAAGCAAGCATTTAACTAAAACCCAACGATCGAAGACTCTCGGCTCAAGAAGTATGAAATGAACTCGTCCTGTAAACCCCAACTCGTTTTGCTCACACATCTTCCAATCAAAAGAAACAACCCAATCTTTGCCCCATGAAATCCAAATCTCCAAATCCCACTCTTCACGGAATGACCCTGACCCGCATCCGAAAGGGAAGTCTGTTCAGATCAAGTCTCCACAAGTGGAGACCAACCCTTCAGGCAGGCGATGGCGAGCGTCGCAGATTTGATCCACAGTCCCTGATTCGTTTTAGCGGCTTGACTAGCTTCGCACCTCACTGCCTGATACGACTACATCTGCTTGGCCGGATATTCGGTATCATACTCTCCCGACCAACAGTCTGTTAGAATCGATACAATACGGAAGTGAGTTTATGGTTCTACCGAGGGAGGGCTTGCACTAACAACGGGAGCAACGCCAACAATAACAGCAACGACAACAACAACACCATCTGCGAACCTTGCGAGCGCCACACTATGGGGTTAGATTTGCCGAGTTTCGATGAATTACCTCCCGTCGAGGGCATGCCTCAGGGCTGTGCGTGGGGGGTTTTTAATCGTGACGGCGAGAAGGATATCTTTGGTACCTTGAATATTTTGACTCCTGATGTGGTCAAGGCTGCGGCGCAGGAGGTACAGGATGGCATTTCGATTTCGCTGAAGTCAGTCCTGTCTTTCTCTCATTGTCCCGGTCCCGCCTATGCTAACTAAGTGATCAAACACTAGTTGGCCTATTGGGAGCATCAAGATCCCCGGCTTCTTTAGGAAGAGTCTCACACACAAGGTCATGAAACTGGAAGATCCATCAGCCGATTTGCATTATGGCTTCGATGATGAGGTATAGTTGGACCGAGTGACTCGGAATCAACTAGAAATATACTGATGAGATTAGGTCGAATTCAACACCCAGGCAAGCAGCCAGTGGGACAGTCTTTGTCAGTGAATCAAATATTGAAACTCTGGATCATGCCTAACTTCTGCATAGGTCACTTCATGCACCTGCCATCCGGAAAAGCATACAATGGAGTTACCCCAACAATCGCCGAGATGGAAGATCCCGCCAACGCGACCCAGAAGCTACCCACCCTTGACAGTGAGTCCAACCGCATATCGCGCACAACCATTCCTAACTCGGCACAGACTGGCACAAACGCGGCTGCATAACCGGAAGAGGCGTCCTAATCGACTTCAAATCCTACGCCGAAAAAAAGGGCATCACATACTCCCCCTTCACAGGCTTCCGAATCAGCCCATCCGACATCGAAGCAGTGGCCGCTTACCAAGGCGTAACCTTCAAACCAGGAGATATCCTAATCATCCGATTCGGCGTCACAGAAGCGTTAGGAAACATGACGGGCGCAGAACAAGCAGCAGCCATGGCAAGTTACAACGCATGTGGCATCGAGGGAACAATTGAGATGGCACGCTGGCTTTGGAATAATCACTTTGCCGCCATTGCCAGTGACAATCTCGCGGTCGAAGCTATGCCGCCCATGGAAAATGGGGAGGTTCTTCCACTCACGAGCCTGGTGCTGCATCAGTGGTGCCTTGGGCTTTTCGGAATGCCGTTGGGTGAATTGTGGGATTTGAAGGCGTTGGCGGACGTGTGCGAGGAGAAGAAGCGATATTCGTTTCTCCTTACGTCTGCTCCTCTCAATGTGCCCGGTGCTGTTGGGAGTCCCCCAAATGCGATTGCGATTCTGTGAGATTCGAGGATCATGTCTGGATAGTAGCTGTTAAGTAGCATTAGGTAGCGAGAATGGATTCATTTCGCCTTGCGCCAGTGTGTGGGGCTTTAACTGATTAAAATTATGAAAGTGGTATTCGTAGATATGCATGAATATCATAGTCCATAACAAGTAGACTTTTTCGCCGGCAAAAAAATTAAGATTCCATTCCTAGCAGGTATTACTTCTTGGGCTCGCCAGTAAACAGACGCAGACTCGAGGAAGACAATTTGCATAGACCTCGCTTTCACGAAGATACAGCAATAACTACGTGGATCATGGTGTTTAAAGAGGATGCATTGCATTGAATTTCTATATCTGTCGAATAGATCCAAATCTACAGTTCAAGAAGAAGTATTGAATCCCTGCCAGGTCTCCAACCCAGCCGTACAGCTCTTCCACCAACGCTGCATACCGCCAAGATACACAAGCGGCTCACGTCTCTTCCCAGGAATATTCGAGCCCATATACCACGAATCAGCCTTGGGATAGAGGGTATACTGGCTAACAGCATGAACCTCGTCACGCCAAGCCTCAGCAGCGGCCTGAGTAGGTTCGATGGATTGGATCCCTTCTTTTTGCATCTTTTCAATCGCTTGGCAAATCCAATCAATCTCCATCTCAATGAAGGGCGGGCCATTGGCCAGCGAGGTCGGGGCTTGAGGTCCATAAACAATGAACAGATTAGGCGTATCTGGAACCATCATGCCAAGGTGTGTGAGAATGCCATTTTTCCACTTCTCGCCCAATGGGACTTGATTCTTATCCGAGATTGACAGATCTAGCAAGCTGCCAGTGACAGCATCGTAGCCCGTCGCAAAGATAATCACGTCTAAATCGTGGTGTTGTGTTGTTTCGCCGTTGCTCGTCACCATTCCGGTTGTGTCGAATTCTAGGATAGGCGACTTCTTCAAATCGTGGAGGGTCACATTGGATCGATCAATCATTTCATAGTAATCCTGCTCCAGACTGGGTCTCTTGGTACCGACCAACATTTGTTGTTGCAGGGGCGCCACGAGATCCATTTTCTCGGAATTCGTCATGCGAGCGCGGACCTTTTGAACCCAGTAATCGTAGAAAATCGAGTTTGCACCTTCGTCAAGAAGGAAATCGTAGTAGTTCGATACCAGGAAGCTATAGCCACCTCGTTCCCAAAGTTCGTCGAATAATTCCTTTCTCTCTTCGGGTGTAGCTTGGTGAGCAGATTGGAAAATGGTGTTGTGTGGGAAGCCCGACATGGACTTGTAGTTTCGCTCAAAGATTCCGTCATAGTAACCCTTCATCATCTCCGCTTCTTCGGGAGAAATCTGACGCTGTTTCATTGGAATCGCGAAACATGGCGTACGAATGAAAACTTTGAGATCACACTCTTCCTTCGCGACATCCTGCACGATTTGGAGACCAGAAGCACCATTTCCAACCACGCCGACGCGCTTCCCCTTAAGATCCAAAGAGTTGGGGTAATCGGCAGCATGGACTAATTTTCCACGGAAGGTATCCAGCCCGTTGAAAGCTGGATAGTGCTTCTTATGCGAGGATCCAGTGGCAGCGATGAGGTACTTGCAAGTTGCCGAGAGTCCAGATTCTGTCTGAACGTTCCATCGAGCTGTGGTGGTGTCATATTGTACACGGCTGACGATTGTGTTGAAAAAGGTATCCTTGCTCAAGTTGAGGACGTTGTCAACATGTTGGAAGTATCTTCGTAGTTCTTCGTCGCCTGGGAAGCGCTCAGACCAGTTCCAACCCTTGTACACGGCAGATATGTTGAACTGGTAAGATGGCATCTCCGTATCGACGCGAGCACCGGGGTAACGATTCCAATGCCAAACGCCGCCAAATCCACTGCCGGCTTCGATAAGCTTCACTGACAGGCCGAGGCGTCGGAGCTTGTAGAGTGAATTGCATCCGCCGAAGCCGCCACCGATGACGATGGCATCGACATCAACATGGGGACCGGTCCGAGTCATTGTGACGATTTAAGTTGCACAGAAGCAAATAAAAGATAGGAGACCCTCGAAGTTGAAAACTTGGGCAAAATGTCTACTGGCAGGGGGTGCTGCTGCTTTTACATGATCAGGCCATTTGCCAAATTTGGCGCAAATTCCGATGTCAAGGTACCTACCTACTCCTGTGCCGTCGGCTGGGGCTCGGGTGACAGGCATACCGAGCCCGTTAAGGGCCACTTCTCTGCATCCGAAGTTGTTTGGGACTGGTTTATAGATTGAGGATTCCCAAAGAGGGAGTCCATGGCGAGAAGGTTTCCACTCGCCCCACCATGCGGGACATTTCATAGTCGACACGGTACGCCACAACCGACAATGCATTGCTCTATGTTGTCCAAGAAATCCAAATTAAGGAGGCCCTTGCGCGAGTGATGTTCAGTAACAGTCCGGAGTCTGCCACCTCCGCATCCGACAAAAGGACCGGAGGCAGGTAGCGGACTTGAAAGTCCCGGCCAGCGGGGTATTGACTTGCCGTGGGCGTTTAGAAGTTTAACTACTACGATACTACGAGTATGTACTAACGAAAGCTAACATGTTTTTTGTTGAGACGTGGGCGCAGGCACCCGCGGCTTCAGGCATTCAGGTCGCCGTGCCGTCCTTCCGTCTATAGATAGCTTCACCCTCTTCTCTCACCTCAACCGAACATCACTCACCACTTTTACCTTTTTATCCTTTCTTAATTCATCACCTCCTAGCAGAAGCTAGCAACTTTCTGAAGACCAAGATCAACAGAGACAACCATTGGATCATCCAATACCTGTCAAAATGGCATGCAATGTGAAAGGAACTGCATTCATCACGGGTGGTGGATCAGGTAAGCTGTGATTTCCCCAAAAGCATCACGCCGGAATTAAAAAATCAGGAATCGGTAGAAGTACCGCAATCGCCCTCGCGCAGAATGGAATCAGCGCCGTGACTCTAGTGGATGTGAATGTCCCTCTACTCGAGCAAACCCGTGACGCTCTTCGCGTACAATTCCCAACTCTCGAAGTGGAGATCCTGGAGGTGAACGTCGCAAACGAAGAATCCGTCGAATCTGCGGTCCAGAAGACAGCCGAACGTTTCGGTCGTGTGGATATCGGTATCAACTGCGCTGGCATCAGTGGCATCCCTACCCCTACTGCTGAGATGTCGCTGGTGGAGTGGCAGAAGGTCATCGACGTGAACCAGACAGGCGTGTGGCTGTGCCAAAGGGCTTTGATTCGGCAGATGCTAAAGCAAGAGTGAGTTTAACTATGACCAGCATGGACTGAATGCTGATAATCTATAGCTCCCGCGGAATTCGAGAAGGTCGCGGTGTGATTGTCAACGTCTCCTCCATGTTTGGCGTTAGTGGGCCACCCGGACCATTCAGTATTCCACACTACACAGCAGCAAAGCACGGTGCGTTCAAGTGAAGATACTTTCCATTTTACAAATTAAAATTGAATTAAGCTGACCATATTATCCAGCCGTTGTTGGCCTCACGAAAATGGTACGTTATATATACCCCCGTGCTACAAAATCCTTACTAACAATACTATAGGATGCCAAAGCATATTCTCGTCAAGGAATCCGTATCAATGCGATCTGCCCCGGGTATGAATCTCCAATTGACTTTAGGGTTTTAAATTGCGGATTTGAACTGACATCAGATTCTAGATTCGTCGATACCCCTATTATCAAGGAACAGATTGAATCAGGCTCAATGAACCCAGCATTTGAGATGACCCCCGTCGGTCGGCCGGCGCAGGTGGAGGAAATTTCAGATGCGCTTCTCTTCCTGTCATCGCCCATGAGCAGCTATATGTGCGGTGCAGCCCTAGTCGTGGATGGAGGATACACTGTCTAGTAGTTGAGCAGTAGAAGAAGTACTACCGAGCATAGCGCCTTGCCTCTATTTGTTCAATATCAAGTTGACGCCTTAGAAGAATGACATCTCTCTCTGAATTAAATATTTATACAAGCATAATATCGAAGTCTGTCTCTTTGGCAATTTCCTGCCATTGAATGTCCACGCCACCTCCGGCCTGCGCCCTTCTATCCCAGAGGGTCTTTACAATTTCAAACAATATCATTGTGTTCTCAATCCCGTGCTTTGCCTTTTTATCAAATGAGACCAGCATGCGAGATTGAAGATCCGGGCGCTGACACTCGGCTGCAACAACAAAGCTAGCCCAATTGTAGGCACACCCACCCTTGTCGTTCTTTAAGATATCCACCGCCTCCAATTCATGCACAGCCTTCTCCACAAGCTCCTGTACATCACAGAGAGGGGCATGGCGAAGAGTGCGTCTGAAGTAAATGATCGTTGCGTAGTAGAAAGAGTTGAGAGCATGTTGGATAGTAGTCGACCCTAGGGCATCTGGGTCAGTTAGAGATGGGAAATTGAGATAAAGCTGCAGCTCCAGTTCATCCAGTTCTCTTGTGGATATTTCCTCTTTTGAAGCATTCATGGCGGTCATTTGTGCCAATAGCTGGACAAGCGGAGATGTTATACCGTGCGATCTTTCGAGATAGTGCCGCAGCTCTGACGGACCATTGAGTAAAGACATCATCTGCTTCGACATGGGCAGGTTGCAGAGAGAAGAAAGAGAGAGATAGCTCTGCAGCAAGCGCGAAGCTGTCGGCCCCCGAACCCAGCCTCCATTCAATTCGTTTTCAAGAAGACCCAAGCCGCCAGCGACATGTGCTCTCCAACGACCTCTCCGTCCGGACATAGCTTCTGCTGTGATGCAAGAAAGAACCGCCGCTAACGTCGGTTCATCCAAGCGCCGTGCTTTTTGCAGATTGTATCTTAGATGTCGTAAGGCAAGCTGGTCATGGTGCATTGCCAACGATTGGTAGCGCGGGTCACGACGGAGGTGAAAAAGACTAAAGGCGGATGAGGCGCATATAGCATGAAAGATTGATAGGTGGATGTTCGATTCTGTTGAGGGCGTTTCAAGTCCCTTCAACGCCATTGGCATAAAGATTGTCCGGCATGGGTTGTCCGGAGTGTCGATAAGCATCATGCTTCCACTTAGGAAGACAGCCCAGTGATGAACTAGCTCAGTTTCGGGTCTAGGGAGTTGAACCGGGTTTATTGCCATCATAAAAGACATATCTGTTGGTGGAGAGCTGCCGGGTAGTAGAGGCTTTCTTCGGCGATCGTAGTTGGATGCATGTTGCTTGCCGACAGAGCAGATCGCATTATTCTTCGCATGACTAGCCTGGGCCTGATTGAGAGACCCGGATGATACCGGTGGACACTCTGTACTTTGAGTCCTACTCAGAGGACTAGTCGATGCCACGGGTTGGACGGGCCCGTCGATGCCAGAGGTTATTTCACCGCCGGTTTCCAAGGCATTTTCGAAAGATCGCGTAGTCCGGCTACCGGATTCTTCCTCTGTAACTGCGGATGATGGTGGCTGTTCATTATGAACACTCAATCCATCGTCCGCATCCTCATTGTCCGACCCCGAACTTGCAGCGGAGAACACCGAGAAAGGTCCGCGTTGCTGGGCTCTGCCCTCGGCCGAGCATCCGTCAAGTTCGGCCAACAGAGCCGTCACAGCGGCCGAGGACAAGTCCAGTGTCGATTGTGGAGTCTCCGACCAGATCTGCCTGCGATAGGAACGAGTCCCGGGCGATTGTGACCATCCTAGGCGCAATCCATACCCCTGACAAACCCACCCACTCCGCAGACAACGTCTGCAGGCCGGGCGCTCGTCGTCGCACTTGACCCGGCGGCCCCGGCAGGTCCAGCAGCCCGTAAATGTCTTGGTGCGTAGTTTGGGGGCTTTCACATTATCAGAATTGGTCCTATTCGTCATTCCCACGAAGACTGCTGGGAGGTGGTCATGGTGGAGGTTGAGATTTCAGAGCGGACAACTAAAATTATTCATCTTTGCCCCCCGCCCGGCACCTGCCGCCGTTCTGGCTATAACTTCCGTATTGAGACGAACATGGCTACAATCCAGAATAAATACCGAGGTTTTTGTGTTGACCCTCCCATATGACAAAAATTGATCGTTCTATACATCGTGGCCCTCATCTGTGTTTCCCGTTTGGACTGCATCATCCACTCGCCCCATGGGGAGAGGAGAATCGAAAGATCTAGACTCACCAATATATCGAGATAGTTTTCTATAGGCGAATTCGAAAGTTGGCAAGGTTATTCAGCTTTTATTGATTCTCTCAAATTATGCATCTTATATGCTCGGGCTCCCAAGTCTACTAGAAATAATTTTCACATTTTTTTCAAAATCCATAGATACTCGCCTCGCCGAGGGATGTTCAGCAAGAACTTGAACAAGTCATCACTCATTTCCAAATATCTGGAATCACCTGGACATCTATGAGTCATATAAAGATGAGAGCGTCCTACTCGAGTGATGACAGCCTTTATCTCTACCGTGACCATCCCCCTGACGGTATAATCAGATCTGCTGTCCATACCAGGTACTGGGCACCTGTTATATATTATTCCGCGGTCTCCACTTAAATCTCGCCAGCCCTGGAGGGTGAACTCGGTATTCCAAGGTTCTGTGATAGCCCTGGAGCGAACAGGTCAATTGCAGAAATATTAGAGAGAAGAATTTCGCTGCTCCCTCTGCATGGCAGTTCTTTCAAGGTTCCCGGTTCACGAATCGGTATGCCGAAAGAGACCCGGACCACAGTCATAGATAACTACAGCATGCGATCGACGGAACGTCAAACACGCCACAGAGGGGGGTCCCACAACAAAGGCGATCCCCACAGCCCAGTCTCATCCCTTGGCAACTTATCTCCGACTCGGAGGTTGGCTCGGTCATAAATCCGGGTAAATATTGATTCCAGTCGGCATCTAGCGACAAGATACTAGAAAAAGACTACATGATGGGGTCTATTATTAGATGGCATGTAAGTTGCGCTGCATTTAACGCTCGCATGAATGTAATTGATAGGCGTGTGCCCATACCCCGGTAGTTATACTAACAATAGAAAATGCACTTATTTCGATATAGCTATCAGTTCGAGTGCGAGCCATGGATCCTCACTCCATTTAAATGTAGTATACGAAATCGCCGCGCCTAATTAAAGCAAGTACCAAATATAAAGTGTATGTCTGCAAAAAGGGTTCAGGGCTACATGTAGCTTTCATGAATCCTTTTGAACGACGCCATAGAGGGGAATGTGGCGCCGTAAGCCTTGGATCTGAGGGTCTTGCAACTATCCAAAAGCTAGTTAGCGGCCTCCCACCTGTGGGTCCATCGAAGTCTTATAGATTTATCCATCATGGTACTATACATGCCCTAGCCCACAGCTTTAGCCAATCCAACCCAAGAATAACAGTGATAGAAGCCTCGAAATATCGATAACTATTCTAGGTGGGCCAATTGCTCATCCCACGACGCGTCACGTTGCCCTGGATGTCTCAGAAAGTGGACACCAAGGACTCTCAACTCGGTCCCGGAAGTCATTGTATAAGGGAGACAGAAATTGATGATGAGATATGATGCACAAGGAGATGTAGTATCTACTTAGAGCCCAGTATTTGATTAAAATGTCTCATCAACACCAACTTGAATGAGGTCGACATGTCCAGTATTCGTAAACATGCAGCTTCAGATGTGGAGCTATTGTTCAACAGCAAGCAAACTAGCAATGAAAGCCAATCCTCCAGGGCCTGAGATCATCTGCCCCATCGAGGCTGAATGTGATCCATTTTTAGATGGAAACAACCAAGGAAAGATCGAAGCTAGCAATATTCTATTCTCGAACCATAATTCAAGTATAAAGAGCCTTGGTGCCAGGTCCACGATCTCAATTCCATCCCCATCCAAGCAAAATCGTTCAGCTTGACTCTGCATTGATTTAGCCGTCTCGACAGCTTATTCCGTTCGTTTACCCATCTCATAATGTCTACCACAACAACTACCACCGCTGCGACTACAACTTCGAGCTGCCACGCCAAGCTCTACGACATCCCAACCCACGATGCCGCCTGCGCACTGCCAATCACTAAGGGCAACTCATCCTCCATCATGAGCGACTGCTGCTCCTCCGCATCGGTCGTTGAGTACGACGGCTGTGATTACTACTGTCTAGCTGAGGGCCAGACTGTTGGCACCCTTGCCGAATGTCTCATCAAGGCCGTCGGCTCAGGCGAGTTTTGGTGCAACACCAATGCCAACGCTACCGCAACAGCGACTGCCACTGCTACTGGCACTGGCGTGGTCACTCTCGGCGCGACAACGACTGGCGCAGACTCTACTGCTTCGGGGACACCGAGTGGATCGACTGCAACTTCAACTTCGACATCTGGAGCTGGCGTTATTCGGCCTCGTACCGTATCCAAGTCTGCCCTTGGAATGGTTGGAGTTTTGCTTATTGGCTCAATGATTGGGCTTTCTGTCTGAGCGAATGACGAATATCGAATGGGATAGTATGTGGTAGTATTGGTTTCTCTTCTCTCGGATGCGGTATAGATCAAGTATTCGCGTCAACGTTTGTCAATTATTTAGCGCCAAATATACAATACATATACACGGCCAACCAATATGCACATGTAGTGGGCGTAATAGTTCTCTATTGGAAGTCACTGACAGCATTAAGGATACAAGACGAGACAAATTATATGTCATAGCCAATTAGCCTCAGATATGCAAAGAGACTTTTCTATGTACAGAAGGAAAGGAAAAGCGAATAAAAAGTACAAACCCAATTGCACACCCCGTTCCCAACCCGCGCAGAAATGCGAAACATGGATGCTTTAGGCGCCAGAGTGAAGAGATCCGCAGGGAAAAAAGAGTAAGAAGCCGTTGTAATACATCGCGGGTGAAAGTGAGAATGGTCGAGGTGAGCGGGCTACCACCAAGGGGGGGTCATGGAAGATGGCGGAGCGGGTATGGAGGTGTGGTTGGTTCACCAAAAAGGATGATGGGAGGTTTTAAATGGTCGGTCCAGTCTTATTTAGAAGAAGGTGCGTCGTGTGACCTAAGAAAAAATGGTTAGCAGGGTCGCGCAAATCATTCAAATATGAGCTCGGATACGTACGGCCCAAGCACCGGCAATGGAAGCCACGATGCCTCCAGAGATCATCATCGGCTTAATACCGCGCGTACTCTTGAAGAGCATTCCACTCAAAGCACCAGCAGCGACGCTGTTGGCAGAATCGTGCTTGCCACGCGCGACACCGATAGCAGAGTTGAATCCGTTGTAAACCATCGCGACAACACCGGCGGAGTTACCGAGGAACGGACCGCGGCGGGTAATCGAGTTGAGAGCACCGTTAAGGCGAATCTTAGGGGGAGCATTGGCGGGTGTCTTGCTGAGGCCTTCGGCGAGACCCCATGCGCCTCCGAGGGTCAGCGCGGCGAGATATGTGGTTCCGGCACCGTAGCAAAGATCGTCGGACCAGCCGCGGGAAGGCAGGAAAGAGCGGGAGCCGGGGGTTTCATCGAGTGCGGTGTCTTCGAGGGAGAGGTAATCGAGAGTATCCTGGTTCAACCCGGCCAGGGGATGGAGTCTGGTGGCATCGGAAACGGCGACCTCGGAGAGGAATCCAGTGGCATCTTGAGTGGTGGTAGGGTCAAATGCTTGGACGGCGTTGTCCTCCTTGCGCCCGCCGAGGGAGTCCCAGATAGCCATGATGAAGAGAATATGGGTGGAGGGGGGAGGAGGATGGAAAGATAAGATTCACTGAAGAAGAGACTGGAAAGACGAGGACGAGGCCCTTGAATCACAGCTCCACTGCGAATGTCGGCGCCAGCAAAAACTTCGGTCCCGTGACGCGGAGCCAAGGAGAATGGTTGTGCCGGCGCTAACCCAGGCCGGGCTTAGCGCGGATCATCCCACTTCTGTTGGTGCCTCAGGCCATCGGAAATTGCGGGCAAATTTCATGCTTTGCGTCGATTCATGCCGCTTGCGAGATATCCAATTGTTCGGCCTGGTGGATCTTGCGCTGGTCATGGATAGCAATTTATCGCACAGCACTGGAAGTGCACCTCCTACCAACATGGAGGAGATCACACAAAGGGTCCAAATGTTGCCCGAAAAGACCTTGAATGCAATTGCGAAGGGTCCGTTGGTCAAATTGACTTTGAACTGTACCGATACTGAGTGAGTAATGTTGAAAAGATAATCACGATAGACATCCACTAACTGGACCTTGCAGACAAATCACACGGGTGTGGCAATCCTTAATTTTGACACTATCTACCCCGTCTCTCTCCAGTGGCCATACTATGGCGATTTGCAATGCTACATCTGCTTTCCTGGATGCCGCGGCCAATGCTAAACATGAAGGAACCAAGCAATTGGCACTCGATACTGACACCTGGATGACGGTCTTCAGTATATTCCTGGGCCGATATGAGGATGCCAAACCAAAGGCGCTGAAGCTACTTCTCGGCTCGCTGGCTACCATATTAGCCAAGCACCTCAAAGGAGAGGACAGAGCTCTTATTCAACGCAACATCGCCACAGCTACATTTCCCAGTGCTGTACTTGGCGAGCCCCGGTCTCGCTTGAAGGGTTCCCTTGTATGCCTAGAGTGGGTGATTCGCAAGGGTGCTATACTCCCGTCCGAATTGATCCATTTAATCCAACAGTGGCTGCTCGATACTCGTGCCGAATGGGTGCCTATCTTTGAGAAGGATTGCAATATCCTCTTTGCCAATGGCTTACAGACCACGCCTGATTTAATGGTTACTGACCTAACCGAAGAACTCGCCGCTAATATCTTCTTCCTTGGTCTTCTGACTCAGACGAACAACCGTGAATTTTCTGGCACAGGTGGTGGATTGTTATCAACATTCTTGCAAAGGCTCAAAACAGAATCCCCGACAAGAGAGCTTTCCAACATCTGGGTGGCTCCTGTCAAGCACATAGTGTTGCGCAGCATGGACCACCTTGAGGCTCTCTCCAGCCAAGTCCTCGAGCCTCTATTCGCAATTGATCCGGCTGGCTTCCGGTCGTTTGTGGACTCTCTTCCTCTTGAAAGTTTCTTGGCCGGCGATATGAGTAATGCTCGGGAATCAGAGTTCATTATGCTTTTCGCGGCCCTCCAAATGGGCAAAAAGTCCAATCTTGTGCTCGACGACTGTAAGATCTGGAAGTCATTCCTCACGGATATCTCTTGCTAACCTCTTTTGCAGTCGATCCTTCGAAGGCTGATGATACAAAGGATAATGCTCTTCCGAAGTTGGTGTTGAAGAGCGAAGTTGTCGGCCGGTTCCTATTCCACAATGAACCCAAGATCCGAGTTGCAGCATTGTCCTTGTTGATCACAGGACTGTCGACGGTCAAGCCATTTACGGTATCTGCTACAAATGCGATTCTGCGAGGACTTCCGTCCATGCATGCGGACTCTGATGCCTACAGCAGAGGAGAGATCATGAGTCTCACCCGCAAATTTATTTTACGCTTAAAAGGCGGTGTCGTGAAAGACGAGGATGCATCACAGAGTTCTAATTCAGCTCCTGGAAAGCAGTCTGTGGGTCTAAGCAGGAGTGATGACGAGACCCAGAAATGCCTCGCGACATACCTCGACTTCCTACAGAAGGATTTGTGTGTCACGGCATCCTACGCGCGCCATATCAGCGCCCTGAAAGCACTCAATCTGCTGCTAGTATCTGGTCTGGATCCAAGGGCAGGTATTCCACCGATGAAGTCAGAAATGCAAACCCATTGGAAGTCGCATGTCGAGGTGTTCAATACCCGCTTGCTTCGGTTGTTGGTTGACCTTTTACTGGACCCATTCGAGGAAGTCCGACATACAGCACTTTCCATTATAAACATCTTCCCACGAGACATTCTTTTCAGTGCATCGCCGAATACAGATAATCAGCAATCTGTTCCTGGAATGCGCCTGACCGATGCTCTAGCCCGTGCTGAAAACATGGCCAGCAGAACCAGCCGAGCTGATCACGCTGATACTGTGGCTCGACTATACCATGTCCTCTTCTGTGCTGCTCTACCACCCACCTCCTCCAAGGAAGTCAGGGATTGGTGGACAACTAAGTACTCGGTTGTGGACAAGATTATTACCAACCTGGAAGAACGTCTTTCCTCCTCGAATGGACTGTTCAATTCCAGTTTGCGTGAAGTTCCACTCCATGGTTACATATCTGGTTTGAGATATATCATCCTTATGCCGGAATTCTATGCACTAGTGTCATCAGATGATAACACTGTAGCCTGGAGATCCATTCATGGTCGGATTGTCAGCATCTGTGATCGTGTCTGGCAAGAGGTCAAACCTGTCTTATGTATTGACTCCCCTGAAGGCCATACAGACGAACCTATCGAGGACCTTTCAGTTGGCCCTAAGGACATTCTATCGTATTCGTGGAGAGCTCTTCGAGAATCCAGCTTGCTTCTTCATGCTACGATGGTCAATACTACCTACGGCCCAGACAGTGCAGATGGCCTCAACCGCGAAGACTTCGAAGAGGTCGGACAAAGCAGTTTCACTCAATTGGCCGAACTGCGCCACAGAGGTGCATTTTCCACAGTTTCAAGCACATTTGCGACAAGCTGCCAACGTTGCAGTCACTCGAAAGATGCCTCTATCCAGGAACTTCCCCGCTCATGGTATCAGCGTGCGAAGAAGACGATCTTTGAATCGGCCTCTAAGCTCACCCGCCGATCTGCCGGTATTCCAGCACTGATCACAGGCGTTCTGTGCGCGGTTCCTGGTACACCTTTCTTCAAGGAAGTACTAAATGAATTGCATGAAATCTCCCGCTTAGAAGTCCAATACAACAAGGAGAAGCAGTATCTAGAGCTTCCCCAAGTGCACGCCATGAACTGTCTGAAGGATATATTCGTCAACAACAAGCTCGGCCCACACACCGAACCTTTTGTCATGTCGGCTCTTACTCTTTCTGCCGAACGACTTGCATCGCCTATTTGGGCTCTCCGAAATTCCGGGCTGATGCTCTTCCGAGCTCTTCTGACTCGAATGTGTCGCGCAATGCCCAATACCGGAGGAGGTTTTGGCGGTGACTCCGGGTCAGAGCCAGGGTCTCAAATCTCCTTCCAAAAATACCCCGGTCTCCTGGAATTACTATCTAATCTCTTGGTCACCTCCGAGGGAGCGACAGCTGAAGGAACTGACATTATCACTGAGCGCATCTTCCCTGCACTGGAGCTCATCGGAGAGAAGATCCCCACCCCGGAGGACAGCAATGATGGAATGCTTTGTCGTTTGGTTTCCGAACATTTCAAGAGCCCCGTATGGGGAATCAGAGAGCATGCAGCGCGTGTATATGCCTCTCTACTTACCCGGGCGAATATTCTCAATGACGTTCACAATCTCAGCAATGGCCTTGGTGAACAAGTCACGGAGAACTTCATTCATGGAACTATTCTGTGTGTCAGATTTGCTCTGCGCCGGTTTGCGGCCACCACCGATAACTTTTGGACCTGTGAGTTTATTAACATATCACTACTTTTCAACCCCCGCTAATATACATAGCTCATCTTGACCAAACTCTCTCTACTGTTCGTCATGTTTTGGCAACTGCATTCCCCGTGGCCAAATCTCCATATGTTGCGAGTGCGCTAGTCGAAATCCTAAACGACATACTAGAGCGGAGTTTCAAGGCCAATGTCGAGGGTAAGTGAAGTCCCAGCAGCAAAATTATACAGATTTCAAACTAACCCTTTGTTCTCAGATCGAGCTATACTTCTCATCCAAGCTCTCTGTGAAGAACACGACCTGGGTGGCATTATGAAGCATGTTTTCGATAACAATGAATCAAACTGGAAGCTAACGAGCACCACTCGGTCGTGCTCTCTTCTCAGGCGGTCACTTGCTTGGTGCAAGGTTCTCACATCCCTCGCAAGCAAGTCATGGGAAGGCTTGCCTGTGTTTTTTAATGAAGTTAGCTCCTTCGACCCGGATTCCGCGACATGGATCTGTGAGCAACTCGATGAGACACTCGGAACAGCAGTCGAATATAAGAAGCCAGTTGCTGGTCTGTACGCATCCATAATGCTAAGCCAGAGCGAAACAGCGGTGAGGATACTAGCCGCTTCAAATCTGGCATCGATCCTCGAAGAAACGCTTTCGTCGCACACAGAGGAGATACCTGAACTTGATTTGCCTTTCCATGATCTGGCACAAAGCTTCCAACCTCAGAAAGAGTTTGAGAACTGGAACAGACAGGCTACGGATGCAGGACTTCGTCTTCAAGGATGCTTTCTCGCAGTTCACTCCTCTGGTGAGAAACTCAACTTTGCATCGCTTCATCGGGATATCCATGACTGGATCATCAAGCTGCGATCCGCGCTAAGCGAAGAAACAGTAAGAATCATGTAAAGCCCTGACCTATTCCATGGATACTAACTCATCGCTAGGAATTCACAACACGATATGCGGCTGTGTCATCACTCCGAAGCTTTTCGCGGGGATTCCGGCCCTCGGGTAATGCGCCCCGAGTTGACTCTACACTTTTAGACGTCTACCTCATTCTTTATGATCTCTTGAATGATGACGACGAGGAGATCCGAGAAGTGGCTGCATCGACAGCATCCTGGGTCCTCTCGTACTCCTCTGTCTCCTCCGGAACTGCCGTTGTGCTGGGTCCCCTAAACGCGAGCTCGCTACTTGCCACCTTCATCACAGAGCACTACTCAGACTCAGCACAATTCGCTCGGCGAACGATACGCTATTTGACCGGACAGGAACCTCGAATCAGCGGTTCGGATAATCAGACTCATCTTGTCGCGGTATCCGACCTAATCGCCGAGTCCCGCCAGGAGCGCACTGTACTGTTTATGGAGGAGAAGCAGAACCTGTTCATTGATTACGTGCGAGAAGTCGACGTCTGGTCCCAAACGCTTGTCAACCTGAAGAAGAACGCGTGTCCTGAGACGTTGATACGCCAGCTCTCGAGCTGGGTTTTCGAGGGATTGCAATATCTTTCATCGCTTGTTTCTCAGGATGCTGGACAGGATGGGCTTCTAGGGTGGCTTTCAAACCCCGAGTCTTTCGCGCTCGGAGTCCGTGTTATCAGTATCTCGGTCTCACTGGCATCCAGAGATTTTGCAGTGCCAGAATATCTTGAGGCTGAGCAACACGCCCTCCGCGCACAATTGCAATTGTTGCTAGAATTTGGCCAATTGGCCTCAGTCAATGACCAATGGCTCCGGAGAATCCAGATTGGACTGGATACCGGACTATAAATAGGTATAGAAAAAGTCAATTGATTTATATTACCATAGACGAATGCCAATTTCAAGTTAAAAAGTCAACCGTAAGAAAGAAACCTTGGAAACACCGGGTCGATTGCAGCGATGGAGCGCCGCACTGCGCTTGCCTAGAAGATCCACACACTCGCTCTCCTCTCCTCACCCGCCAACCCAATGTTTACATTCACCATTCATCTCTTCTCGCGAAGTGCCGTTATCTCTAATCCGCTCTAAGCTCACTCTGCTTCCGGGTTTACTCTACCTCAAGGCAACTACAGAAAAGGTGTACAAGGTATAGTCTAAGATTCCCCGTGGAGCATATTACCCAGTCCGGTAACCCCAATGACTGGCACGTTCGGTCACCTCTGACACCCTTTCCACCAAGAGATCATCATAGGAAATGAAGACAGCTCCAATCCTCGCGGCCTATCCACTGATTCTCGTCCTCACGCATGGCCTATTGCCAGGCCTAGGTGCGGGTATCACCAGCCGTCATGAAAGCAGCCGCCGCCATTGCGCTCATCCTCTGCATGATCCCCGCAGTTTGCATCGTGGTCTGGATCGGTCTTCACTTTGCGAAGCAACATATCGAAAGCAAATCCGCCATGAGCAAAGCCTACTACCGTCGAGCCCGCGAGGGAATTCCAAATACCGCTGACGTCGAACTCGGCCCGCTCAATGCCAACCACTACACAGTACAATTGGCACCATATCGATATGTGAAGAGAAATCAGGAAACTACTTTCGTTCGACCGACCCGGGATCAGCGAGCTCGACGTACCAAGATGAACATCCGGGGCACGAACTACCACGTTGTTGAGAATAGACCGTCTAGCCGGAAGACCGTTTCAGCTAAACCAAATCACCAAAGTGACCACGGGTCGAATCGAGCTGAGCAGGCTGCAAAACAAAGCAAGAAGGAGAGGAAGAGGCAGAGGCAATTGCAGAAGCAACAGCAGAGACAAAAGGCGAAGGAAAAAGAAAAGCACAAGGAGAAGGAGAAGGAGGAAAGCAACGGATGGGATCACCGCTCGGGGAATGGCCAGCAAAGCAATGGTGATACATGGAATCATCAGTCCAATCGGGGAAGCAACGCAGAGGGAAGATCCCAGCAACAAAGCCAACATAGCCAGCATAGCCAACACAGCCAGCAAGATGCTTTCCAGGGACAAGTCGGCGATTGGGCCAGTTATGGACAAGAAGAGGAAAATCCGCAGACTGGAAATGACTGGAACGAGAATGTCCAGGAGGATCCTCCGGCCAGCCATCATGGGTCTGGAAATGCGGGATGGGACAATCATGAGAATCAGAATGAAGGTCACGCGCAGCAGTGGTGAAGGGTCAAGAGACTGTGGGCTTTCAAGTTGTCGAAGGTACCTACTAGTACATCCGAGATATTCGGTCAACATATTTCGCTGCTTGTGAAGAGGGATTTATATCTGGTCAACCCAAATAGTAACTAATGCTAAAGTGCAACGTTGAGTGGTTCAAATTACACAAATGGAAAGATACCAAGCACACCTAGGTAATAAATTCTTTCCCTCCAGCTACTAGTAATATCATGCAAGTCTCATACTAGTAGTATATGCATACACTGCTGGTTTGTCGCAAGTGGTCTCTGCAGTGCACCGTACCAAGGCCGGTGACGTTGAGTTGATTTCCCCCCCCGCAGATCCCCCGGCGAACGCCAACTTGAGTCCAGCCACCCACCCACAGCTCTCCCAAGTTCTACCCTTTCCACCTCGCGCAAGCGATCACGTTGGATCATGTGGAACGACGAAGACAACAACCCCTATGGGGCTTTCGACCAACATGAGGCCCACATGTCGGACTCGTTACATTCTACCGCCCTCTCCGCTCGTGAGCTCCCTCACCTCCAGCTTGGCTCTGCTAGTATTGTGATGCCTGGCTGTCTGACCCTGATCTGATGCTCGACAGCGATTTACGAACATGACTCCACTCCGCCTTCAAGCCGCGACTCTAATATAGATCCCCCTGACTTCATATCCCAAGCCGATGATCTCAGCGATCCCGAGGAAGCCGACTATGGCGCTGCCAGTCAACAATACCCCCGAAAGAGTGCTTACGACAGCCGCATCGAGCAGATCCTCTACGAGAACCACGACTTGCCCATTATGATTATAGACGCGGGAAAAAATCATGAAGGTGGTGGAAGCTTCATTGTTTACACGATTCGGACCGCAGTAGGCTTCGACCCCACGATGAGGAAGCTTTGCGCGCGCCGGGACTGACAAGTCATCTCAGGACATCGAAGTACGACGCAGATATTCCGAGTTTGCATCTCTACGACAGACCCTGGTCAATCTCCATCCGACTCTCATTGTTCCTCCGATCCCCGAAAAGCACAGTATGGCGGACTACGCCGCCAAACCCACCAAGGCTAAAGAGGATACCGCCATTATCGAACTGCGCAAGCGCATGCTAGCAGTGTTCTTGAACCGCTGTCGCCGGATGAAAGAGATCCGCGAAGATGGAGTCTGGTGGCGGTTCCTTGACCCCAACGTGAGCTGGGTAAGTCGTGTCGTTATCTTTCACCAGGCAGAAGCGTTGGAAAGCTGATTGGTGCACAGAACGAGGTCCTAAATTCCCATCCCGCCTCTTCCGTGCCGAAAAATAATCTCAAGGCCCCTCCCCTCGACCCAGCAAATCCGACACAAGCTCATGGCTGGTTACCTGTCCCCTCTTCTTCTGCGAAACTGAAGCACGGCGGCGGCGGGGTGCCCCCATCCCCTGGCGGAGGCGCAGGATCGCCCCCATCCCCGACCGAACAGACCGATGGACCTCCGATTCCCAACCCGGGCCAGGAGATCCTCGGTAGATTTCCCCCGGAATCCCGCAAACTTAGTGAACAGGAACTGGACCCGTATTTTGTGAACTTCGAGGCATCGACGCGAGAACTGGAATTGCTCCTGCAAGGAAACATCGAGAAAGTGAACCGCCGTACCTTGTCCCACCTGTCATCCCTCTCATCTGATCTTATGGAGTTGGGGGCTCGTTACAATGGATTTTCGCTGTCTGAACAATCACCCACCGTTGCAGCGGCCATCGAGCGTATTGGACAAGCAGCCGACACTTCTTACATAGAGACCGAGGAGTTGTCCAATGCGCTGAGTGCCCATTTCGCCGAGCCTATGCGCGAGAGTGCCCAGTTTGCCAGTGTAGTCCGCGGGGTATTACGGTATCGTGTGCTCAAGCGGGTACAGGAAGACATGACACGGGACGAATTGGCCAAAAAGAAAACACTACTGGATTCCCTGGAGCGGAGCGAGCTTGAGGCGCAGAGAATTGAGCAATACCTAAACCGCACCACGCCCCAATCTACTGGCAACACACCCCGCCGCTCCCTGTCCACCTCATCCGCCGGCAGTAGTGAAGGCGGAGGTGCTATGGAGGCCTCGACCGATCCGGAATTCCCTCCCACTCATGGCGAATCCGTCGCCCCCTCGACTGGATCCCCGAACCCTGGACAGAGGCGACCGGACGCATCACAAACATCCCCTGCTCACAGAAAGACCTCGAGCGGGAGCTTCATGTCGAACAAGCTGTTTGGTCGCATCAGTCATGCAATTCACGGGTTTGCAGATGTGGACCCGGAACGGACGCGTCGCGATCAGATCGGAAAGACCAAAGAGAGTCTCATTCAGGTATGTGGACCCCCAGCTGTACTCGGTAAAGTTTCCTTCTTTCTAACGCAAAGACGCAGCTCGAGCAAGCATTGGAGGTGTCAGACAAGGATGTGAAGGACGCTAGCGCGGGGGTGTTGCAAGATCTGCGACGCTTCCAGAAGGACAAGGAAGTTGATCTGCGGCGGTATATGGTATGCAAGATGCGCCACGGGCGTTTCTCGTTCTCCACTTTTGCTTTTGCCAGAGTTTACTAACCACGGTTCAATGCAGGTCGCATATGCCCGCTGTCATCTGGATTGGGCGCGGAAGAATCTCGAGACTTGGACTGAAGCCAAGGATGAGGTGGATAAGATTGTTGCGCGGTAGAGTGCAGCGGTCTAGATCTGTGCTCACAAGCGACAAGCGAGACGGTGTTCTATGGAGTTATAGGTATCTTTCGGTGGCATTGGTTCTTCTCATTTCTCTACAAGTGGCCATCACTGTAGCTGGATGGCCACGCCTGGCTTCTGCCGTTGCATATCAAATGAAGACGCTTATATTTTGTACGACTTGGTAGTAAGTAAGCAAATTGGAATTATTTTGAAGTAGAAAAATACTGGTAGTTAGTATGAGGGGGGTGATAAAAGGACTTGGAAGGGAGTTGTCTTACTTCCCCCTTCAACTTCTCACTTTGTTTCCCGTCCAACTTCTCCCCTTAGCCAACCTCGTTCCCACCTAATTCCATCTCTAACAGGACACCCAACAGGGCAGACACCTATGCCTATGCCTATTCCTATGCCTATATTGAGGCAGCCTGCGACCATGTCTCTGTTTTGTCAATAAAGGCACCGAAACCAAGAAGAGCCAAGACATGGGGTGCGCCCTTTGACGGGAATGGACAAGGGCACATTCCAGGGCGACGGAGCTCAGCTTCACAGGAGGTACGAGTAAAGGAACAGGAGGGGATTGATTCTGGTTGGTCAGTGGGGCTCCTTGACGAGGACGGATGATCGACAGGGACCACCGCATCCGACCGCGCAACTTGACTCGCATTGACTCGCGACTCAACCTTGATGTCTGGGAGCGTCCTTGCATTGTGTCAATTGCCCATGGGGGCGACATTGTGCCTTTGAGAGTGTGCCTTCAGAGCCTCTGAGCAGTGCAATTTGGCTTCGCTATCAATTACCAGACTCTGCAATCAATTGCATTCTGGCTGCTGTCTGAAACGTGCCACGAATGAGGGTCCGGCCCCCCAGGGGCTGCATTCATCACACGTAGCAACTTGAAGCAATCAACGCAGAAATCTTCCGCAGAACGTTCATCCATCTACATCCTTCTGTACATACTGTACATTCCACGCCTTGCAGACATACCCACCGGTGGACCCAGTTCCAGACGATTCCGACTGGACCGCGTTGCATCCCTCACGGCGAACCCCTCCGCCAGCTTGTCCTGCATCGCAAACGCACCCTGCCCAGGCGTGACCCGCCGTGCGTTGTGACTGAAAACGATGATTACCTGGATCCATGGCGGGCAGGATGATCGTCAGGAGCGGGCACTTATCACGGCGGGGGATGCCACTTTCTGGCCATGTAGACGACTTTCGACAGGGTGGCTAATTCGGTTACTTTGGAATTTATCAATTCCTCGACGCTGGGTCAAGATGTTGTTTCTGTTAGCTTTGGTTGGCTTTCTTTCTCTGGGCTTGAGTGCGAGTTTGAACTCTCATCGCCGAGACGTCGATAATGTCGATAATGTCGATAATACCGCTTTCGACCAACAATTACAGCAAGACGATGCTGTCGTCAGCTTCCCGCCGCCGCGCCAGACTAATCAACATACCCATGATCCGACCATTCTCCGTGTGGGTGATACCTTCTACCTATACAATGTTGGCCAGCATATCTTCATTCATACCGCCCCAAGCATGGCCGGTCCATGGAAGCATGTCGGCAGCGTGCTAGATGGAAATAGTGTGATTGGAAAGGGTGATCGTGCTGCTCCGTGGGCACCTACCGTCATTGCTGTAGATGGTGTATACTATTGTTACTACAGTGTCAGCCGAGCCGGATGTCGTGATAGTGCCGTTGGAGTTGCAACCTCCAACACACCTGGACCGGGCAATTGGCATGATCACGGTATCATCATCCAGACAGGAACAGGCAACGGATCCGAAGTGGCACCATACACAGACTCTAACGCCATTGATCCCGCCACCATGGTCACACCCGATGGACAAGCCTACCTCACCTTCGGTAGCTACTGGAAGGGAATCTATCAGATCCCACTTGCCAAGGACCTGATTTCTCCCATGAGCACGACTGAACCCGATTCTCGACATCTCGCCTACGAACCTAATGCCATCAGCACTCCGAACAGGAAAGCGAACACCATCTGCGGCGACCCCACCGGGCCCCATGCTATAGAAGGTGCTTACACGTCATACCATGATGGCTTCTACTATCTATGGTTCAGCCACGGGAACTGCTGCAATCTAGATATAAATAATCTGCCACCGGCTGGAAAAGAGTATGTTGCTCGATGTACTCCCATTATACCTTCTGCCAGTGTATTAACAATCTCCCAGATACAGCATTCGCATCGGTCGGTCCAAGTCAGTCCGCGGACCCTTCATTGACAAAGCCGGCAAAGACCTCGTCGATGGCGGCGGCACCATTGTCTACGGCTCTAATGGCGAAACCTATGCCCCCGGCGGCCAAGGCGTGATCCGCGTCGGCGAGACCGACATGCTCTACTACCACTATCGTGAGTCTAACTACCCCCACTCAAAGCGCAAACATGTCACTCGTCATAAAAGAAACTTCGTGCTAACTCCACTGCAGAAAACAAATCAGTCGGAGTCGCATTCGCAGTGAGTACCCCATCATGAATGGCATGGCAGGCTTGTAGATCGGTGGATCGGGATAGTGAACCGCCACACCCTTGCCGATCCTCCTTCATTACCCCCTGCCCCTTCCGCAACGTCATCGCGATATGATATATGGACTAACACTCCCCTCTCCAGGATGCCTTCCTTGGATTTAATCCACTGGAGTACGTCAACGGATGGCCCGTTGCTCAAGCTTGATTGTTTCACATCGCGTCACTCTTTGCGATGATCATCCGATCGTCCAAAAGTCAACAATTCCGAATATAATTTACCCAAAAGCCGACATGCACCATTCATTTTGCCGAATTCCTAATCACCGTCATTTTATTCCGCCATTTTCGACTAGCTGTCTAGTCCAGTCTACATTTTTCTTTCGTCTCGTCGCTCACATCTAGAGAAGCGCCCGCATAATCGACCGCGCGGGCCCGGATCGGACCAACCAGCTCGATCTCGATCCCTCAAGAGAGTTGTTCATTATCTGCATTCTGGCGGCGTCTGGAGATCTTCTTTCTTCCCTTTGTTCTTTCTTACTGGGTCTAATACGTCGCTTTGACCTGGCCTGGCTCTTGTTTATTCCCCTCGCGGCGTTACTGGGTATAGAAGGTTGTTTCAAGTTTGTACATATGGTTACTTACTGCCATTTATAGAGTGGAGGAGCGAGCTTGGTGCCATACATAGGAATCGCAATAGACTTTTGCCTTTATATTACGTTATTTCTGGCTTCAAGTTGTTTTGTCTACTTGCTCATGTTCGATGTCTGGAAAATGATACTAGAACTGGCAATTGAGTAGTAAAAGAACTAGCGTGAGATGATTTCTTATTCTTCACACCTTGTCTTCCAACTTTATCTGCACACTCACTTGGTGATCACATATCACGGCGCTCCATAAGCGCAAGGTGGTCAGTAGTTGTATATAGGGATATTTTACAGTGGCGCTACAAAATTTCCAAGCCCTTGTTGACCAGCCTGATCTCCACCTTCCTAATGGCAGACTAGTAGCTACTTAGGATGGATCCATGGATTATATTGGACAATATATTACATCTTAGGTAGCTACTAGTAGTCTGCCATTAAAAGGCGGTCCAAAATGGTTGGCAATAGGGGTTTTCAAAAATTGGCAAAACCACTGTAAAATACTCCTATATACAGCTACTGACCACCCTGCGCTTACTTAGTTATGGAGCGCCGGAACATATTCATCGAAGACCTCTATTATATCACATATTTCAAGTTCAAGTTTTCTTTACATTGAAATCAATTAACATTGTCCACAAACGATTCCTAGATCCACCATCCACGAGCGACCACTTTCACTTTAGCAGTGACAACTCTGATCTCCAGTTCCATAATCCTTATCAGCACCCTCGGGGATCTGGAGAGCTGCTATATCGCACTCGGCCATATAATTTTCGTTCGTGCACTTGGCCCATTCGAGGGTTTTCCAGCTCTGCAACCAAGCCCACCCTCCTCGACCTTGGCCTGGACCCGACCCGCAAGGGCCCCAGCACCAGCCATTGTCGCAGCCGAATTTACCCACATAGGGGCAGTCTTCGCGCTTCTCGAGAGTGAGGTCTGATCCATTTTTGAAATTTGTACCCAGCGTCGCTGTGAAGACGGTTGTAGCTTGAGCTACTAGGAAGAGGGCTCCGAGAGTGAGTTTCATTGTTGCGGGATATTGATATTGATTTTAGTCCTGAGGGAAGTGTTAGTTGGGATTGGAGTAGGGAGAATAGTCTTGATATCCCTACTTTGATGGTATGTGTTTATCGGATGATAGAGGAGTGGGTGAGAAGACTGAGATTTGGTCGAGATGAATGTCCGCTTTAAAGGAAGGATTTCGGGGCCAAAGGGGAGACGGACTTCAGTAAACACGGATGCAACACAGGAACCTCAGCCCCCACGGTCGTGATATCATACCTTGCTGTCGATCAGGGTCGCCCTGCCCCATTGGCCCCCAGTTGCGGGCTTGAAGCTTGTTATTTGCTTGGCCCCCGGGGCGTAAAATCCCCACGAACCGCCCCATGATATATGCCAGGCACCGAAGTTGTTAAAATAGATCATGATTCAGAGCAAAAGATAGAGTTGCATACCTCACGAGACATATTGCTTCTTAGGGCTTAGTAGGCCAATTTCCGACTAGCTTGTATATTACTATAAGATAGAGCTTCTCTGTTGCATTTCCCCGCGAGTGCTTCATGAGTATCCTGCGGGTAGTAATACCTCTCAACTACAATTTCTATATTGAAATAAATACAGAGATGGGAGATAAATGCGCCATGTCAATAACACAAGAGTCTAAAACTACCTATTCAATCTTACAACACCCTCCTTCATCTCAGTCCAGTCTCACTTCCCTTCCCCTCCCCGCCGCACCCCACTACGTCTCATAATCCCTAGAATCAAAAGAAATAACCGAACTAAGCTCCGACAAACTCGGACTCGACTCTGTCTGCCCCGGCGTCTGCTCAACATGCCTACCCAATTCCGCCGCCTGATACTGCGCAAAATCCGGATCCACACCCTGAAAAGGCGCCATGGAATTATGAATATCGGGACGGGTAGCCAGAGTTGAAGATTCGCGTATGTAGATCGGACTCGAGGAACGTAGTTCGAAAAGTGTGTCTTCGAAGAAAGTCGTCGATGGTTCGGCCCGGTGAGAGGAGAAGGAGGAGGTGGTGGATTCGCTGTTGTTTCTAGCCCCGGTGTGTCCTTCGAAGCCGTAGCCGTATCCGACGCCGTAGATATCGCCGGCGAGAAGGGGCCTTGATCGGGTGCTGGATTGCTCGCTGCTACTTCGCTGAGAACGTGGTTGCTCGCTACCGTTACCCCGGTAGGAGGAGGGTTCGCTTCTTGGTTGCTGATGCTGATGCTGATGTTGGCTGGTAGCCCCGTCCCCATAGGTTTCCGGAGACCCGTAAACAGCTTGACGAATCTCGGCAGACGTGGTGTTTCTCAATGGGTCTAGAATTGCAATTGCAACGGCAGTTTGAATCATTTCATTATGGCGACGGTCCCGAATCGCCAACAGATGTGAGTGCCCATTTTGATACGTCGTGCTTCCGGAAGTAACAGCTTCGGATTGAAGGTCTTCGGCACGGAGTGGCTGTGGATGAGGGGGTAGATCGATATGCAAACCCGACGATGGACGACTTCGAGGTCGAGAGTTTCCTTCATATCCACGGCGAGTTCGAGGGCGAGATGATAGGGCGCGAGAATGGGAAGGGACTGCCTGCGATGCTTCAGATGAAAGGTTGAGGTCGAGGCTGCTGATTTCGCTATCGCCTCTCACTACACGGCCGTGAGAGTGAGCCGAGGCCGAAGGTCGAGATGATGGTGGTCGTGGTGGCATTGCTAGATAGGAGCCGAAAAGAGGCGGGTAACTGGTTGGCTCGTATGGGCAATCTTCTGTTAAAAGGCCGAGAGGGTCTTCTGGGTTGAGAGGTGGTGAAGGTGAGGGTTGGGAGATGGGTTGGTCAGCTCGATGAATACTAGCAGTCGAAGCCATGAGCGAGGGTTAACATTAAGGTCATGGTGGAAGGGGAGTCGGATGGTCCAAAACGATCGAGTGAAGTAAATGACAGTGGAAATCGAATTGCGAGGAAGGAAGGAAATAAGCAAAGATGAGTGAATCAAGCAGAAGGTGTGATGGGAGGTGGTCGAATGGAAGAAGTGACTGGCAGTGAAGGCAAGACACCTTCAAGTGATCTAGAGCACATTAGGCAACTACTACTAGTACTACTACTACTACTACAGTAACGAAAATGAAGATATCATGATACTCAGGCAAGTAGAGGCAGTGTAATTCTAGCAGCTCTCGCCAATCTATGCAAATCTCGATTCCCTCCATATGCGATGCGGATTCTCCGCAGTGACCGACGATGCAAAAAGATGAGATGGAAGAGGATGAGAAACTCGGCCATGCGAAGAGAGAGGGCATAAGGTAGTACACAGAGAGAAGAAACGAAAAGGAAAAGGAAAAAGGAGTCATCACGCATATCGAGGAATCCACAATTGCCATCGGACAGAAGGATGGGGAACAGGATGTGAGTAAAGACAGAGCCCTAAGGTAAGACAAGTCAAGGCAAGGTAAGAAAATGAAAACAATCCCAAGATGATAGATAACGTAACAATTCAAACATCCACGCGAGGGGAGGGCTTTCCATGGTGTATGATATGATTCGTTCGACACCAGCCCCGTTTTTTGTATTTCCATCAATAACGCCGAATGCGCCGGGTAAATTGAAAACTGGTTTTTTTCATGTGCATGTAAAGAAAGGTGTAATGGATGAGGTATTCATCCAAGACTGAGGAAGAAGGGTGCAGATACAGACCGATGGGACGACGGGGACTGTAACTCAGATATCCATCTTATCAATCTCATCGACGTGGAGTTCCTTTACAGGCAGCTCATCCTCCGATCCATCATCTTGCAGAGGAGGGACATCCTCGAAGGAAATATCATGATCAGAAGTAACACCGGAGCGAAGGTCCTCCATGCGGTCTCCCGCCTCCGAGCTACCAACAGCAACGTTACTGTCATCGTCCTCAAACAGGTCATCGTCGCCATCGTTGGCCTTTTTGTTATGTTCATCATCAAAACGGCGAGTGGGGACATCCATGGCGCCAAAAGACCAGGAGGGACCTTCATTGAGAAGACTCATCTGGCTGGTCTCATTGTCGCTTTCATCTGAGCTCGACATATGAGCGTCCCTGGAGATACCATCTTGGACAGGGGAGCCAAGGCGCTGGCCACCGTCGGCTGCATGGTTGGATTCATGGTCACTCTCCGGCGGGGGGGTTCTTGTAGTTCTGCACGATTTCTCGAATAACGGGGCCACCAAGGGGTTCGGGAGAGCGGCGACGGTAGAAGAGAAGGTAAGCTCGAGACGACACAACTCGGGCCTTGTTGTTATCGATATCGTAAACAGACGAATCTAGAAAAGGTTGTCAGTAAGTGGGACGAAAACCAAACACAAGGACTGGAGTATTCATACCGTTGAAATCGTACCAACGACCGTCCTCGAAGTTCTTACAGTAGGCAGTGTAGTGACCACCATTCATGCTGCCAGAGTGGTTGTCGACGCCAATGAGATCATACTTCATAGGCTTGCCATCGTCGGGACCGGTAATATACTTTGACAGATCCAACTCCTCGAGGGGAAAGTCGACAAGGGTATCCAGCTTCATGCGCCGGTAACGGTTGATGATACAGAAACGCTTGAGGTGTACAACCAACACATCGGGGGTTGACCAAAGATCAAACTTCTTCTTGGCCCTGGTATGCGTCTTGCAGCGAGGGCAAAACCATGACTCCTGCTCTTCGAGAATCTCCTCCTTGCCAAACTCATCCAGACACTCGTCAAGAGAGACACCCTTGGTCCTCCGGGTATCCCACTCGGACTTGCGTTTCAAGATCTCAGGGTCGCTAAGAAGTTCAGGCTTCAAGTAGGTAGCCTTACCTCGCAAATCCTCATCATCATAATCCTTTCCACCGAAAAGGGCATCCTTCGCGTCATCATTCCAGTCCAGGAGCAAAGCCTCCGATGGCTCCACGAGAAACCAGTCATCGACAATTTCGCTGGCTGGGCTCTGGGGCGCCTCGGCTTCGCCGCTGGCATCGCTATTACCATCGGTTGAGCCTTCGGAGTTATTGTCGGACACCTTTGGTAGAGCAGGTGTTGGGATGCGGGAAGTGAGCAGGGAATAATCACGGCTGTTATCGAGATTACGACCTAAAGGAAGCGTCTTGCCGTAGGCCTGGCCAGCGAGAATCTTCATATTGAAAAGACGCAGAAGACTTTGCGAAATCTTGCCGGCCAACGGGTGCGAGGCAGTTTCATCGTCATCCTCACTGGTGATATTCGAATCGGCCTTGTCCGTCTCAGGTTCCTTCTCGTTCAAGATATCGCGAGTTGTCAGCGCGGCAACCTGTTTCAGAACCTTGTTGTAGATCGCTTCAACGTCACGAGTTTCTTCCTGGGTGAGAGAAATCATCAATGGAAGCGCGAATGGCTTGAAACTGGGTTTACCACTGTTGTGGTTGGTACCGGAGCGGTAGCGGTTAAAGACTGGAATCAAGATGCGATCTTGAACGGCGCCTTCCACCTCCATGAAAAGCACGTCATCCTCAGCCTTGAGGTTGACCTCGCGGAATGACCGGTTGGCCTCATTGAGGTATTGGTAGAAGGTGCCGTTGTAAACCTCGCCGCCGACAAGTCGGTTGTGGCTGATTCCAGCGCGTTTAGCGACTTCTTTCTTGAAAGCCAGCAGCGACTGAGACGCATCGACTTCAACAATAACCTTCACTGGTGTCTGCCCGATCTTTTGCACTATGACTTCCCGGAAGATGATTTGTCGGTTCGGAATCGGCAGAGTAAGGTTAATGAATGGGTCGAAGCTGATGCTAACCTTCTCACAGTTGGGACAATGCAAAGTTGACTTGTACATGCCGGCAAACAGATCTGTCATGACGGAATCGTTGCGAACTTTATACAACTCCCAAGATGTGGCAGCGAACTTCTCCAAGGCCTCCCGGTTAGTCACCATTTCATCTGTAGAATCGGGTTTCTCGACAGCAGGCTTCTTCACGATCCGGTTTAGATCCTCTGCCACACCATCCATCAAAGCCATCAAATACTCTTGGCTGTCCTGCTGCTCGTAGCTGTCCATGAACGGATGGGTCCGCTTAATCACATTGCGAAACTTCCTAGGGTCCACAAATGGAGGCGGGGGCTGGCGATGAATTTGACCCAGCAAAGCTCCGTAAGCACTGGCAAGCGCTCCACGGAAACCCAGAGGGTTATCAAAGTTCAACTCAGATTTGTGTTTGCCGCCTTGAAGCGTCATTAGCGTTGATAGATCGGGCTAGAAGGTCAAAGAAGGAAACATACTCAGGAAGTAGTAGGTCAGTTCCTCGACATTTCGAAGACACTGCGTCGCCGCATTCATGTAGCAGGTATTACCGAGGTTGTCAAGACCGGTTTTGCCCATTGGGGGTCCGCGGGGACGGCCACGCTCAGGTTTGGTCTCTTGGGCCGGGGTAGATCTGCCACTGCTCAAGGGTGTTTTGGCAACGAGTGTGCTCAGCTCTTTCTTAGGTTTCTCCACGCTCAGTCCATTGGCCTTGAGCTTCTTCTCCAACACCTCGGATGCCCATTTTCCATTCTTACCAACTTGCTCCTCAAGGATAATGACATCCGTGCCAACGAGGCCCGCCATGCGCAAGTTCATGGTGCCATTGTACTTGGGGTTGTCAGTCTGATCCTTGATCTGTTCATCGAGGAGCTCTCGCTCGGTTCCTTCAGCCAACGAGAGAAATGCATTAGGGTCGACGTTCAGGTGTTTGCTGGTGGCGAGGAGACCCGACGGGGGCGCGGGGGAAACGGTGCGGGACACGGCGGGGGTCGTCACGGCGGAGGCGCTGGCACTGGGGATGCTGCCGGCAATTTTCCATACGCGGACTTTAGTCGACTTGTCAATTCCAGTCTCTTTCTTCGCATCCTTTAGCCATTTCTGGAAGTTTTTAGTGGCGTGCGCCAAGACCTTGACGGGCTTGCGGTTCTTTTCTTTCAGGATCTTCGTGGTGATGTTGGAGGAGGCGCCGAGCTTGTAGATGGTGTAGATCTGGGGGTTGAGTTCGTATTCGATCTTCTCGTCCTCATGGCGCTGGTTGACGTTGTGCGCGTATCGTATGATGACCGGCGACTGGTCGGCGAGGCCATACCAGCTCTTAATCTTATCCCATCCCTCCTGCGGAACGACCTCGAAGTCTTCGCCTTGTTTCAAGCCCGGGCGCAAAGGTGTAAATGGTTCGCTTCTCTCGTCCCTAAACTTCTCATTTGCCGGGCCAACGTCGAGCACGAGGTCGGAGTTGTCGACAGGGCCGAGTTCGTTGTCTTGCGATTCGCTGCCGGCTTGTTCGGCGTGGGAGGAGCTTCGCGCGAGGATGGTCTTCAACCAGTTCATCGATACCACATAGCCCTTTTGACGATCCTTTAGTGCTGACATCATGGTCGCCTGGACCTGGGCAATCTGCTCGTCGATTGAAGGCCGGCCATCACCATTGGTATCCATGGTGCTCACCCCTCCTTCGTGATCGGGATCGGGATCGGAGTCGACAACCTCGGAAGCAGGGCGCTTGACACCAGGGGAGGGAGATCGGGCGTCAGTATCAGTGTCACCAGTCGGCATGTCGGAGGGTTCAGATTCACGTTCGCGTTCACTGGTCAAGGTGAGGCCAGCGGTGGCGGTCGCGGGGGTGGGTGATCGGGCGCCGTTGTGGGATCGAGTGCCGGGTACGTGCGACTGCAGGTGGGCGGGCACGTAGCGAGGAGGTTGTGGTTCGGGCGAGGAGGTTGCACTGCGAGATGAAGGAACGCGCCGAGGAGGCAATGAGGGGAGTGAGGGCGCCGCAGGATCAGAGGGAGCTTGGGCGTGACGTTGTGTCTCTCCTGGACTGCTCGGGGAGACCTTGCGACGCTTCGTCGGAGACGTCGTGGCGAGGAGCTGCGCACGTCGGCGGCAGCTCGGGGCACAGAAGGAATGAATGAATGACTTGCAATAGTCCCCACGGCCAGGCTTCCGCGAGAAAGTTCCAAGGTTAGAAAGGAGGAAAAGGAGGAGCAAGAGGCGGGTGAAGGTTTGAATGTGCGCAAATGCAAGCCAACTTGGAACTTTTGCTGGGGATTTTTTTTTGGCAGAAAATCCCTCCCGATTCGGATTTTTCTTTTTTTTCTTCTCGCTGGCGGTCGCCGGTTTTAAGCCCTATTCATTATTGCTTCGAGATATGGACTCCCAGGGATTGTACGCACCATGAGAATAATTCAGAAGCAATAAGATGGAATGATAAACTCAGAACTGAGAACTGGGCGTGGTGAAGTCAGCCAAATATCTGGTTTTGGTGAGGAAAGCATACCTTAAACCAACTAATCCCAGGATGCACCACCACCAATGGAGGTGGATTGAAATGGATTGGGATGAATAGTGGGATCCTTTCTTCACTAAGTGAGTCTGAGTAAGTAATTCCTGGTCAAATGAAGGGGAGAAGGTGACGATATCTCAATAGATCTGCATTCATAGTACCGAAGTATGAAAATGGCCGTGCAATAGAACAGTGTGGTGATCAACTCAACACCATCAAAAGCATAAAAGCATTTTGGCAAACATCAAAACGCCCAAAAGGAACCACATTTCTAGATATCCTTTCACTTCTGTCAAATCTTTCATCCTTCTCTTGGTTTATTGTCACGGAAAGGTTCTCTCTCAGGAGTATCTTGGCATGGATCAAGCGTAAAATAACAACTGGGACCATGCCCCAGTGAATTGCAACTGGAGGAGGCAAGTCTGAGATAGCCTCGCTAGATCGTTGATTTGCGGGAGAGCAGTCCAAAGAGCAGTGGGAGAGTTCGGTACTCACTGGATTCTTGGCCCCTTCGAGCCCAGATGGACCAGGCATACTGGATGCCGCTGGGTCAACAAGTTGTCCCAGAGTGTGCTCATTTGTCCCAATGGAAGTAAATATCATATCAGAGCTTGCAATTGAAGTGCTGGCATTGGTTTTCTCATTCTCATTGACCCCAGATATGATACCGGATGGATTGATCTTTGCTTGCTTCTTATGTGGCTGGCTGCATTTGCCACCATTTTTGCGCTTGCGGGACCGACCAAGGCCCCCCTGATGGATCATAATCTTCATCATTGTCGTGATCAATCCAGATCGGGTTAAACTTCACGAGCGTCATCTTTCTGCGGCTTCTCAGTGTGTAAGGACCCTTGGTGAAGTGGTCGGGGTCATCCATGCGATGCGCTGTGCCTCTCTTGCCACGTAAAAAGAGCCTCTTCGCCGATTCGAATCGTTCTCTGCTGTACGGCTGTGTTGAGCGTGTCGGTCCCATAATGGATATGGTGTTTGCACCTGGGTGACAAGAGCTGAGTTGTTAGTATCTCGTTGTTGATGAGTGGGAAAGTAGGTAGAGAAGAAGACAAGATCAGGTCACAGATGTTTGCCTTTTTATCTTCAGGATATTCCCAAAGTCGAATTGATTGCAGAGGGGATGAACCAAGGTCTTCAGTGATGTTTGGGAGGTCAAGTTTTGATTTGTGAGTGGGAGGGAAGAGTGTGCGGATGCTTCACGACCGGGTCCGAGTGGCTCAAATTCCGTGCATCTCATCCCGAACCCGATCTTCTCGGAGATATCTGCTGTTTCGACTTTCTGTGAGAAACTTTAATCTGTTAAATGTTGCCGGGCTTTCTTTTTCTTTTGTTTCCTGTTAGACGCATACCCTTTCTATCAATATGTCAGTTATTTACTATGATCTCCAAGAGTTCTCTAGCATAAAGATAGGCCAGTAACAATACTTCCGGAGATATTGTATTTACGAGTTAATGAAATCAAATCGAGGTATCTTTGTCCGTATACCAAGTTAGGCTTCTGGAATATCTCAAACTTAAGCTATCACACAACCTTTTATCCCAAAGCACCTCACCAGAAACAGCAAGACGCAAATCAGATATCAGACTACATAGCAAAGCCACAACAAAGGCTCGACTTCCCTCCATCAAAACCAGCCATCCTCTAGCGACGGAATGGTTTAGTCACAGTCTTCAACCCGTTCCCAACAGACAAGGACAAAGACGAGAGGGATCCTTTTCTCGAATCACCAGGGCTCCCTAATACTTTCCCCGATTCCTCTGACTCCTCGGCTGGAGTTCCCGGCTCCTCATCCGGGGTCTCTGACTCTTCGGGCGATCTCATCGGCTTCTTACCCTTATCGACGGGCTTCCGAATAAATGGCCGCAGGAGCTTTCGTTTCCAGCTCGCCACTGCCAATAGTCAGTATAGTATTCACAATGGTAGTGCCAAAAGCGAAAACTTACACACTTCCGGGAGACGAATGGGGTTCCTCTCTGAAATGACCAGAGGTGGCATACTGCTAATATCGACGAGCGGACGCCCGTCTTCAGAGCCATACCTAATTTCTGTTTACATGTCAGTATTGTCTTGGAGTTGGAGCAGGGTTATCTGATGGCATGTTGGGTGCGTACGGGACATCACATGGTATAGCTGGTCTTCGTAGATCTCACCCATCCTGCCTGGGTGGGGGATCGAGTGATCGAATTCAAATTCCATTTTGAAAGGTACTCGATGGAAAAGTAGTATTAAAAAGTGCTTGGGGCAATAGTTGAAGTCGACGGTGATGGACGAGAGGAAATTCTCTGGGAGAAATTTTGATTCAAAAAGATCTACTTCTACATTCATATGACGAGTTCATATCAATGTCCGCTCCTGCGTCGGGAAACTCGTCCAATTTGGAGAAGAACGTCCGATCTAGAGTGGTCCAATCGGGTAGTCCCTGACCGGGGAAGCGCCGCGGCTGGTTAGGGCTCGGCAGGAAATCGCGCTGTTCCAAGGTTGTGGCTAAACCTACTGTTGATCGACCTCAAGATGGGGACCGACATGATAATGATGACAGAATTCAGATTGGGACATGGCAATGATACTAATTTTTCATTGATCCTAAAAATTCAGAGTACCAAAAGTATATAACTCGGTAGAATACTGGGATAGATAGCAAGTAGTAGAATGTTTACAATTAGAATATGAGGACCCGTGAAATCGACGCCGAAAATTGCCGCCTTGGAAGATTGCGTGCCAAATGATGCCAACTTATAGGAGATGGATGCGAGCTCGAAACCATGAGGCTCAATTTGGAGTCCGATACGACGATCGAAGCCCTGTGAGCTTATATGACACCATGCACCTCTTGCAGGTTTATCACACACCACTTACATTTGCGCATGCTCCATCAGGCGGCGCTTAGCCAGGGTATATAGTTGACTACATTCAATAGCGGTCAACACCTTAAAATATGCGCAAGGGGCTTTCCGCTTGGAAAAAATGGTTTCCACTTTGCTTTCAACCCTCAGTCGAAACTTATCTGTTGAACAATTCAACCTCCTACAAACTATCCACAGTGGGTGAATCGCTTGAGAAAGGTTATGTTGCATGTGGGTGGACATTTGACCAAGAAAGACGGTACCATTATACCAGTCACCTCAAACTATTCTATGGTGCATCTACACGGGGTGTATGGTCTATCGGATCAGATGCAATACTGAAAGACCGGCCCGACGAGGGTCCAAAAGCGAAAATCGAAGTCAAAACATTGCATTATCTAGCGAGCAATGCGAATACCGATATTCCCACCCCGAAGGTTTTACGTGACTGGGTCGATCGAGATGGTCGCTACTTCGTTTTAAACGAACTCATCAGTGGCCAAACGCTCGAGGAGGCATGGACTTCTCTGTCAGAAACCCAAAAGATAGATGTCGCGGATCAAGTTGTGAGAGTGAGAAAGCAGCTTCGATCCATCACGTCACCCTCTATCCACTGTGTCGATCAAAGTCCATGCTACCCAAGATTACTATTTTTTTGATCTTGAGCCCCGTGGGCCATTGCACTCAGACCTAGAGCTCTGGGATGCTCTGGCCCTGAACCTTCGCCACCTTCCTCAACAAGTTCTGGGGAATTTAAAAGGACGCCTACCGATGTGCGAGCCCTATGTTCTTACTCATTGCGATCTCAATTTGGAAATATCATGGTTCAAGAAGGGAAGGTTGTCGGTATACTTGATTGGGAATACACTGCCTTCTTCTCTATTTGGTATGAGTATGTTTCGGCCTCTTTTGGATTCACAGATATGGATGTGGAATGGAAAGGGTTGCTCCGAGAGCGCTTCAACGCACATGGCGAGGCGCACAAAAATGCCAAGGCATTCTGAACGGATATGTGTAATCTGAGACCGTAACCAGATCTGGACGAGAAAGGTTAGGAAGCATTAGGGAGACTGTCATAGATCATCTTGGGTCAGTGAAAACGCACACTACCAAGATATCTGCTACATTGATGTGTCAACTTGAATTTCGGATACGGAGCACTGTACGCAGATAGATGAAAAGATTATCATATTTCAATATCTAAAATTTCTACACGATCATGTAATATCTTTTCTGCGCAGTCGGGAAAGAACACGTTCACGAGCTCACTTTTGGATACCTTATCCGTTGGCGTTTTTGGTACTCGCTCATTCTCGGCCATCAGACAGAACGCATTAGGCAGCATGTGGCTACCAACTTTCGATGCAAGGTCCGCACGTAGGCTTTTCAGGGTAACTTTTCCCCCCTTGGATTTGAGAAGAACACCCAGTCGACTGCCGAGGACATTATCTTTCACTGGAACCACATATGCTTCCGCGACATAATCTAGTCCTCGAATCACTTGCTCAAGCTCAATGACTGGAACTTTTTCGCCTGCATTTTTGATGACTATGAATCGTTAGTAAGAAATTTCGAGACTGAGATAAGGTTGGATGTTACAATCAATAGAGACACGCCCGTCAAAGACATAACAATCATCCTGTCTATGGGCAATATCTCCGGTTCGAAAATATCCATCTTCGTCAAAGAGACCCTCCGTTGAGGGTTCGCCGTTGATGTATCTTGCAATGTCAGTTTCTAGGCATGACTACTACATCACTCATGGATCATCTTCAAGAGTCCGGGGTCACGGTGCTTTGAATCTCACCCAAGAAAAGTCCTCATCCGGCCGACAAGCAGCTCTCCCTTGTCACCTTCTGAAAGTTTAACAGGCATATCCGGCCACAGTGGTCTCCCAAGGCATCTCTATAAACGTTCTCATGAGTTTCATGGAAATCCCGTAACTGTTGTTTGAACTTACATCGCTTCGTTTCAATTCCTGCAAAGGAATACCGAGAAGCATTCTACCAACTTCCGTCGTTCCATAAGTCATCTGTAGTCGCAGTTTAAACTCGCCGGAGATGAATTGCAAAAGTGACGGTACAGCCACACTCGATCCAGTAAACGCTGAGCGCACACCACCAATACCCGCAAGGTATTCTTCCTTCTGCGGGTGATTCTGGAGCTCAGCTTTGTAGAACGTGACCATTTGCTCCCACCACCCACAACCCGAATTGATGTATGTGATTCCGTCTCTTCGAATTCGTTCCCACGTGTATCGCAGAGTTGCCCCAGGATCTACAATCTCCGCACGGGATGCAGTCATAATAGCCGTGAACAAGAATAAACTGCCGCCTAGCCAGCTAGGAGGGCGATGTACCAGAACTGCTTCGTCGGCTGGGGCTTGTGGTAGTTTAGGGAACCATCCCCGACTGTGGATAACACCTTTCGGGGTGCCGGTTGAACCAGATGTGAACAACGTGATCCCGGGGCGTGATTCGGAAATCGAGAATTCTGTGTGTATTCCAGCGTCGAAGATATCCCAAAGATTTGTGGGGGAGTCGTGAAGGCTGTCGATTAGTAGCAATGTGATAGAGGGAAGGGACTGAGCGCTCGCAAGTTGTTGAATCTTTGTCGCTTCATGGACATAACGTTGACTAGCCAAAAGTACTTTGGTAGGTGCTTGACGTAGAATATTCAAAACAAATGCACCGCTTGAATCCAATGCTGGTCGAAACTATTAGATATTTCCTTATGATATGAAGCGGATGGCAGAGCTGATACTCACGAAGCGGCACGACCAATCCCCCCAACGCCATGATCGCCATGGCCGCAATTGAAAATTCATAATTTGCCGTCGAGAGAACGCAAATAGGGAAGGCCTCTTCCAAGATTCCGTTCTCATCTAGATGAGGCACAAGATGCTTCCGCAAGTGGTGTCGCTGATGGATGATGTCTGTCATAAATTGATCGAAGGTAGCGCGGACCCCGTTGTCGGGCTCGTGAAAGGCAACGCGAGTTCCAGCATTGCGACATCGCAGCAGAAAGGTTGAAAATATAAGATCATTCGGAAATCCACCGTCCGTGGCCAAGGTACTCGCAAGTTCACGGGCTGTGTGTCTGTTGCTGAGCTCGCCGATTGACCCCATGATTCAGGAGTAAGATTACTAGCCAGAAATTGTCAAGTACGAGCCAGATGATATCAGAGAATTCAATAGATTTAGAATCCGCAACTTCTCTCAGATGCTCGTAATAGTGTTCCGTGAAGCAATTGTCCGTCAACCATAATGTTGGGGTCGCCGCACCAGCCAGCCAGCCTCCCTTCCTCGCCCATTCCCCCTTGCGCACCCGCAAAACCTGGATTTTACATTCCACTTCTTATGACGACATTACACACTGTAAGATAGGGTCATTGTCTCTGGCTGTAAGTATAGATTCGTTGCCGTTTGCACTATCTTAAATCTGTACACACAAACTCAGGATATCAAATCAGAGTCGACTGCAAGACTTAGCGCTACTTGAGGTGAGTATGAGGCGGCCGCTAGGGGGCTACAAAAGAAACGGATGACAACTCAAATTTTTTTTTTTTAAAAAAAAAAATGTAGCGTATGCATTTTCCTTTGCATTTTTAACAACTCAGACGTGTAGGGGTGGTTGCTGGCCGTTGTGGCAGACCGCGGGGGCTGATGGTAAGACAACACCTGCAATTGAATGTTGACCCTTTCTAAAGTTATGCTAGAGGTTAAGCCAAAAAAGGCAGTATGGCAACTGAACAAACATATTCCATAAACTGTAACATCCAATTTTTGAACACCGTTGGAACTTGAATCTAGCCCAGGGCATGCGGTGCAATAATTGAAGCAAAAGAAAGGGAGCTGAGGTGCCCAGCTAGTAGTGCCGTAGCTATTGCACATGAAGATTTATGTGAATATAATCTGGAGGTGTTCATCTCTCCAGATCTCTCAGAATATGAGGAGATCCAGGTTTGTGCTCGGGTTCCAAGTTTAGGAAGTATTAGAAAGAGGTCGGTGTGACTCCTCCAGTGACTGACCCTGCCTTTTGCAGGTCGGTATGCACTGCTCTTTCTCTGATTTTTAGGTAAAGACCGGGGCTGGGGATTCAAACCAACAACTATTATAAAATTTCGGTTCGATAAGAGGAGTCTACCAACTCGTCCACCCGGCGCAGGTATTCTGTTAGCTTGAAGCTATTTTGAACTATTGAACAGTTCCATTTAGCAGCCATCTAGAGATCCTAAAATGGATATTGACAACCTCAAGGGCGATAATATCGATGTAAGTTAGAAATTCATCAATGGTCTGATATTTTATTGCTCGTCAGACAACAAGGAAAGGTAATCTAGTAATCTAGGAGGCATAACATTATGGTGAACGTGAACATCAATCGCTAGATCGCCACAGCGAAAAGAAAAGTAGACATGAGCACAAAACAAGGAGAAATCCTAAACAAAGGAATTGCCAAGGAGTGTCGGAGCGAAAACTAAACAGGACTGTCTTGCTTCGGCGTCTTTGAGTCAGATGTACCTCGCCAAACAAACCAGGACAGGGTAATGGTTCCTTTGAGGCCAACCGCCAACCACAAGCTACTCGCCATAGAGGTGGTTTTCGCGAGACCGCCAGCGGTCATAGCACCGATGAAAAGCGCCAAAAATGCCGCGATCCTCCGGTTTCTCTTTGGGTTAGCCGACCAAGGGCGTGTATACAGCTTCGTGTCGACGAGCAGGTCACACAGAAGGGTAGTGAGGACAACAGTGGGAATCTCATCGAAAGCCAGCAGGCGGGATGCGACTATCTGGCCGGCGGCCTGGAAGGCAAGGAGGGTGATTGGGAGGATTTGCATCCATTGAATCGGGGCCCTGGGGTTTTCTGGTTTGGGGTTGACGATGCCGGCCTGAACAACGGCGGCGGCAACAATGAGGCAAGCAGTCTGCAGGCCAAAAGAGAGGATGAGTGTTGATCGTCGAAGCGGAGTCAGGGCGCGAGAAAGGTGAATGAAGAAGATGTTGCCGAGTAGAAAGACGGTCAAGGCGATGAGGGACTTTGCCCACAGGTATGCTGGGTATTCTGGTTGCCCGGATACACCTAGGGCAATGAACACGGTATTGCCTATTCTAGGTCAGGGCAAAGCACAGTGGTAATTTTATGCTAAGAATATAAGCGGTCATACATACCTGTCTGCATACTTGAGAAACTCCCCCATGCGTTGAATGATAGGCCATCGACCAGGCCGCCGACGAACCCGCAGATTATTAAAATGATATCCGCGTGCCTTGGATTGAGTTCCGTTAAAAGGTATTGTGATAGCTTGGATGAAGAAGAGTCATTTCCGGTCCCTGTAGCAGAAACCGCAGTTCCGGGATAAGGTAAAGCGGTGCCATTGTCAACAGAGGCAGTCTGACTCCTTTGCACGCCTTCTCCAGGGAGATTTTTTGTATCATTGCCTTCTTCAGTAGTAGCAGAAGAGAGTGATCGCATGGAGGAACTCATTATTGAAAATATGTCTATAGACAATGTACCTGGCGCGAATGCATGTGCGAGACCAAGGAAGATGATGGGCTGGGCCCGGGACGACGTCGTCCCTCTTTTAGAATCGATCTCCGGATGTAGTCCGGGAGGGGCAAATGGTAAACTATGACGCCTGGCAGGGATCCATGAGCGGACAGTTTTCGTCGGAGTCTTGGTATCTCGGATTTTCTCCACCGGCTTTCCTTGGTATGAACGCTGATGCCATATCGATGCTTTGCCTTGGACGTCTCGGAAGGACGCAGGGGGCGCCACCCCGGCAGGAAGACATAAATTGGGCAATATCAAAGCGCAATTCAACTGATGAATATTTCCTATGCCGATAAGATCCCACCATTTAGAACATCAATACGGTTTGCTCTATAGGCCGTGGCCGATCGTTGGGCTAACGCCCATGTGGTTGTCATGTAGGTCTCCCGACCGGCAAGACAAATCTATGCTGCAATTGTGTCAAGAAACACGGCATCACCATTGCTGATTCCGGCCCAATGAGTGCAGATTGCCTTGGTTCTTGCAATATTGAACTTGGCACCCTTGGCGAACATCCGCAATCGGCGGTTGACTTATCGTCGGACGCTGAGAGGTCGAGGGAGGAGGCTGACGGCATTACGCTGGTGCAGATCGTCAGGTGTGCCAAGAAAGGTGCCTCCTTGAACCTGGGCCCAACTTTCATTCGACGCAGTTGCCATATATTTGGGGCTGGCAGCCGTTCCCGATGGATTCCAGCCAAGAAGTTAGCCAGGATGATCGACGTGGAGGTGACAAGATGCTGGGTAAGGTTTTGGCGGGACTTAACGCCAAGCGGCCTCCACCGTGGATCTGGCCCTTCGACGTGGCTGTGTCTTTCTCCGGGGGAAACCCAAGTCTTGGCGACTAAAGGGGGAATATCTGGATGAATGGTGAAGATGAATGATGAAATCTGAAAACATACGATTGATGTCCCATGGGTTGTGATTCTAGTCTGGACTGATCTGGGGAAACAGTGGTGGAGATTGATAACCTGTGGTTGTGTTTGATCCCGATCTAGATACTCCGCCCCAATAACGGGCTTACATCGGGTCAATCATTCTTGCGAATAGTGTCAAACACGTCTGCCTAGACCACCCCGTTTGTTGAATTGCCGATCCCCCACCCCGTGTAATCCCCCAGGGGTTGTAAAAGGCTATAACTAGCGCATAGTATTGTTTCATCTCAAGATGATCAACGCCCGGACACAATGATAGTGGGGGGTGGAGATATCGGTACTAATATCGATTTCAAATCAAGTTCTCATGGCATCATCACAGTATCTGTAACATTGGAAACTTGGAAAAGCAAATTGACGTCTCAATTGACGACCCCCGTGAAGAGGAAGTCGTACCATGCTGCATACTACGCCGTACATCCATTCCAAATCGGCACCTGATGATGGTAACATCACTGCCTGAGCTGAACTACAAAAGCCACTCTGATTCTAGTATTTCGAAAAGTACTAAGCCATAAGCAAGTAGATGTTGTGCTACCCTACGCACGTGCAGTGAAGGTTGCTCGACGTGTCCGAACGAGTGGAGTATGTCTCCGATCCATACATGCATCCCTGTTTCGGTGTGTATATTCGGAGTATTCCGGGTCCAACATAGGAAAGCACATAGGTCACATCTGGCTTCCTCTTAATTTTCTTGCTTATGCATGGAGTGTCTGGATGCATATTTCACCGTCTCCCTCTCCGACTCGAAATAATAGTCACCATAGCGGGATACGGACATGCCGCGAAGGGGACTATCAGGGGAGGATCGGCAACCCCGGTTCTCCTCTTTGTCTTCTTTGATTTTCTCATAGTCTTCTGTTCAGGAATATGCCAACCTATTGGCAAATTCTGTTTTCGGAATGTCATTGTTTGATCAAATCATAATAAAAGTACATAACAAGATTTTCGATATGGTTTATTCCTCAACCGCAAGTTTTCACTCTCACCCCTCACCCCTCGTCCAACCAAAAAGATTTTGTCGCAAAAATACAGAGGAACGCTATGCAAATCCAAAACAATTGAATTATTACATGTGATCTCAAAAGAAAACCTTGATTTGATATACCAAAATCCCGGTCGTTAGGTTCCAACATTATCCCCTCCAACCGCATATTATCACCGCGAGAAAGACATATACTTTCATAAATAACTGAATATAACTAGATCGCCTCCATCTTCTTCCCAAGATGCCCACCTCAACTAACGCCACCCCAGTGTCCTACCTATTTATCAACCCTCGAACCATCCCAAGAATCAAGCTCAGCTTTAGAATGCTGCTGCGCCATCGAAACATATTCCGGTTGAATAGGCAGCATACCCGGTAGCTCAGCATGCTGAGTCGGACTCGGATAAACCCGCTCAGACTGCTGTCTCGAAATACCCAGCTCGGGCTTATTATATGCGTTTCAATCTCATACCGCAAGGGTTGTTGAGGCGGAGGACTTTGCGGAACTCCGATTTTCGCAGGACCAAACGGAGCCGTAGGCTGGTTTGGCGGATACTGATACGGAGATGGATACGCTTGAGGACCAGGTGGGAATCCACGCGGTTGTTGAGGTTGAGGTTATCCCTGCCCCTGACCTGCTCTCTTTTCTCTCCGACGAATCAGCGAAATAGACACTGACTCCCACGCTCAAACTGATGAATACCAGACCACCGATAACACCGCCGACAATAGAGCCAACGGGCGTAGAGTTTCCACGATGCTGGGATATATTCGAAACAGCTGTCCCCGAGCTGTGTGCCATGATATAGGACGCGGAGTTAGAGTTAGAGTCTGCACTAGAGCCGGAGCCAGAATCAGAATCAGAAGTCGTCGATGATGGCGTCGAGTATCCAGCCGGATATTGCGTTCCAGTCGAGACACCTTTTGCTCCAGTGTAAACGGGAAATGCAATCGGGCTGGTGAATCCGCTCCAGTAGGGCTCCATTTTATAATCGACGCCCTCCTCCTCCGAACATACGAATGACAGGTAATCTAGCCCGTAGGAGAATTTCACGCAGTATGGCTGGGTACCGGTGCTGGATTACAGAAGTGATGTTAAAAAGATTATCAGAGAGGATCGGGATTAGGATCAGGATCAGTGCTGCGCATGCTAACATACCACTTTGCGACACTGTTAGAGCAGCCAGAGCCACTGCATGACCAGGTACTCAACTCAGCATTCCCTATACAAGCCATCTGCGGCTGGGTAGGATTACCGACAAATTTGGCGTCGCTATTCCAGAAACATGGCACCGAGGGATCATTGTAGGTCCATCTGTTATCTGGGGAGATCATGCAAATATAGGGTTGGTCTTAGTCTCGTGCGGGGAAGTGCTCGAATTTAGGATCCCAGAATGAACTTGAAAAAGTACATACCATATGGCCTAGAGCTGTGGTCTGCTTATAAACCCCTGCCTCCCCCCCTCTCGCTGGAATTACTTCAATACAAAAGGCCCAGATTAGCCTTCAAGGTTGACTGACAATTGGGCCAGGCAGCGAATAGAATATGGTCTTGAGTCGAAGCTCACAACTCAGCATTAAGCAATACGAGAATGGTGGGCCAAAGAGGAAAGAATCTACAAGATGGCGGCTTGAACCCTATCTTCGGAATATAGATGGCTCTAGGGCTCCGCGGAAAGACGAGAGGCTGTTAGCAACTTGAAGCAGGCAATAGTATAGGATAATTAGCATGCGAGTGGTGATTGTTACTATTTGAGGTTCCTACTAGTAGAGGCGTGGGTGGATACCTATGTATATATCTATACATCCCCGAGTCAGGCCAGGGCTCCGGGCAGATATATCATGATACCGATCAGAGCACATGAGGTCAAACTTGAAGTTAAAATCCTTATTAATTCCCAAAATATACAACAGGTGCAAAGTAATCCATGTATCTAATGTAACGAACTAGGTCGTCACCGTTGTTGATGCCTTACGCGGATGGTATTCACTTAGGCATCCACGCCTACATGTATCTAGTTTCCGTCTCAGCTATCTTCTCCTCCTCAAGCTATTACTTTCCTTGAACCGCTACTATTCCTTTGCCTGATTCGGTACGTCGTATCTTGATCTCTGTGAGTATCTGAGCATCCTCATATCTAAACCTTGTGGTACAACCCCACACTTGGGACGACTAGTAACTATAGCCTCAAACATGCAGCTACGCTATACTAGTAGTTAGGCCCGGAGTTCCGGGTCGGGACTAACGATTTGACCCCGGGGTAGGTAGTACTAATTACTACTGCTATGAGGTAGTTGACTAGTTGTGGCTACTAACTAACATGGAGACACAACTTGAACTCTTTCAAGCTTCGACACTACTAGTAACGAAGACTACACAATTCGGAAGAACGGGAAAAAAAAATTGAAGTAAGAAGAAATCTTGTGATTATAAAGGATATTTTTGAAGCCCAAAGAGGTAAATAAAAGGTATCAAGATAATGAATAAGATAATCTCGCGCCTTGAATGCAACAATAACCCAAGAGTAAATAGAATAAAAGCCCCGAACCTCGATATTTAAAATTGTACAGCGAAATCGATTTGAAAAAGCGCCAAGGGTATCCGACCATCAATAAGTTCATAGTGTGCCACAATGTGGAAAATTTGTTAAATAAAAATGCAAGCTGCCCCGGATGGCGGAAGGGCAGAGAGGAATGTAATAGGTGAAGGCGTAGGTGTAGGAAGACAGAGCGCGATAGGTGGGCAATTAGGCGCGGAAGTCGTGAATGCGGACGTGGTAATCATCGCCTCCGGTGATAAAGCGACTGTCGCTGAGACCGATGCAGTTGACAGCTGCGGAGTGGCCTTCATAGGTCTCTTGGCAGGTGGGAATGCGCGGATCCCAGATTTTCACCATGCGGTCCATACCGCCTGAGGCGATGCGCAAGGTATCGGCAGAGAGGGCCCAGATGCCTTCCAAATGACCGAAGAATGTACGGAGACATCTACCGGTGTTGGTTTCCCAGAGACGGATGGTTGCGTCGACACCGCTAGTGACGATGTAGCGTGGTGGCTCCTTGCGGCCTTCATCTTGGTCGAACGATGACCCGAAGGAAGAAGGTTGGCCATGGAGAGACCTGGCCTCTAGGATGGGCGAGAGAATGTCCACAGGGGCGTCACCATTGTTGGAAGCCGTGCTAACATGGTCGTTTTCACAGTCTCCGAGGTGTTCCAGCTCAATCTCGCGTGGTAGAGGGATGACTTGTTGCACTGCACCGATGTGGTTGTTAAACACACGAATGCAGGTCTTGGTGTCAAGGTCCCACAGGCGAGCGGCGCCATCATCACAAGCAGTCAAGACAGTACGCGAAGAGGTGTCAATCTTGACAGCGTTGACGCCTTCAGGGTGAGGAAGGATGAATGTCGATTTATCTTTGAAGTTCCAGATCTTCACGGTTCGGTCGACTGAGGCAGAGGCAAGAAGGGTGGCATCAAAGTGCAGAGCGATAACTGCCTCGGCGTGACCATTGTATTTAGAGAGACATTCTCCAGTGCGCCAGTTCCACACTCGAATGCTTCGATCAAGACTGCCAGTGATCAACTTGGTATCGTCGAATTGGAGACAACGCACTCCAGCGGTGTGGCCTCTGAGTGTGCGTAGCTCTTGACCAGTCTCCATGTCCCAGATCTTGACAGTCGCATCGTAGGAGCCGGTCATGAGAATGTTATCTTCGAATTGAAGGCACATAACACTATCGGTATGGCCGCGGAGAACTTTGACCGAACAACGTCGATGCTTCCAGTTCAGACCAACCTCGAAGCGATCACGATACACATCTTTCCATGGGCGATAGCGAGTCTTGTAATAGTCATCATCGGCAACGGGCTTGTAGGCAGGTGACACACAGTGCCTCTTGATCTGATGACAGCTGTGTTCATCTTCAATTTTTCGTTTATTATCCTTTGGCAATGTGACCACCGAACAAGTTCCATTCGGAGCACCATCTGCGGGCGGATTTAAACCTTGGTTCGTAGACTCGTTACCCCAGTTGGTGGCACGAAGTTCGATCTCGCGTTTCGATTCACGTAGGCGCTTCCGGTCCAATAGAGGCAAGCCCCAGCCACATTTGTTGCACTTCCGTCGAATATGCTGTTCGCACATGCGATGCCAGACGACATCATCATCGGCCAATGCCTTCCAGCGGGGAGATACTTGGGCGGCGCGGCAGAGAGAGGCGGTGTCGAGATACCGCAGAATTTTGAAGGAAAGCTCAGCGGGAAGGGCGGTCAAATAATCGATTCGGATCAGTTCGCGGACACTGGCAGAGATGAATGACAGTTGAGGGAAGCAGCATTGTGCCAGGACGCCCTGGAGCATCAGTTTGCGCTGCTTTGCCGGGGCGGCGGAAAACAGTGACCAAACATGGGCGATTCCCTGTTGATCATCCTGAGGGAGTGTCTCCAGTTCCTGGTTGTATTAGCGAGTGGGTTGAGATATAAAGAAAACGGGTGAACATACCTGCTGAAGTTGACGCATGGACTTCTCATCTGCTTGACGACTGCATTTCGAATCTGGCTGGTGACGGTAGCAGTAGCCAGCGTTCACAGCACGGGGAATGGCAGGAGTGCCGTCCTCGGAGCGAAGAGGCGCATATTGACGTGGGTGGTATTTTGTGAGAAATGGAGCGACGTTCTGCTTTGCCAGTTGCACAAGAGTTTCCGAAGTGGTGGTGGTCTCCTTGGTAGTCCCCTTGGTATCGTGAGGGGTGGTGCGGTTGGCCTCGGCGTTGGTGACAGGAGTCCCCGCTTCAGTAGTCGCTTCAACGAAATCCTTTGGGGGATGTGAAACCTCGGTGCTTTGTTCCATTGCGAATGTCGGTGTGTCTTTGCGCCGACCAGGCGTGTTCTTGACTGAAGGTATCGCCAAGCGGCAGTCTCAGTTGGCCACGGAAGGTTGAGACAAAGAGGGTGATAAGAGTTTGGTGGTTCCTAAGGTTGGTTGTAGCTCGCGGCGATTGCAATGGGTGATAGGTCGAGGTGAAGGCCGATATCAAGACCGGAGATACGAGTATTGGTGGTGTTCAAATGGGATTGCTAGCGTCCACAAGGTAGTCAATTGTCGAGGAGGGAGGACGAGTATAGCGGAGCGGGAGAAGTAGGTTGACGAGTACCCTGGCAGATATGAAAGCACACGGGGATGTTGGTGTGGGTGTGGTGGGTGGAATGGAGAGGCGAGAGACGGATTTAAAGAATAAAGAATGGTGGCTCAGCAAGATTGCGACATCGAGCTGGAAGTGACAGATGCGACATGGAAAAGTGCAGAGTGCAATCACACCATCTGCTCGCCAGCAGCAGAACGGGGGGAACGCGGGAGGCGAATGGGTGGAAAGGGAAGGCGGTGGAGGTTTACCTAATGACAATCAGATCTTTCACTGGTCGAAAATGCGAGTCCATGCCAATCGCCCCACGTGATGGCGCAATTTCCCCAGCGCCTGCCGTCAACCTTCGTGTACTGTAAGGTAGCGACGACCCGGTGCCGACGTGCCTTCCTCAGTTCCTCCGTTCATCTCTCCTTATCCCAGGACGGCGGCACTTGGAAAGTACAAAAAGTGGAAATTTGCAGGAAGGATCGACCGGGGTATTCTAGACCGCCTTTTCCCCAAGGTACTTTCTTACTCCCCGTACTTTCTTTCAACCCTACAGAGGGTACCACTCCCATAGCTCCCTTTTGCTCTCTGTTTATTCTGCCACTGTCAGACCCACCGCCCATCGCGCACATCATCTCTCTTCTCTTCCCTTTCTCTCTCGGCCGATGAGGTGATCTACAAACCTCCAGGTAAGCTTTTTTCTCTCTCTCCGAGCACTCTGTCCAAAATACAGAGTGACTACTGCATTCGGAATTGTTATTTCAAACCCACGGTATTTACCTGTTTGCCTTGCATCCGAAGTGGGCTGGCCATAACATTCCCGTACTGTATAGTATTGGCTTATCACTGGTGGGGAGCTATCCTCACAGCTGGGAAACCCTACAGAAGCCTGAGCGTTTAATCATTCTGATCTATCAACACACCCGTGAGATCTCCAGCTAAACAACCTGTCTCAATAGGGGGCGATCTCAGACCCGAGGCTCGGCCAGTTTTGATAGTAAATCACCCCGGAGCCCCGGCGGCTACCTGCAACCCGGAAACTTTTGAAACCATTCGTCATCGCACACCATTCTTCATCCTTGCTCGACATCGCCAGTAAACTGGCTCGACTGGTGCCACGCCCCTCACCGACGGAATGTCATCCCAGTCTTCCTCCGCTTCCATCGCTCAGGGTGATACCGAACACAGCGATCCGGACGCGTTGCCCAACCTGGAGACTCTCGTGTCTTATCTCATTGTAGCCAAGCGTGGCCTGTCCTCATATCATTTTGTCTGGCGGGCCAACGAGATCGTCACCGAGGCCCGGACTGCCCTAGAAGATAGCGTGGCCGTGTCGTCCCGGACCACATTTTTACGCCGTGGCTTGAACAGCCAGCTTCGGCTGCTCTACAATGTTCGATCCGAGGTTGCGGAGATATCAAAACGAGGCCGAAGTGACTTCGCCGATGCGTTGAAGAACCTAGATGCCGCCGATGCGCGGCTACGGGATACTCTAGACCTGCTCCGAGAGACGATCGTCCATGCCTCCTTTCGACCAAAAGATGAGGAGTCCAGGACTCTGCATGACTTTGTAGACGAGCGCGGAGTGGATGAACTGCACACCGCCATGAAGGACTCCATTGACCGCACGAATTCCGCCCGCGGAGAATTAGATACCTCCAATCGCGAATTCGATGACGAGCTTGAGTCTATCCGGCAGGCACTCCATCGGTATCGCTCAGCCACCAAATTGGCTTCGTCCCGTGCCTCGGTGTCTTCATCATCGCCGTCTGCATCCGAATCGGACCTCCAGGCCGTCTCCTGCATACCGGGCATGCTCCAGTCGTTAGAGGAACATGCGCGAAAAATGGCTAGGAACCTAGAATCACTTGCTAACCATTTTGATCTCTGCGTGAAAGTACTGAAACATACAGAAGGTGGTGGTGCCGCAGCGCGTTCCATCACCGGGGATATGCCCACAGATGTCAGCGGCGAGGGCGTTCTTAAAATCGAGGAGACTCTCGATGCACCCCAAGCCCCCATCTCGCAGAAAGAATATCGAGATATGTTACAGGTCATTGTAAACGACACCCCCGTTGCAGAAGACGTGGTGGTGGAATTCCAAGACCGCATTAACGACATGGAATCCATTTTTGAGCAAGTCATGATCCAGCGCGACGCACTCTTATCCATCTCCAATGCCACACTGGAAGTCCACCGCCATCTATCCACACTCGCATCCACCGGCCTCCCACGATACATTGCGCAAGCGCATAACTTTACCCACGTCTGGAGCGAAGAGAACGACCGCATTAACTCAGGTCTGACCGAACTATCCGACCTCCACGCCCTGTACGAAGGGTTCCTGAATGCATATGATAGTCTGATCTTGGAAGTCGCTCGCCGAGCCCACGTTCGAAAGCGCGTGGAGAAAGTCCTTCAGGACACTCAGCATAAACTAAGCCAACTCTACGAAGAAGACGTCTCCGCCCGCGAAGCCTTCCGCGTCGAACAGGGCGATTTCTTACCCTCCGATATATGGCCTGGCATTGGTCGTGCGCCGATGCAGGTGGAATTCCTGCGAGTCTCGGGCGGCCAACTTGAAGGTGCCCGCGGCAATGAAGACGACACTGAAAAGCAAGCCGATGGCGCTGGCGCCAAGGTCCCCATGACTGAGGACCCTTCGCAGGGCGAAGTCATTCCTGCTCTGCCGAAGGATGTGGTTGAACAGGCCTATGCGCGTGTTAGATCAAGAACGCGGGACCTTGTTTAGGGTTGAGAAGTATCACTGTCACTCGGATGGTATGGTTTATGAATATGCGTTCTTGCCGGTAATGGTTACTATCTAAACTTGAAGATTTTGCTGAAGATTTCTATACTGCATTTTTTTTTCCCTTGCACAGCCTATCTTAGGACCTAGGACCTAAATGATGAAAGCTAATAGGTCTGATCCCCATCCGATCTCCTGCCTCCTAAAAACACTACGATCAGTAGATACATACTCCTTACTTCTGTAGAGGATGTAAGTACTACTGGCAGGGTGGGAGTGTGGTTGGCCGGAAGTGACTTTCAAAGAGAGCTCTGATAGGTACAAGCAGGGGTGGCCCAGGGTGGGTGGGCTGTCTCTTGTATATCTTGTTATGATGTGAGGTTGGTGCAGATCAGGAACAACACCGCACCATCGGAAATAATTCCTGAAGTGCTTAGAGGAACAACCAAGTTGAGGGGATGTTGATTTGAAATCAACTTGATCTTCGTATCTCATATATAGCATCAAATATTCATTCTAAAATAAGCACTATGTCAATCATTTTGAATTACAACATATCTCTACAAATTGCTGAAAGTGCCCAATTTACTATACAAAGCTGAGGAATAAAGACTATGATACAGCGGACTTGCTGAGAACTTTTGCTTTCTCAAATCGATAATATCATCAGCAATATTGAATTACCCCTCCTGACCAGATCACTTGGAGTTTACGTTTGATGACCTTATCAAGCGGATCCTGACGGCCAAAGATGTTTGGACGCTAAATAATAGAGATATTGTACTTGTATTTCGGTCGGGTTTCCAGCTGCACATCGAACGTCATGTACTCGTGCATATAAGCGGTCGGTGTCCACAAGTAGATTTCGGCTGCAATTGGCCGGACGTTGGGAGAAATTTATCAACAACTGGATTATAATTGATCTGGCGGATAATCACAGCTTTTCCAGACCAACCGTTACGATAGCGCGGGGCAACTTGTCAAGCTTATGCCGTAGCGAACCTGGCGCCCAGAATAATCGTTTTCAATTTAATCGAAACGCTGTACCAGATGAACCAGTATATATCCTGTTTCAGTGAGGGCAAATTGCTGTCCACTGCAGATGCGTGGCCCCCCGTTAAAAGGAATATACTCCTAACCAACTTTCCGTCCACGCCAACGCTCAGGATCGACGCTGTCAGTGTCGGAGCCCCAAATGTCCTTGCGACGGTGCATGACGTGAGTGCTTTACATAATAATTTGGCCTCTCTTTATAAATACAGGTGACTTACCGTCTGTCCCCCCTCCATGTGGCAATGTTGTAGCCAAAACTGCCGAACGGCGGTTGAATGGACCACAGGGAACAGACAAAGTGACTCTTTCAGGCAAAATTGCAAATACTGGCATGACTTTAATGAGGAGAAGTTTATATCCCGAGGCGAGCCGTAGGTGCCAAAGCTTTGAATGATATCTTCTCGGAGTTTGTTGAAAGCAGCCGAGTGGCGCGCCGATAACATAACGGTCCAGCTCAGAAGTGGAGCAGTGGTATCGCGCCCTGCGAGGAGGATGTTCAAATACTGCGAGCATAGTTCTATGGGATCCTGAGTTTCTGCAAGTAAAGCATCGAGAAAGATGTATCGGAGAAAGATGTATCGCGTCTTGTCAGCGTGTCTGGTATTAGCTTCTTCTAGCTTCTTCTGGCTGGGATCGAAGGGCCTAATGCACAAATTTATCAATAAATGCATGGACCTTCCTGCCTGGTTGCCTGATTCTTTGGCAGTGCAACAAGGAAGCAACCCGTCCAAATGTAAGACGCTGAGCACATACAGCTTGCGAATTTTCGACTGAATAGGCGAAAGAGGCTTCTGCGCACTGGCGACCTTCCAAATAATGGAGTTGGCTATCGGCACTTTCACCAAACAGAAAGTCTGTTGCAGTATCCAAAGTCAACCCAAAAAAGATACACTGGATATCTGTGCTGGTAGTCCCTCCTGTGGGAGCAACGTAAATTCCATCCATAGCTTGGAGGACATGTTTCTCTTCTAGGTCGAGCTGGCTGATCTGATTGTGCGTAAATTAAAGCCGTAGTAGAGTGCGTGAGTGCGACCGTTGCTCTCCATCCGCCGTGAAATAAAGTATTGGTAAGTATCTATTGCACCAAAGAAGTACTCATGATGAGGCTTACTATTCCATTACCCAAGAGTGGGCACAAAACTATCCCGTCGAACACTACCAAGCTCGAAGTTCGGAAAATGTGTAGTGAGTAGCGATTATATGTTTTTCGGATCGGCCGTGCTGACAATGTGTTGTCCTAGGTTATGTATCATGAACCTAGAGACGTATCCATCTGCAGCTCACCCATAGTCCAAAATCTGCGTTCGAGTAACTCTGGCAAGAGCTTCACTCTATCAGCGGCTAATGACTGCAACAGGTCGGTGAAGCCCATCGGATCTATGCAAGGTAAAAGGGGGAGACTAAGGCAGCATAAGCTGCGACCCTTGCGGGAATAATGCCATGATGCATAAAGCGCGTAAATCATGTGTAGCAATAGAGCCACAACTAAAATCCTGAGCACGCTGATGAGCTCCATCGTCGCTCGCTCGGAGGTGTCAAGGATAACCGATGCCTTATTATATGGCCCTGTAAATCAAAGTAGTTCGTTTTCTCACCCATCGACTGGCTACAGATGCCAAAGGAGATATAGTACTCGTCCGCTAACTAGTTAAGTCCGATTTGTTTGCCTGTTCGACTTTCTAGACCGTTTCATTGACAAAAATGCCCCACATCCTCACGCCAACGCCAGATCAAGCCATTCAATCATCGTTTCCAAAATTAATCTAAATGGGCAAAGGCTAACCACGCTCCAGCGCCTGCGCTTATTCATTCGAGTTCATAAATTATCCGATTGGAAGCTACGGATGATTTCGTTGCGGGCTTTAGTAATGCCGAAGCCGAACCGAGTGGTACTCCGCAGTCGAAACTTTATCAAGTCATGCGCTATTAGCCACGGCATCACGTAATCTGAAATCAAAACGCAATCGGTAAGTTTGTGGTAGTTGGGATATTGAATTATAATTTATTGTCTTTACTAGGGTATTCTGACGTGATACGCTCGATTAAGGGTTACGTTATAACCAAACTGCGAATGACAAAATAGCAACTGGGCAAATAACTTTCTGTAGCCATGCTGTTCGCCGTCGCTCCCGCCACTTTTTGCTGTCGCTGGTGCCGGCTTATGCGGTCCCTGGTACCCTCACAGATATCAATCCACAGACCACGCAGCCTCCCAGCCATCAATGCGGAGAGCCAATACATTTGACTCTCGGTGGTCCACCATGTATATCACTGGACTTCATACCTTTGGTTCTGGCGAGGAATGAGGTGTATCGTCTTTCAAGTATGAGGCCTGAAATAACCTAGTATCATATTTGTCAGATAGTTGGAGATCCGTTCACACCAGTACCGAGGATAGCTATTGTCAGTTGATGTGAATTAGCAAGTGTCTCTGGATTAGTTGGACGAGGCAATGCAATGCATCATGATTCTCCGACAATGGTCAGAGGTACCATATCATTATGAAGGCGAAGTGCATGGTTGCTGTATCACTGAACGATGTGGTGAATCCGCCATAGTCAGCCTCTGTTAAGCATGACACTAATCCATACCAAGAGCAAAGGCACATTGAAGGATCATTCCAGCGTTTTCTGGTGCACACCATCTTCCATTCGTTTCGATGACTGTTGGTTCTTCTCCGAAACAGTCTCAGGCGCTGCATTTTACATTCTAGATCGAAGTGCAGGTGAGTTCCGCTATATGCACTTCCCAAATATTGGCTGAGATCTCCGTATATCGGCACCGCAAGAGGACAAGCTGTAATGTTGGCCAGTGAGTCATTGGGAGTGCGTATGATTATTTCCATTCCTTATATACAATATATGCAAAGGGTTTCCTTATCGGTTCACTTGGCGTTACGCACAGTTTGAAGCCTTTCCCCCTTAATATTGCCTGGGCTTAGATACAAGGAGAGCATAGAGTACAGTATGAGTAGCCAGATTGCAATTTTCAGCGTATCAAGTAATAAGGGAAACGGGGAAATGAAACGTGAGTGAAGCTACTCTCGTACTTCCTGTGAGTCAGGTTATAAACGAGTAGGTAGTACGGTCACCCCGTCAGTACTCAGTCGAAATCAGGTAGCGACTGATGTAGGGCGTTGGAATTTAGTTTACATAGTGTTTGTTCAAATAGAAGATAGGAAAGGCATAGTAGTGTAACCATTACAGCGAAGGGAGGAAAGTGAGCCAATACAGCGCCGTGATTTGGTGCAAGGTCATGTCGCGCTCTAGTGGTCGTAAAGCTTTCACTATGCGGAAGAACTATCTTCTACCGGCAGAAACATTACTATTCGTCCCACGAGACTCATCAACAGGTAATAACCCCAGGACCAAAATTTAACGTATGGATAACATAACCATTCTGCTTCATTGCCCCACGCGGCATAATCATGTGTATTTTATTGGTTATTTTATGCAACCGTCTGGGTTGGCATGAGACTTCCCTTTCTGCGTCAACATCACTATAGCATCGAAGGGTTCGGGCCGCCATTTCGACAAAGTTCACGTCTGGTGCAGAATACGATATTTTTACGTTATGTTAAAATATGTAAAATCCTACTTTGAGCCTGGTTAAAGTCGAACTTGGCTCAAATGAGTATTACTGAAAGTATTACTGAAAGCGGCGTATATTAAACCTGGGGGTTACCCCAAATAGTTGTTCAGCAAGGACAATTCACCTATCCGTTAAAACCTGAGTTCCTTTCATCCTATATAGGCACACTATGGCCCTGCAGGATGTGCTTAGAGGTTATGATTCGTAGCACTTGATTGTAAAAAGGAACTGCCGTGAGCACATTAGCCAGACATCCCACATGTGGGGTCATCTCAAAAAGAGACCCCGCCACAGCGGTAACTTCGAATGATATCAAGGACAAAACTTCCGCTGTCTCCTCGCGGAAGTGAGCGCGTAAGACTATACCACTCAGCTAGTAAGGGTGGGCTAATTGGACACTGATTTCATGATTTCACGATAGGGATTGTTGACCTCTACCAGTGCTTTAGAAACCAAGCGAATCTAGCATATAGTGGGCCGTTGGGCATTTTCACAGCTGTCGGCATAACGCCGAAGCATTTAACCGTTTATGAATACCAATAAATGTCGTCCAGTGGTACCTGCAATCCATTGTCTTCGGTAACTGGCAGAAAGCAGAGTGAATACACGGGGTTACTGTACCATGGATAGGTGAACCTAGTAGTGGAGCAGCTTCCCAATATGGTCGATACTTACAGCGAACTAAGGTTTAATTCACACAAATATTACTTGTAACAGCAACAGGGATGGATGGTTGGTCAGGATGATTAATACATATGATATTTAAATATGATCCTCCCATAACACGACAGATATATCCAGCTACATGACAGCAGTTTCTTCGGTTTGCAAGGTTGAGTCGAGGTCTAAGCTCCTTATGAATGATCAAATATGTCCAGTTAAGCATCCAAACATGTCGCTCAATCTATTTTCGGCAGTACAACATACGGAAGCAGAGCTTAACTGCCTACCTACCATTCTGAAGGATATATTGTCTAATAAGGCTCCGAGACCCTATACGGCCGATGCTTTTTTTGATTTTGTATCTCACAGGCACTGCACCGAATCTTTAGACTTTATTGTGAGGGTTCACGATTATTATGAGCAGTATGCCATGTTGCAACCTTCCTTCCACCAAGTAACGACTCGAGAAAATGCGCGTTTGGGGGGAGAGTGGAGACACTTAATGAGCACGTTCATTGCTCCAGGTTCCGTCAAAGAAATCAACCTGCCATCGACAATACGCAATCAGCTGCTCAGTCATAACCCTGTCCTCTCACCACCAAGGCCAGAGAGTTTAGACTCTGCTTTATGCCACATTTCAGAGGTGTTGTCTCATAATATTCTGATCCCATTTCTGAGAAGCATGCCAATTTCAGATCAAAAAACCATACAACAAGGTCTTTATCCAAATCACCGATGGCCAGCGCCGAGCAGTTCAATCTCTGACACACAGGAATCATTTATAAAGACATCTCCAAGGTAAGCTAAGTCTCGCTTATCGTGAACAGAGTCCCAATGAACTGAGTTACCATATAGTATTTTAAAGAAAGTCAGTCAGACACTTGCTCGGTTCTGGAGGCAAAAGCTTCACCGCCACAAACTGACGAAAGGTGTTCCGTCATCATATAGACCTGTGGGGAAAGAGTAAGGATGAAGGAGGGAGAAATTTGTCGTGATGTTGATTTTGTACTACACAAGGAGCAACTTACAATGATTTTCCAGGGTGTGTGTTACTCAGTAGACTTCGAACAGTTAGGAAGAGCAATAATCGCTCTTTATAAGGTCACGACGGGCAAGAGTTCAATCTATGGAGCTGTTTTCCAGCACCGTTCCCACATCTCCAATAGCGGGGTCAGACCTTTTTCGTAGCCATAACAAATCTAATCAGCCTGATACACCTTCCGGGACGAACCCCCCCAGGAGAGCTTATCATATAGGTGTCACAAGCTCTATCGCATAACCAGAGGTCTACTGGAATGTTACTTTTAGTGGGACTCGCCTTTATCATACATCTGAGCAATTCAACAGCTCGACGTTTTACAGCAATTTACCGGAGCGGTTTCCACGACGTACAGTAATTTGTTGATCAGAATGGTTTGTTATAATGCAATGCTGAACGAGTTTTAGCGCACGCCAGTTCTCCAACCAGACGTGTATGATGATCTGGGAATCCGGGAATCATCTGGAAATTTTGGCGCTGCAACGCTCTAGGCAAACCCTAAACAAATCGCTATTTGGGACAAAATATCTACAGAACGTTCGTTCTTCAATCAACCATGGCAGTTATTTTGTTGGCTCGCACGAGTGTTAGTCATACAGATTCCCTTATGCCAGAAAACGTAGAATCGAAGTATAACTCTCCTCCAGGATTATTTCCGCTGTGTCCGCAAGGCCTGCATTTTTAGTGCATATGAAGAGATACAGACAGTCGCGTGATATCCATAGAACAAGATCACAACCTGCTATTGTAGGATACAAAAATGAAAGGGAAGAAATTCCATGGCTTCTGACACCCGCCAATTCAAGGCCTATGTCAACATTTTCCTTGCGACAATATCCTTATACTCTTCGTCATATTGGACAAGAACTGATGGACCCTCTTGCTCCAACTTCTCCGAGTCAAGTACAAAATTCACGAAGAACGCCGCTGACTCGGTCTGGCTCGCATTAGAGCTAATCCGGTGGTGACACCCCGGCGCTTCATACCAAGAACCCCCATGCTCGATAATCCTCATCGGATCCTCATTCATCTTGTTTAAGACAGATCCACGGATCACGTAGGCGGAGACAGAAGCACCTCCGTGACGGTGAGGGGGCGTCGCACCGTTCGGAGGATATTCGACGAGCATTCCAACGATGGTCTTTCCGGGGCAATTTACCAATTTGTACTGGTAAACGATGGTGGTGGTCGCCAAAGGACACCTTGTGAAGATTTCAGAAGTGAGCTGCATCTAGGAATGATGATTGTAGCTTTCGTGAGACTTACCGAGGATCGTAGCTTGGTTCTTGCATAGTAACAGACAGAAAGGATTTTGAATATGTGGGATGTTGGTTGGGAGGGAATGGGAATTACTGAACTGTGGTTGGAGGGCCATGGTAGTAGGCAGCTCTTATATACCCTTTGATGACTTTGTCGCATCCTCTCCAAACCAGTTAGCCGCTCGCAGTCCACAGAAATCTTGCATCGCTTCATTTTGTCAATTCCGCTTTTGTTCGCCTGGTCTACGTTTCCTTTACGTGATGTTCGACAGTAATAGGCTAACCGGGTATCTGATTCTCTTCGTTGAAAAGACCGCGTATATATCAGACCGGAGGGGTAGCCGCGTACTGAACCTCAAATGGCAAGCAAGCCAAAACTCCAGCTTGGGTAAACGAAGAGCGGTGAAGAGTAAGTCAACCATGCTATTGTGATCTATTGGACAGTATAAAAAATTAGCCAATACAGAGTCCAAGCTCTGCTTCAAAGCTTTACCAACCATGCCTTCAAAACAAGAATAACTCTGAGAATACCTATTTGATTGAAGAAGTCAAGTGTACTTTCTCCCAGTTTCCTATGGAAAAGTTTATAGTAGGCTGGTCGGCACCATCCACCGCAACCTCGAACAAGCCGATGACTGTACTAAGTACATCTTACGTGATTTCTTTGGTTCGCAGGCTCCGGGTGCTCCGGATTACATCAACATGCTGCAATCAACGTAACCCGTTAATGGTCTGCGCACCGTCCTACCCGTGACCAATAAGACAATTCCATCACCGCCGTCGATAAATGATTGGGGCTTAGCGAGGCCCAGTCTGGGTACCTTTACGGCCTATTTCATCACCTTTGGTGCAGGGGTTCATGTCATCCCATTGGGAAATAGGAAATAGAGGCTGGTCCTCGACTGTTACACTTGTCAGCGCTTCGGTGGCTTGACGCGTCAACTTGTACAGCCGCACATGGTCAAGAACCATAAGCTCTGTTGGGTCATGGTGGGCCCATGAGTGGGCGCTAGCGGCAAGCAAGCAAAGCCACTAGTTTGCTTTCTCTGCCTGGTTTCATCTCCACACATCGACAACGTCGGTTGAAATGAGCCATATCCATCACTGAATGGATGGATGATTTTAATAGCTAGAATGCATTCATCCTATTTCATTGATACAGGCGACTTAATTAACGTCCCTACGGTTTCTAACAATGCTTCCCCTTGTGTTTGGCTGAATAAACTCCTGGTCTCTACTATGATGTACTTTTGCTAGCGTATTTAACTCTTTATGTATCTGATGCGTCTCAGTGGGTATATATCGCTTATCTCACTACTGATGAGAAATGGTATAGACATGGTTCACACTTGTAAGATGAGGAAACAATACCACCATTGGAATCCTATAGCTCGACATGTTTGCTCTATGGAATAAGTAGTGTAAGCCGAAGGAGGATTGTATGAATTCTTCTCGACAGAGAACTTGAGGATTTGTACGTACATTCAGTTTCTATAGTACCCATAATCAAACCTGCAAAAAACCTTGAAATGGGTAAGTAGTTTACGTTGTCTTCAACCCGGCGCCGCGAACACGGCCTACAAGCTCTCAGTGGATGCTTTGAGGTGAGGAATAGCTCCCATAATCGCTTTACAGACTGCATTTGCGCATGCGAAGTGTGAAGGAAATAATACATGATTTCGTTTTCCATTTCGTCCAGAAACCTCGGTTGCGATCTCTTCTCTCGACCCTCCCTATCCTGTCCCATGAAGCTACCATGTATACTGCAAGTTTCCTTGTTCGAGATTTTCCTCAGACATTGGCGCGATCCATCACGTGACGACCCTTGTCGAACCCTGGCCTTTTCGACAGCTTGTCCATCCATCTCTCCAGGTGGGGAAAATCAGAGAGAAAGACGCCGTCCGCTGGTAGGCGCGATTGTAATAGCATGATTAGCTGAGCCGATAGATCTAGTAGAGGTAATGGAAGACGGGAACGCCTTACCATGGGATGAAATCCAGCCCCAGCAAGCTATGTCAGCAATGGTGACGCGGTCACCGACGAGGAGCCCGTGAGAAGACTTCGCTAGGTGGTTTTCCAAGGTGCCATAAAGGCGACGGGTCTCGTTGCTGTAGCGATTGATACTGTACTCGACTTTTTCCGGCGCGTATTCTGTAAGTATCTAGTCAGTATTGCATGTGCCAAATATCCAGTCTCTGAGCAACAAACTCTGAAAATGCTCTAGCTGTCCTTGCATGGGACCTAAGCCGCCCATCTGCCACATCAGCTAAATTGCAAAGTCAGTCATTTCAAGTTCGGGAATATGGTTCTAGGTGGTCAATTAACGAACCCAGCTCTTTACCTCCCAATGCTCACGGGAGTCCTTTGGATAAGATGTTTTGTAGTCTTTGTCGTAGCGGTCAATGATGTACTCAAGTATGGCTCCGCTTTCAAAGATCCGAATTCGCTCTCCGTCGGTCCACGTATCCGTTATGGCGGGGATTCGGCCATTGGGGTTGATTTCTAGGAACCACGGCTGTTTCTGCTCATTGTCCATTATCCGGATAGGTTGTAACTACCGGAAGGGCAATACAGTTGTAAGCTTATTGACTTTCTTATTTCACCATTCCTGGTAAAAGAATGTTCTCCCGCACCTTAAACTCAAGCCCAAGCTCCTCGAGTAGGATTGGAACTTTGATTCCATTTGGGGTTGATGCAGTGTAGAGCGTGATGTCAGTCCTCGTTCCCATGCTGACTGTTTGGTGTCTTCGCTTTGTAGAACTAGACGTGTTGGTACCAAACGTAAAGGCGCGAGATATAAATCGTGATTGATTACGGATAAGGCCCTTGCTTATATATATCATCGTCTGGCGGAATTGTTGCTAAGATAGGTAAGTGAGTCTAACTTTCGCGGCGACGTAAACCATTACCCTATAATGATTTGTAATCAGTATATCCACCTGGCACAACCCAACTGTGGTTTCATACGATAGATCATGCACCAAGTACTAAAGCAATAGCGTAGTGTTGATTGGTAATAATTTAGGTTGTTGCGAGGTGTTGTTAGACTGTGAAGGGTCTGTAAGCAGGGGAGAGATGATAGGAGATTAAAACCAGCAGGATAAAAGATAAAGCATATGACACCATCACTTAATGCACAGCTTACCTTGGCTGGGAAAAAATAACGTAATTCACTTTCAAGCCCCACGAGAAGGAAAGGTTTCTTTTCTTTTCTTGTTCTTTTTCATTCAAGTCTGCTATAGTCCGATGGCCCTGGGCTGGGCATACTGGACAGCCGGCTTTGCCGCGGTGTGCCGAGAAAGGCTTAGTACATAACTTCTGATCAACCTCGATGACGTATAGTCAACTCTAACATCATCTGCACCAACAGACCCAAATACCTTGAGGGGGGTCAATATCGAGATGATACGGATAATTGCAATCGCAACTGCAATAATCACCGGTTTCTCAGCAACCTATCTCTATAATATCTACCAAAATCTGTCATCGCGTATCCAGCACAGATCCCATTGTGGAAGCGCATCAGAATCATGTCCAAAGCCAGTGAAAATCGCTACAGTTCCACAGGCTGTATACTCGGGGAGATATTTTGTTCAGTATAATATGTCCTCGAAATCAGTGCCCCGGAGTGTGCTACCACATGCTGAGCGGCTCGATCTTCTATTTACAAAATTAGTCCGTCGCAATATGAGGACATCCATGCTTCTCCCACAGGCTCTTATGTTTCGCTCTTCCAGCAGTACAGTGGAGGAACGTAAGAGCTTTGAATTATCACAAATTGCTACTCTCGACTTTAAAGAAGGGGATCTTGTTTGCGGAATATATCGAGTAAGGAAACGCAGCAGGAACACGGTGGAATTTGAAATGCGGATGAAAAATAAGGAATTCCTGGATGGTCGACTAGCTATCAGTTTCCGGGAGAAGGGAAATGAAATCGTTTTTTGCAGTGAAACAATGATGTGGAGACTGTGTCAAGAACCGAGGCCTATGCCACTGGAAAAGCCACTATTGAGATGGATGCACGAAACATCTACTTGGTGGCTGTTGGACTCGGGAGTCAACTATTTGATGGATCTTGATTGATGAGTAGGAGTTGTTTGTTTCCTTTTTGTGTATTTTGTGCACATTCATCTTTCGAATTGGGCTTTCCGAATGTATCTTAGTACCAGGATGTGAAAATTTGTATCCGAAACTTCCTTGATGAAGACATTTTCTCGGCCATCATCACTGACAATTTTAGATGGCGTGAGTGGATATACAGCAATAAAGAAGGGATGATTAGTCTTCATGAGTCTCAAGTGTTCAGCGCGCTGACTTTATTATCATCATATCTACACATTATGATAACATGCGGAGTCTTAGCAGATCGGCCTATCCATAGCTATAATTGTGGTGAGCCTGGTCCATTCATTCGCTTCACAGGACTTCTCACATTTAGGCCTTCTTGTATACTACGAAAATCGCAGAAGGAAGAGCCATATTAGAATTAGACCTATTTTTGCTTGTCGGGATCTTGGATTCTCTGTGTCTGCTTGAAATGGATTACCGTAAGGTTGTGCTTTTCCGCGCCCATGTACAGGCCAGAACTGCCGTTTAGAAGTCGTCTTTACCACAAACCGCAAGGTCCACGTCGAGAATCGGACTGGAGTCCGTGGTGGTGAATTTACTTTATATGCCTAGTTATTGTGCCATGTGTATTGGCATGGTCATTCTCATTTATATATTGATCTTTACGTGCTGAGTTTAGTGCAGATTCGGTTGAGTCGTTTATTGTTTCACCATCGGGATACATGACGAATGAAGTTACGATCAAGCCGAACCACCGTGAATAAAACTTGAAGTGGTCTATAAGAGAACTTAGTTTATAGATATCACCTTGGTGATACCTCTTCATAATTTCCCTCACATCTTCCTCTGGACTGATAGGAGCCTGAGTTTGTGTAATGAAAGGGAGTGGCGATCGTACAGCGTACACGAGAACAGTAGCCGTTAACCTATCGAACACCGATCTTAGCAGTCTTTTACGGTGGAAATATATATTGTGGAGTACTCGGGCTCTCATCAATATATGTGATACTCGCACTTGAAGCTGTACAATCTGCGAAGCTTTTTCCGTAGTAAAGTAAGGTGCCGTAAATAGCGTACTGTTTGGCGATTCGTCTTGAATGATGCCCGGGATAAAAGAGCTCTCAGATACCGAGTGAGAATTTCCATTGCCATTATCAATTGTCAGGTCACATGTGGAAAAATGGCGAAATCTGAGGCTATACAGCTTTAATTGGTGCTGCAGCTACCAAGGTATTGTCAGGTTCTCCTAGTGACTTGCCCTAGGGTCACGAGTTGATCCATTGTACAGTCTATTCTCACAGTCTACTCAGGTGAAATACTGAGAATGAGGCCCAGCAGAGAATGAATATCTGTTGTCAAGCTTATGAGGATCACGTTCGCGCACATGTGCACATGTGTTTCATGTAACTTATATTGGTGAATTCAACGTAGGAATACGACCATTTACTTAAGCGGCTATAACCTGTGAAGAAACCCGCAATAGGTCATCAGGGGAACGAATGCTACTTTTCTTTATCGTGGATGACATGAGGCGTGGGATTTTCCATATGGTTGGCGATGGACATTTGGTTGAGGATTAGCGGGAAATGCTCTCCTTCAATGCTTGGAGACATCAGAGAAATACGCCGACGGACACATTTATATTCTATTGGCAAACACCGCTAACTTCAAATTCCAACGTCTACGTTTGCGTGGAGCAGCAGACATAGCAAAAAAAGAATTATTCGCTAATGGTATTTTACCTGCTAGTGAGAAATTGCTGTCTGTAGTGTAGTTGCATTAAATGTTGGAAAGGGCATTATTCTCATATCATAATAATTTCCTTCAATGTGAGAGCGACTTCAACTGCGGTAACAGCGACGCCATTCTTCATCGGTAGTAACATAGACCAAACATATACCAACCGTTAATCTGCTAAGATGGCCTTTATGGATACTGTGTTGCACTAACGATATTTCCATTCGTTGACTATGTAATAGTGATTTTCTTGACGCCAATCGTTCGATGCCTCTATGGAAATCTGGGGATCTAGAAGTAAAGTCGTAGCAGGTTAAACCTGAATCTACTTCCAGCTGGATGGATATGATGTTTCGCATTGTGTAAAGACCCAATGCTCTAACAAATTCTAGGTCGTCAGCGTTCATGTGGCCTGGCCGGATCACATGTACAACCACACGTGGACAAGAACCGTAAGCACCGCTGGATCATGAGTGTGTAGGCCTGTGCATGGGAGTCCCATTCCCATGCACAGGAATTATATGAGTCCCATGGGACCTGCCAAGACTCCCATGGGATGGGATAGGATTAGTAATTAGTCCCATGGGTTCTTGGCAAATGGGATAGGATCGATTATTACTCCCATGGGTCCCAGATGCACAGGTCAACGAGCGTGCACTAGCGGGCACTAGCGGGCACTAGCGGCGGGAATCGAAAGCCACGTCTGCGTTCACCGCCTGGCTTCGTCTCCTCACACCCACTACTTCACTCAATCTCAGCCACATCCATGAGTCAAAGGATGCATAGAGTTATGGCTAGAAGACAGCCGTCCCATTTCATGGATACTCGCAAATTTTTTCCAAAGAGGAAGGAGGGTGTACGTGGGTGTGAGGGAACGCGCGTAGGTTGGGGGAAGCCGACTCAGTGTCGGCCACACTTTGATTTCTCAATATCTGAGAACAAACTGTTCAAGAACGATCTTAGAAGACAAACATCAATAGTGAAAAAATACTATATTTGTTCCAGTCCCGATTTTATTCTTGATTCCGATTTACCAACGAGTTATGGAAGGGTTTGGTCCTGACCCGGCTAGCCGGGTTCCCAATTTCATTTGTCCATTTCCGCTTGGAGAATGAGGTCACTAGTTTTTTTTTTAACTTCTGGGCCACATGATCTACCAAAGGCTGGATCGTTGATTCGCTCAAATTGAACTTTCAATTATGTACCACAATCTAGTCTAGAAGTGGGTGCCAAGGGATACCCCATTTCTGGCTTTTTGTATTGGTCGCCTCCAACAGAACTACCATGGGGTTCGATCCCCCATACTAATGGTATTATGCTATCATCCTGATACGCAGTACTCATATATTAGTATTAGATCTATATCCTTAATAAATGCTGGGCCATAATCCACAGATCTACTAGAAAATACAACCATCTTACACCTACTACAAAGCATGGTTATTGCTTATCCACACAAACTCAATTCAAGTCACATGATTGACCCAGAGAGTGTATATGGTGTGCTGACGAATTTGGATGCAATGCCTACATCGGGCTAGCTGGATCCAATTCCCCATCCTCTATCACAAATAGACGAGACGTGGTTTCATTTGTAGCTTGTTCGCCATGGGCGGAGGCGCATGTCGGCGGCCAGCGCCCCGCACCCCGCTGAACCGCTCCGCATCCCCTTTCGCAAATCAGAATGCCCCGTACTGAGTTGCAACCTCACAAGGTTGAGATTACAAAATGTCTGACGGGCATTGGAGCGAATTGGAAGAGGATACTGCTTTTGGCTTTATGTGCGGTCCGCGCTACCGCTCATCAATATTTGGAACAGGGTACTACGGCAGCTTCGAGACCCGGCCATTTTGCCGATAGAGCCGCAGAGGGTCAAATCCCCTTAAGCCCACGACCCTGAACTGGGATCACTGTAATTTGGCATAGTATAAATCCGTACATTTCCCGCGCATGTTATGGTTGCATCTGAATTGATCTATGCGGGGTATTTACTTATATCATGGAAGTCAGCCAAAGCGACCCCCAGTTCTATTGTCTCCCATCGTATACCGGCGAGCCTTGGCTACCATATAGCCTGAATGTAAGCATGAAAACCTCACCTATTATTAATAATAGCTTCTTAATGCCTACTAGGGCTATAAAAGTCTCCCTGAACCCCTGATAGATCAGACTTACTTAGCGGCGACATTATCCAACATCAACCAAAGCTCAAAAACTCTAAACTCAAGCGCTGCCATGCTGAGCAACTGTGCAGTTGAGTATGTTGGTTCTCTCTGTTTCATTTAAAGCCTATTGAAAAGGAGATTTCGCTTACTGTTCTGCTTGTACAGTAACACCGCTGTCAAAGACCCCAACATAGCGCCACATAATTCTGTGGAGAAAGCGACTCGGTTTTCTAGCAATGCTAAGAGCGAGGTGAAGACGGAGTTAAGCCCAGCAAACGCTGCTACTTCGATGCACACCAAATCAACCACAATCCTGGATAGGAAAAGGTCCCAAAATCGGAGAGCGTGAGGATTCCAATATTTGATAAGCCAGCATAGGATATAGCTAATGCTTTATCTAGTCAAAGGACATTTCGTCAGCGAAAAAATGAGTACACAGAAACCTTGGAAGTACGGGTAAATGAGCTAGAGAGCGAAGTAAAACGCCTTGAACAAGAAAACAAGCAGCTTTCATTACCACCATATAATGAAGATCCAACATCGGATTCAACGACCAGCACGCCATGCTTCATATGCCGTCATATTTCACAATTCTGGAGCAGCGGAATGATATGTCCAGACTCGATCACTTCATAATATTGCTGTGATGTCTGAGATGAAATGCACAGAAACATAACGTCCAGTTGATAATTACTAGTTTGCTTTTTCCCAGACCAATTGCCATATGGAACTCGAGCAGCTTCCAAGTGTTTACCGAGACATCTAATTCAGTATTCTAATTAGAGGGTGAGGCAATGTCAGAATGACCATGCCAGAATGACTGGGTTTAATATCCAGCAGTATGTCCTACTCACAGAGTAGCCGCAAATGTTGCTATGTCCTTCACTGCCCGCTCCGCCCCGGCCAACACCATCGCAACGCCCTCAGGCCTCTCAATAGGGCACCAGCAGGCAATTAACGAAGCCATTTTTGGCTCAGCACATAACCTATAGGCGTCGACACGGGCCTCCCTATGAGCGTAGAGTTCGGAGGCGAGGTTCAAAGCAGGCGTGTACGGTATTTGTACTTTTCATCAATCGATGTGGGATATACGGTGGGGAGGTGCCAATAGGGCACCCTGAAAATTGTACAGCTAGCAGTATTTGAATGTGACTAAGAGTACTTACTGGGTACTCGCGTGGTGTTTGAATAGCAAAAACACAATGTTATCTTTGTATGCCAGCAAGATTCATCCAACGTACTAACAGATAGAATCAAAGCTCGCGACTGAACTCTGATCCTCGGGGATTGACAATGGATCTGTCATTAGTGGAGCACCCCGATCAGCCTAAGGAGGAATGGTGTTCGGCGCATTGCTCGGTTGGATTTTCTTATGGAGATAGCCTGGAACGAGGAGACCTGATGGGAAAGGAATTTGCTTTAGCAAAATTTCAAGAATCAAGGATCAGGTTTAAGGATGCATTGCATTGGATAGACGCAAAGTTCCAGGTCATCTTCTTAGGTACACAACTTCGACACTGGCCAGTGACGAACTTGACTGTTAAAGCTTTATTTAGAGAGCAATACTCCGCAGCCAATTTCTTACCTAACATTAACACAGGTACCACCGGACCGGCCACTTTCCACAATCAGGGCCGTACCAGCTAGCTGCGCGGGGAGCACTTCCACTACCTCCGCTACCGCCACCAAGGACAATGTAATCGTATTGCTGCACATCTACGGCGGCCATTCTAATTGTATTGTTGTCCTGTGACTTGAAAAAGAAGAGAAGGGTGTGTGGATAAAAAATGCCAGCGGGCTGAGAAGAATGCCAAGTTTGGTCCTATAGGGTCAAGCGGCGAAGATGATCCGACATATGATGACGCCGTACTTTCCAGTTCATCCGAACGACAACGCAAATATCAACGGAGACACGGCGGAATATGACTAATCTGTCTCACATCGGGTCCAGAGCGCGATCCATATGCATCTATATGAGGGTAACTCGCATTCGTGGTTTCTCCGCGGAGGACGTCTTGGCGTCGCCGGATCCTTGAACGCCACGTTCGTGCTCGAGTACAGCGAACTCAATACCAATTTAAGGTTTGGCTTGACTCATCGAATTACGCTTGTATAGTATACCGGGATATTCCATAATAAATGACATGTTGATGATAGCGTAATCCTCGCCAAAGCAGGGATGTCCGACCAAGACCGGATCGTATTCGCGAATGATCCCTTCGAGTAAAGGTTGAATATGGGGACAAGTATTTAAACGCCGACCCCTACCAACTTTGCAAATCCTCGCAAGTCACCCTCTCATTCTTGCTTTGAATCATCCCAGTCAACGTCACCGTAATGTCTGACACTGCTTCTCCCCATGTATGGCTGAATGAACTCCTGATTTCAACTAAGGCGTACTCTAACTAGTGCAGTTCACCCTTTATACATCAGATGCTTCTCAGTGGGCATATGTCGCTCATCTCACTATCGATGAGAAAGGATATAAGCCTAGCCAATATGAGATCAAGCAGGTTGGCTTGGGTATGTCAAGTCTTTGGGAAATGTGCGGCTCTCTTTTAACGACCTTATAGTGAATGGGGAGAATTTCTCTCCTGATTATGTCCAAATCAATCACAATGGCACTATTCCATCCTTGACGTCAGCCTCTCTTCCCGAGCCTCTTATCGAAAGTGCAGACATCTTGAAACATCTGGACTTCAATCATCCGAAAGGCCCTTCGTTATTTCCTGTGGATCCCAAACAGCGTTCGAAGGTTGAAGAACTGATTGCGCATGTCCATCAAACAAAACTTTCAACAAATCTTATTCTCCTGCAGGCACGTGATGCACAGGAATTAAGTGCTAAAAAGGCTAGCTTTTGGAAGGATTTTGTTCAAAGCAGACAAGAGAAACTCATCAAGTACGGTGCAACAAACCCACAAATTCCCTTGTATGCCTCACGCACGCGAGAAAATGGGAAATTATATCATATCTACAGCTCCAGCGAAATTGGACCCGAACATGAACAATTCTTTGCCGATTCGCGCAAAGGTTACGAAGACTTTGCAGCTGGGCTCAAGGAGCTCAACTCTATGATTGTGCTTCCCTACGCAGCGGGAGACAAAGTCACGGCCGCAGATATGCATATAGTGCCTTGGCTTGCTCATGCACTGTGGGGTGCTGGGGGGGAAAGCAATTGATGAATTTCATCCCCTAGAGGAACTAATCAAAAAGTCTGTCCCTGATTTCGAGTTCGGCGAGAAAACCAAGTCGTGGTGGAGTAACATATCGGCTACAGACAGTTTCCACAAAAATTATCCAGAACTGCACTAGACGCCATCATGTTTACTAGGTGAAAGGGTTGGGATGCCTACAGAATCAACTCTTGTTGCGTTCGAGTTGTGGTCACACGGACACCTCACACGGACACCATTAAGAGCGCGATAGGAAGTGGTTTACGGTAGTCTAGTCTTCTAATTCTTCTCCGGGTGTTTTCAAATTGTCCAACATATATTGCAATCTTTGAACTAGTTTCGGGAGGCCATTGATTGGAACAGTATACATAGGAGCCAAGACCCAGCTAAAGCTGTTCTAATCTTACCGACTCTAAGCAGACCCTTTGTTAGTCAACCACAATCTGAAATATCTAAAGCTTAACATGCCGAAAGAGCAACTCATATTTCTAGATTGATGAAATGGAGGGGGCTAGCACATTTAATCGCAGTGAAGAGTAATGGAAAATGGCTTTGCCATATTTCGTTCAAAAGTTCCCGTTTGATTCTCAAAAAATAAAATATCCAAATGCGCGTCCTCTATGCTGCTACTTTGAACTATCAAATTAAGGTCGTCTTGTGCCTCTTTAGTCAAATACTTGCACCAACCTCCTTTACAATGTATCTCTCTACTACTCCATCTTCCTTTGTAATACAAACGATGGTTTGCTCACGATTCTATCCAATGTGCGAGTATCATCCCAAGACTGTATCTTTGGAAGGAACTTTTTCACCATTCTTTCAATTTTGATTAACTGATACTTGTTGATTCAAAGATCCTTAACTGGGAAAGACTGTCCTCTCCGTAATCTCGACCTGTCAATGAACTAACTTATCTGGGCCAAAGGCAGGATTTGTAAATATATCAATCCGATGAGTGTTAGAGATGCTTAAAAGTGAACTATCGTAAGCTTCATCTGAGCAGATACTCGTTTGCTCCAGGCGGAATCTCAAAAAGAAGGGAAGGGGGGGCGCTAGAAAGCTGATATGAAGATAATCACGAAGTAAGCTCCAGACGAAACTCCTTGCTATCTAGCTCACAATTGACAGCTTTGCGAGAGATGACATTCCTTACGGCGGAGGCTCCCCATAAATTCTCACAATTCAAGTCCTGATAAATTATGTTTTTCTATATTAGCACGATCCTACAAGCTGAACGAAAAAAGCATTATGATTAGTATCAGTTCTATATGATTTTGGTCGAAAAGATAAAAGCCTTTTTTCCAAGGAGTTTTCAGCTATAAGGGTTGGTTTCTAGTAACTACTGCTGTTTTTGCTTATTATCTATTATCCGGATAGGTTCTCAATACTGAAAATATGTATTGTAAGACGTGAGTGCTCGCTGGCAGTCTGCCGTGGCAGACGGGTCGATTGCAAGAGGACAAAACCACCACACTCGCAGAATGCAGGAGAGTAGTAGACAAAGCGAGGCCTATCGAGATGCGACTAGTAAGACATTCGAGCCTTCATGTACGATACACCTATACCGCAACCTCAGCAGCAGCAGCCTCAGCAGAAAGGAGAATTCATAAGGGGGAACATGCATGGTTGAATGTAGAATGCTGTCGATCGAACTACTTATCCACCAGCAAAATGGCTGTCTTGTTACTAAGGCTCCAATCACCTGACTCCGATGTTGAGAGCAGAATCCCTCACTACAATATGTACATAAGTTTATTAGCTTTTTCGTTTTACTATTTCTGGCGAAATAGTGTCCTTTCGTACTTTGATTAATTAACTTGAGATATCTCTGAACTACAACAAGGGTGCTACAAGCGGTGACCGCTTGCTGTCGGGGCTTGTGATTCGCATTCATTACTGTTACTGCTAAACAACTTTTGTTTACTTTTTGTGAACCTTCTTATTGGCGTGCCGCTGATGACGATCAAACATATACATGAACCTGAGTTGTTCCCTCCTGGAAATCTCATCGAATGGCCCGGATCACCTTAAACTAGGATTCCGTGGATCTAGACACAAGGAAACAGCTCGCCAGTGTAGTCCCTCCTCAGTAATCTCTGGGCCACTTTATTTGTTCGTTATATCAGTCAACTTTTCGAGGTAAATCTCTGTGCCGCATGGTGAGTACACACAATAGAATATAATTATGGAAAGCGTACCTGCGATTCTCCACCGTTTGCTGAAGATTGACAGCATTTTCGATAATTCTTCAATCCGTATCTTATCCAATTTTGGATCTTGGAAAAAGCCCGTTGCTTGAATAAGCGCAGCCTGGTAGATAGAGTATGGGAGAAGGAAGTTCAGTGAATTCAGGTCAAACATGGTAGCTATTGAATTGAATCTTTTTGCCATCTCGTTAACAGGTGCGCAGGAGTCGATGGCCGATCCGAAATACTGATCACATTGTTCTCGATGTCCTGTAGACTCTTCGAATTGATGATATTGGAAGAGTAGAATGCGAGCACTAGACCACTTCAGAAGTGAAGGATTTGATTGAAGTAGATTACAAACCTGTTGCACATACTGATGGCACCACAGAAGTTCATGCAATATTGGTCCGTAGCCTGCTGAGAGAGTAAATCGGAGAGGGTGGTCATTACGCGGTAAAGCTGAATGGCCTCGTTCGTATTGAAAGCAGGATTAGGAGGTGTTCCCTTCACATGAATTGTGGTACGTCGTAATAAGTGTGCTGCTTGTACAGTTCGAGCTAGGGGCCCTACTCGCACACTCTCTGGTGTCATCAGCGGAAGAGACTCGGGTATGTGACTCGTCTAGTGTATTGTCATCTCTGAGTATAGATCTCTGTATCATGATGAACACGCACACTCATATTCCACAATTCATCTTCTACAGGTAAAAGGTCATCCAATGATGGGTCATTAGTGATAAAATTGCAGAAACCGGTCAGAATTGGAATATAACTATAATATGAATTAGGCATGTCCAACATGTAGGAAAATTTAGAAACATCTTACGAATCCAATATATAGATAGTCCACCAGACGCGTCTCTCTTCTTCCAAATTAAACCAACTTCTCGCAACGCCGTCGCCGGGCTTAACCTTTTTGTCGCAGCCAATGGCAATCGCGCAGCGTGCGACAGAACTTACTGAAATAAAGAAAGTTGGCTGGATCATGTGCCCAATCTCATAGAGGCAAATAAGCAGGCGACCCTGGATGTTTTGCAGCGTAATATTGCCTTGTATCTCCATTGCTGGGATTACGGACTTTGCTATGACATAAAGCGGAGATGTCTCAGGAGATAATCCATTCTTGGAGCATTCGGTGGTTAGTAGTTGCATGCATAAAATTAGAAAAGATGAGTCGATAGTTGGCCGCGTCTGATTGATATGGAGTTGTCCCATGAAACTCGGCATGTGAACGAATTGCATCCAAGAATGGACTGTTCGAAAAAAGTGCCGCGCAGTTTCTAACTGTGCGTTGTGATTCCCGACGAAGCGATCGACTTGATTAGCCAGGAAACTATTTAAGGAGTCACGATTGAGAGAAATGTGGTCCAGTATAGAGTGATGGAAATGAAGCATCGAATTAGAAATATGGAGATGGGCTGATGCGGGAGTTTCGAAATGTGACGAAGGCCTTTCCTCTGCACAAGGTAGACTATGAGAAGAACTGTTCTGAATATTGTAGAAGCAAATCCGGCCTGCTCTACCCCCGATGTACGTCAGTGCTTTTCCATTTATCGGACGAGCTTCTAGGATCAATACCTAGTGCAATTTGAACATGTTGGTACTTCCTTGTCGCATCGCCTTTTGCGTTCGCGACAAGGTATACAAGCGGATACTCCTGACATTGGGATAGTTGACATGGGCAAAAGTACAACCTAATTTGAAGGAAAGCTTTCGATTATCCGTAATGACTTCGCGGAGAGTGTTTGGGGAAAAGAGAAGATGCGCGACAAAGAAGACAAGCTGGTATATGATACAGGTGACATCATTGAGTTTCGCAGTAACTTGCGTGGCGAAGACTCTACCCAAGTTGCTCGGAAGACACTAACAAGCCTTAGAATTATTGACGCGCATCGAAATAGTTTGCAGAAGCATTCCAGGATCAACTCTGAGACAAGAATCGATATTAATAGGAACAGTCCAGTTAAATATTTGAAGATTTCTTCATTAGAGCTTTCGCTTGTGAATAGCAAAATTCTGAATGTAGAATAAGGCTCGAAGAATTTCGAGGAGGCGAGAAGGTCATATAATCTGACATCATGAATTCACCCACCTCACCATCTGCCCCACAGCGGTAACGCCCATAATAAATGTTTGGTTGCATGAATTTCTTCATCTTGCCTTCTGCAGGTAATGCTGGCCTTGAGTGAGCGTGGGATGTTAGAACCATAATATATTTTTGATAGAAAGTAACAGCTACGTACCCATCTTTTGGGGACGACCCAGGGGCTCCAATCCATAAGTTGTTTGTTCTTGCGTCCGGTAAGATCTAGTACAGTGTAATGGAAGCCTAGTTCGAAGAATGAAGTGCATTGAATACGCGATTCTAAGACTAGAGAAGAAGAAAGAAGGACAAAGGATAAATCACAGCTTTGGAGTCTACCTACCTAGGGTCTATACGAATCTTAACTTCGACCGGAGAATTTGATATGCAATACAAGATATTAAATCTAAAACTTGGCACCCACGGTCTTCGTTTATATGCAAGCCACGTCGACAGCATAGCCATAATCTGATGTTATTACACTCGTCTTCTCTTCAAATTGATTATAAATGCTGATTCAAAGCGCTGCTAGATTCCACGGAGAAATACTCGTCTATATAGGAATTAAACGCGAGGATTTCAACAAGGGACCAGAGCTAGAAACAATTTGTATAAGAATTGGATCTCAGAAACAATCAGACTGAATGCAAGTGGTAAGTTATCACTAAATATGTCAACACCAGAGCAACGTGTTGCGACATTGCTAGATCCCCGGCTCTGGAACTCAATAACGGGGAAAATCTCACACTTTGGGGCCCTTGAGAAGGATCTTTCCATGAGCGTGTCCAGTCTCACCCCTCTTGAATGCCTGTACGACGTCGTGGAAGTCAAATACCGAGTCGATGACAGGCTTCAGCTTGCCCTCGTCAATCAGGTCCGCAATATTCGTCAACTGCCCTGCATCCATGTCGACAATAAAGAAGTTTACCCTCGGGTCTTTGCCAATGTCATCTGGCGGTTCACCCACGAGGTGGAGAAGCGTGCCGTCTTTGTTTAGAGTCTTCAAGGCCTCCCTCGACGTGTCACCGCATACGGTGTCGAAGACAACGTCGACGTTCCTCAAAACAGAGCCTAACTTGACTTCCTTGTAGTTTAAGACCTGATCCACTCCGAATGACTTAAGGAGCTTGAAGCTTTCTTCGGTCGATGCTGTACCGATAACTCGGGCCCCGAGCATCTTGCCAATCTGAACGGCCCAGATTGAAGTCGGGCCTGCCGCTCCAGGGACCAGTAGGGTCTGTCCAGCTTTGAGCTTCGCGTGCACCATCAATCCCTGCCATGCCGTAAGGGCAGAAAGTGGCACCGATGCAGCGTCGGTGAGGCTTAAAGCTCGGGGCTTTGGAACCATGTGGGAAAATTGGGCCTTCGCATAGCCAGCCATGCCCCCGTCGATGCTTCGTTTAGTAGGAAAGGCTTTGCTCATGAAGGCCATGACTTCAAGGCCGACTTCGAGGCCGCTGTCATGTGGCACCCCGGATCCGACTTGCGCTATAACGCCAGAGTAGTCCTCTCCGAGAATAGGGGTTTTGAATGTACCATCCTCCTTCTGGTAGATCGGCCAGTAGAGCTCCATCCAGATGACGCTGGCCGCGTGTACTTTGACGAGGACTTCATCTTCAGCAATGACTGGTATATCTTCCAGAGTGATTTTGAGCTTCTCAGTACCGCCAGGAGGGTGATGGCGCACAGCTTGCATGGCGCAGAGAGGCGAGAGTTTTTCGATGCGAGGATGGAAACTTTTCTTTGAGGTTGCTGGATTGGAGGACCCGGAGGTTGATGGTGTCCCCGCTGGCCTTCAATTTAGACTCAAAGCCGATTTGGCTAGATATACCCTGAGGTTTCGTACTTCCTGGGGTCTTTAATATGTAACTCTTTGGCATAATCTCAATAGGCTACGGAAACGCCGGCTAAATAAAGTGACATGGCGGAGTATTGCATTGTCGAGAAGCCGGATTATCCGGCTCAACCTCCAAAGTGGGCGAGGCCCAATGTACGGATAGTACCCAAAACCTATTGCTTGGCGATGGATGTGTAGCCTCTCATTCATAATATTAACATTCCATCCGAATAAGTCCCGTCGCCAACTATGAGCCAATATTACGTGACCTGTAGTTATTACGTGATAATTTTACACATGATCATATTACGTGGTCTATTACATGACCTATTACGTGATCAATCTTCCTAGAAAATAATCAGCTACGAATAGTCAACCCAACATATTGTGTGGGGTTTCCCAAAATAACAAGCCCATTGTCAGATGAGGCTGCTAGAATGCGCGAACGGATGCCGGCTCTCATGAGCCCGGTGAAACCCCCTGTAACCATCTCGGTTGGGATCACTCATCAACCTTCTCCTTAACGTCGATTCGTCTCTGGCCTGTAAGAGGACAGATTATGCACCTACACATGCGCCGGGTCGAATTTGCGCTGCGGTGGTTAGGAACGACTGGAAGTCAGACAACGTAACATTCCGAATAATTTACCGCTCTCCGAACGGTTCCTTTTTCGTCAATTAGCACTAATTCAAGAGGATATATCGCATGCTAGCCATTGCATTGAATTGTCAAGTTGGACACTGTTAAGTGTAATCTACGACGTGTATTACAGGTTGATATCATCACTATTCTTATTTAGCTTTTTCATTCCCCTATATTTCCCCTCTTATTTGCACCCTTCTGCTTCCTTCCTCTTTACTCTTTCCTATTCAACTTTAGCTTCGTGTCGCCTCTACAACTGGACCCAACATGACAATTTCACATCGCTCGACTACGTGAATCGGAACCCATTCACCGTTAAAGATTCCCTTACCACCCCTATCTGTCCATACTTTCGACATTCCTCGACCGATGGACACCTTTCTTATCTTTCTTCAATTGAAAAAAGAGACCTAGTATTGGTGCACAATGAGGCCCGTTGATATTCAGCAATATCACTACTCCTCGACGCGATATCAGTGGTAGTGGCAGCGATCGCCGTGCAGCGCTGACTGGTACGGCGGGAAGACCCTGATCGTCGAAAGCGGCCGATGCGGTGTTACCTGCGTTAATATTGGTCAAGTGATGGTCAAGTGAAGGGCAACAGAGTCCCGCTTCTCGGATGTAGCAGTAACAACAAAACTCGTCGCTGACTGGAATATGAGCTGTGTCCCGAGGATGACTTGGAACTTTCGTTCATTCCCGAGATGATGGATATTGGAATCCATTACAGATATGATACTCCCGAGGGCATGAGGATCGACACTGCAAGTTCAAAACACCTGCGATACTCAAGCGCCTGGATGGCATCTACGATGCAACTGGACATGTGAGTGCTTTGATATCGTGTACAGTAGGGCCTGTTTCGTCGTGCCAAAAGACTATTGAGATTCAGCAGGAGAGTGGCACCGTTGCCCGCTGCAAAGCTTCGCACGTCCCCACCGCTACCGGCGACGTACAAATACTCGCTAACCGGTCATGGTTGGGTACTTATTCAGCAAATAATCCCACTTGACGGGCCCTCATATGTATCTCGCTGTACCCAGTATTGTCAAGGTATGTCAAGGTAGAATGTCTCTTATGAAGCTTAGTTTATGATATATGACGGCTTTTGCTACTCCCTATTCTAGTTTTGCATTCTTCCTGTATAGAATGAATAAAACGATATTGACTAGGTTTCTCCGGTTCAGCTACCTGCTTAGAAATATACTCTAGCAAGTACGAAAGACAAGTCACTTGGTGACTTTAATAAGGGCTCACGACTTAGCGCCGTTATTGGCACATATATCCCCTTTTGAAATGTTGTCCATAACCTGCAAAAAGAGTAGATAAAAATATAAGTTAGCTGTGTCTGAGAACTCCTTGCATATGGCCCAGGGCCGTCAAGGAAACTGTACCGGAGTACGTCGTGTGACGCTGTTTAGTTGCTCGTAGCATGGGCTTGGGTTTATTGAATAAGGTTTGCTGCGGGAAGAGTACTATTACACTATTTTCCATCCTATTTGCGGATGGCAAAGAGTTCGCGACTGGGGGTGGCAAAGGTCAAAAGGATATAAACGGCCCTGGGTTACCACACATGTCGGTGCAACCCCCATTTTTAGTCAATTTCCTGCTCGGGTTGGAAGGCTGGCACAAATAGGTGGCGGGACCTACCAGGTCGCCAATTCCGACATAGTAATGTGGCATGCTCCTCAATAGCACCACTAAGATAGTATGTATTGCTGCTACGCCCTGGGACTTCTTATAAAAATCATATCTCGTGTGTTAGTGATACCTCTTGGGTTCAAGCCACACGGAATGGTTTTAATACAGCACAACACATAGCACCTTCCCATAGTGCCTGAATTCGAGGCGAGGAAGGCGCATTAGCCCATAGAATTCAAAGCGATCTAATCCCACAGATATAATGCTCCTCGGGTGAGATACACGGCCAAACATATTCTCCTGAGGCCACTGGCCTCGACGTTCAGGGACCTAGATAAAAAGTATCACTTATGATTAACCAGCATAACATGGTTCGGTGGTGCAGAGGTTTAGGTAAGAAACACGGAATGACATGTTTACCATCAGATCATGATATTCATGGCAGGCTCACTGAGAGAATCAGGCACTCGGATCGGTCAAGGCCGTGCTCGATTCTACTTCAGTGGGTAAACGGCCCCGGGGCGGGAGGAGTAGGAATTGAATACTAGAACTGAAGAAAGCGTCAAGAGTTGCTAGGAGAACTTTCCTCATCCCAACCACTGGCTCCCAGAAACCGAAACATCACAGTCAGTGCTGGATTGCTTGAGAAATTTTAGTCATGAGAATCATAGTCTCGCATAAGCGTAGTATGTCAACATAGACTCAGTAATAATCGTCCTTCATTTGTCATACCGGGAACTGTTTCAAATCCGCCCTCTGGGCACCTTTCTCAACCCTTACAAATAGACTTTGGGGAAAGCAATCCGTCCGAGGGAGCCGAGACCTCTCCTCAGGAATCCTTCTCTACAAATGGCCATTGATCTTCGAGACATGTGTTTCGTGTTCTCTTGCTCAGATTTCCCTCTGGCATTTTATCTTCCCTAGAAGAATACTAGGCAAATCTCCGATACTCGATCGACGACGCTTATAAACCCATATATCGAAACCTTCCCAACCAAGATGACATCACGCGGTGTTGAGGAGCTTCGAGATGAAGTATATGCTTTGCCCCGTGGAAAGCAAGAAACTCAGAGGTATGCGTCTTCCATTTCCGTTACTGCAAATATACCTGAAAAAGATAAGCCAACGTGGTGTGTTTCACACAGACTGGATCAACAACATCGGGTTTTTACCCGTCTAGCCGACGGCTTGATACACCCTTCGATTCCAAAACAGCACATAAGGAAGGTTGCAGACGTGGCAACAGGAACTGGGTAGGGAAAATAATGATATTTCTATTTCCATATTTGGCCCTGTATTCAACAGCTGACAACCATCATATCCCATATAGCATCTGGCTGGTCGATGTAGCCACAGAATTTAGTTGCGAAGGCCATTACGTCGGATTCGATTTATCAGATTCACAATTTCCAACCCCTACGTCCCTGCCACAGAGTTGCTCTCTTGATTTTAAAGTCCACGACATGACCAGACGCTTTCCACCAGAATACCATGCGCAGTTTGACTTGATCAATATTCGACTGGTGGTACAAGCACTCAAAGCTGTGAATGTGGATACTGTTATATCTAACGTCCTGGAGCTATTAAGTGCGTCAATTACCCTATCAGCTTTGACAGTTTATTTCGCTGAGACTGAAAGGAAAGAGCCGGGTGGGCATATTCAGTGGGGCGATGTAAACTGGAATGAAGTGAGATCCATACCTTCGAACACCGAACTTGACATGATGGATGAAATTATAACTGGTCATATGAAGTACCATGGCCTTTCATCGACGTAAGCGGCTCTCCTGTTTTGTCGCTCCGAAATTTTGGGATTTAATCCTATGATCCGGGTCAGACACATATCTCGACTGACATGTATTTGTTTTGGCAGCCTCCCAGATCTTGTGGAAACAGCGTTGAGAGGTAAAGGAGCAAGAGATGTAATACGATCGGATAGCTACTCTGACAGCCATCAATCAATCTCTGTGGAGGAGGGAACATGTGTTCTCAAGGAAGCCGAGATGGGCATGCTGCCAAAGGCGTTGGAAACGGTAAGGGAATTTACGCCACAAAGCTTCCCTCTGCAAGAAATTGTCATACGGCAGAAGGCTGAAGAGGCGCTCTCCAATCAAGGTCAAATCTGGAGATTCTCATACACAGTGGTTGTCGGTAGGAAGGGCATCTAGTTTATCTTTGGCTTCTAAATCTTCGCCGCTATTGTGTATGAACTGCTTTGACCTACTATAAACCCATTAGACCTATTTCTCCTCATGGCGTGTAGTCAGCATTGGTGCTTATCGGGAGACTTAATTAGAGTCGACAAAGGAAAGACGATAGAAACATGTATGACAGTGAGGCAGTGAGTAACTTCTATTGGGATGTTCTTGGTAGTGAAGCAGCTGGTAAGTAAGATGTAGGTCGGTGAATCGCGTATTCAATGGTCTGGCCCGGTCAATCTATGTATTAAGTAATTCCTGGCCGACCGGAACACCCGACCCGTGCGGAACACATACTCCCATTAGAAATATCCTCATCGGTGATCTCAACTAGCACCAATTAACTCAGCTAAATATAGCGATTTTTGCATGAATTGA